TACGAATTGCACTCCGATAAGCTACAAATTCTGAGAAAATTTTGCGCTAGAAATTACAGCATTTTTCACAGCTATTCTATAAAAACGTACCAGACTACACATTTTTGTGACAAAGTACAAGCTACAAAATTCAATTAGCTAGGCTACAAATTCTGAGAAGACTGTAAGGCAACAAACAAACCTTTCAAAAAAGATACAAAAACCAAATTAGACTACAATTTTTCGCAACGGCAGACTACCCATGCTATTTGTAGTTAAAAACTACAGGCTACAACCTAAAAATTCTATAACCGAATTTCCAGACTGACAACCGTATTCCCGTACCATCATCGCGTCTTCTATTGTCGAGACATCAACCTTTACAAACCCAATTTTAGGCCCGAGGATTTTGAGGTGGTGTTACGCCAAAAAAACGTGAATTTCTCGATTTTTTTAGGTGTACGTCTCGTATGATCTGCTCTACGTGCTTGGCTTTACGCTGCCACCGCTTGTCGTACGTTTTTAGCGCATTTTTGGGACCTACATCAAATGGAAAAAATTAATTTTATCTGGAAACCTCGATAAAAATTGTGTTAGCTTTTCTCAGCCTTTAAATTTGTTAAAATATTTTTTCCTGGGTTTTTCCATTGCTCTAGTTAAAGCTCATCCTACTATATATAAAAAATAGTGTTTGTGTGTGTGTGTGTGCCACTTTGCATCCACTTCCGTCTGTCTGTCCGGAGGATATCTCAAGGAGGGACGGGTATTAGGCTACGTATGATACGTCATTAGGCGCGCAATGGTCTTGGGATGACTGCACACCTAACAGATTTTACAAAATTATCGATTTTCGACATTAAATTTAAGTTTTTGTGATTCTTTGTTAAAAACAATTAGCATAGACCGGAAGTGGGCGGTCGTCTATATAAAGCCGCAGAAGAAGTGGTTTTTCCTTTTTTGCCATCTGAATTCAGGCAAGTATGCAAAGTGAAGGATAAAATGGGGTCAGACGGGGCCAGGGTTGAAAAGTCGCGAAGCGGCTTTTCAACCCTGGTTTGTCTTAAAAAAATTGAAAATTCTTCCTAAAACTTCATCTAAATTTTTTTCGTGTTCTTAAAAATTGTTCATAATAATTTCCGCCATAGATAATGCTATTTTAATTGTTAAACTCAAAAAAATTTAGCTGTTGCTCGGCGAAATCGCATTCTGGATGTTCTCGACAAAACCGAGGAAGACGGTGTATGCGACGTGTGGAGAATGCAAGATTCATCTATTTACGAGGAGACTTTTCCGATTTGTCGGTATGTAAATTCAGAATCTCTCTCGCTCTCTCTCTCTCTCTCTCTCTCTCTCTCTTCTGATATCTCTCTCTTTTCAGCGGTGTTCATGTTCGGTGCCCTAATCGTCCAGATCTTCGTCGACACGATCAAATTGATGACGGGCTACCAGCGGCCATATTTTCTCTCGCTCTGCAATGTCTCTGTCACGTAAGTATACGCAGTTTCGTGTTAATATTCTTGAAAAATCGTTTATTTTAGTCGAAGAGATGCCTAAACCATAAAATTGGTTCGACATCGGTTTCCGGTCAAAAACGCACCGTAATCGTTCGCGAAATGATCGGAATTTTTGTTTTCACAAAGTTAATTGTTTATTTTATTTTAATTTTGAGGCTTCTGAAATTAGATTCCGAATATTCAGCGCCGATTACATGGCGTAATCGATTGCAAAACGTTTTTTTATGACTTTTATCGCGAATTTAATTTTTATTGAAACCATAATTTTTTAAAATTTAACTTTCTACCGTAATTGAATGCTAGTTTTTAGTGCCTGTACAGCCCCTCTGGAACATTCCCCATCGCCATCCCCACAATTGGCATGCAACTATCGACATGCTGATGATTTGAGGTATTTTTATCATTTTGAGGCAAGCTAGCAGGGATTATTGAGGGAATAGCTCCTAAGATTAATTCTGCAACTTTTTTTAGATACGCCTGGCTGTCGTTCCCCTCACTGCACGCCGCTTTTTCGAGCTATTCCGCCTGTTTCGCCTCGGTAAGCTAGAAAAAATCAAAAACACATTTTTTGCATAATAGCAGTCACGCGTTATTAGGAAAAGACGCCGCGTAATGGCTTTAATTCTACAAAAATTGTGTTTGTTTAGTGCTACATCTACTACATGATCAACCTCCGTGGTGCCCCCCTTCTCCGCCCATTCCTCATCTTTGGTAGGCTTTTTTATCTTATTCTACCGTAGTTTTCCGTACCATTCCGTAGCGTAGCGTAGCCTATCGTAGTTTTTCGTTTCTATCATCTCTTCTATCACAGCGTATCTTATCGTATTATGGTGTATCCTACCGTACCTAACCTTATGCTACCGTATCCTACCGTGGCTTAGCGCATGCTACCGTACCCTAACGTATCGTAAGGCATCGCACCGTATCCTAGCGTAGCATCCCGTAGTCTACCGTAGTCTACCGTGCCGTATCCTACCGTAGCTCATCGTGCGCCGTATCCTATCGTATCTTAACGTACTTTTCAGGATTCCTGGGCCTGTGCCTAGTCGATTCATTCTCACGCATTAATGGCTACAAGAACCATTGGAGAGATATTTGGGTCGGATGGTTGATTGGATTCTGTGCCGCTTATTTCTTGGTGAGTCGACGGATAGCAGACGGGCAAGCTAGCAGAGACACTTTGCGGTAAATCTGGCCAAGAAGGTGAACAGGATTTCTTCGTGGAAAAAAGCCGGTTTTGCAAAACACTATAATTAGCAGACATTTCTTGTGGAAATGCATCGAAAAATCGCTATATGAAGGGCAAACTGGCAGAGAAAATTTGCGGAAACAAAATTAGGAGTTTCCGAGCAAGGGCAAGCTAGCAGAGGTGCTGTGAGGAATTTATACTTTAATAATTTCTGCTAGTTCGCCTTCACCAGCCGAATTTACCCAATTTTAAACGCGAGGCAAACCAGCCGAGATTCCTTGTGGAAAGTGCCTAAAAATAGACGTAGACAGGGCAAACTAGCAGTAAACTAATTTGCGGAATCCTGAAAATTTTAAAAACCCGAATTTTTTAGTGCCACTGCGTGCTGTGCTTCCAAGAGGTCTATCACATTGCCGTTGAGAAGGCACCGCTGATCCAGGAGGTATGTTTTTGAGGCAACAAACTGCAATCTCTAACCTCAATTTAATGCCATTTCCTGCTTTTTTGCAGGTAGAAGAGCGTGCCCCTCCCTTCTTCCAATGGTTCCGCCTGCCACGTGTCCAAGCCCCTTCAGTCAAAGAGGATTATGTGTACGTTACGCAACGTAATTACGGCGGATTATGCCATAAAATTAGTACATTACGCCATTAAAATACGGCTTAGATGAGACCGATTACGATAGGAAATTGGTTAGTGAAAACTCGAATTCATACCCTTTTATCGATTACGCCATGAAAATCCAGCGTACCGTCGCGTACAGTTTTGGCTAGCCAATTACGACATGCAATTCGACGCGTCTAATCGATTACGCAATGAAAATCCCGCCATTTCAGGGTGTATGAAGAGGACGTTCCCCAACCTGGCACGCAGCCAAGACACCGAAGGAACGCTGATCGAACCTATGAGGTAGGGTGGAGGGCAAGCTAACGGGGATTCTTTGGGAAAAATGAAGAATAGAGAAGGCTTCCCAGGGCAAGCTAGCAGAAAAAATGGAAACAAAAAAAATCGAAAAAATTTAAGGAAAAATGAGGCCATCTAGCAGAGGGGCCTTGCGGAAAATGGCCCCGGGCAGGTTAGCACAGAAAATTGCGGGAAGGCTATTTAAAAATTGCTTCAAAAATCGAAGAAATGTAGGCAAATTAGCAGAAATTCTTTGGGGAAAATGACGATAGTTGGCAAACTATCTAGAATTCGGCGAAGTCCAAGGGCAAGCTAGCTGAGAATTTAGGCAGAAAAATCGCAAGAAATCTGGTGAAAACGGATAGAGGAAGCTGAAATTCTTTGCGGAAATAAACTAGGGCAAGCTAGCAGGGACCTTTTGAGAGGAAAGCTAGAGAAATTGTTAAAATACGGCAAACTAGCAGAGACGCTTTGCGGAGTCCAAACATCTACCAATTTTTTTAGGTAACGACGACGACCGAATCTTTCCATCGAACGATCAGCCCCCCGCAACAGCCAAAGCAATATCAATATTAAACAAGTCTTAAAATATGTTAATTATCGATTTCCCCCCTAGCTACCGTACCCCACCATATCCTGTACATTTCGAAATATTTATTTTCCGAATTTTTCAATTTTTCCTGTAGCTTCGAAAAAAGTGGTGCTGCCCATCCCAGTCCAAATATTGCTCATAAAATTTGAATTGTAATAATTAATTTTACTTGAAATAAATATTTATGCAATATTTTGTATAAATTTTCGAAAATTTTATAAAAATTGAAAAATAGATTTAGGTGCATTAGCGGGGGGTGGGAGAAAGAGGAGCAACCTCCGCTAATTAAACCCCATAGATTCCGCTCCCCTTCCTCCGCCGCTAACTCACCAGCACCCAAAAAAGTTTTAATAAAATCGAACCAGGGTTGAAAAGCCGCTTCGCGACTTTTCAACCCTGGCCCCGTCTGATCGTATGATACACTTCACTTTGCATAATTCTTGGAATTCCGATGACAAAAATGAAAACCGCGCTCGCTAGCCCATTATATAGGCTACCGGAACTTCCGGCGCATGCTAATTTTTTCCTAACAAAGAGGATCGCCGATTTTCCAACAAAAACTTAATTTAATGTCGAAAATAGGCAATTTTGATAAAGATGATCTGCGTGCAGTCATCTCAGGGCCATTACGCACCTAATAACGTATCGTACAGAGCCTAATACCCTTCCCCTCTTGAGATATCCTCCGGACAGAATGACGGAAGTTGCATGCAAAGTGGCACAGACACACACACACACAAACACTATTTTTTTATATATAGTAGGATATTTATCAGAAACGGCAAGGGAATACAGTGAGAATTATCTAATTTTTCTGTATGGTTTAGTATTGATCGGGATCGTCGAGCTTGGCCATGGTCCAGTAGAGATCGTTCGGGACCGAGCCACACGTTGCTTGCTTCTGAAAGTGACGAATTTTGAGGGGCCAAAGGGGCTTGGGAGGCAAAAAATCTTGCTTGGAAGGTCCTACCTAGTCCTCCAAAGTTACGTTAGGCTTACACGATTTGTCTAGACCCAGCAAACTAGAGGGTCGATTCCGAGGTTACCAGTCCTTTTAAAGGGACTTGGAAGCGAGAAAATGTAAGTCTGTAGTGTCTGGCAGGCGTCTAGACCTAGTCGACGTGAGAGATCGATTTGCGTTATTGCCGTTTACGCGTTCGCGACCACTTTAAAGGAACCGGGAAGCGCCAAAATCGACCCCGCCGATAGACGAGGTGTTGACGACTACGCAACGCACCAAAAGACGTATCTTAGCGTTATGTGGAGCGTGACGTACTTGTCGAGACTGCATACCACACGCACAGGCAGGTACTATCGGCCGCGGGTGGTCATAAGCACTCTTTTGGTATATATCGCAAACAATTTAAATAAAAACTATATAACTAAGTCCGATAAATATGTAGAATCTATTATAGTATATTAAAGCGCATTAAATAATATTATAAGATGTTTATTAAGTAGTATTTCTTCATAAATTACGCCGCGGCCGATAGTACCTGCCTGTGTTTTTGGTATGCCGTCTTGTCGAGACCCGTCGCTGAGAGACGTTGATTTTCGGGTTTTTTTCAGGCGTCTCGGTACCCTTAATTGATCCCAAAAAGCTGCCAACCTCAATACAAGGATTTCTGCGTATCCCGGGTCCATTCTCGTATTTGACGGGTTGCCCATAATTCGGATGCAGCGGGGATGGCTCGATGAAACCGGAAGGGCAAGACGGCTGGCAGGTTAGGAACTGAAAAGCGGGATTAATCCATCACGCCATGACAATAGATTTTTTACAGCGTGGCGCGTCTGGTCTTTAACTCTAAATGAACGCTATACGATTACGCGATGAAAATCGAAGCGTTTTTACGAAGTTTTGCACCAGGCGAATTAATTTAAACGGGGGTGAACCGATTACACCATGAAAATCGTGATTTTTTGCTTGTCATGGTGCCGTCATCGAATAGTCCATTCGATTACGCCATGAAAATCGTGAAAATTTGGCCGTTATGGTGCGTCAGACCATCTACAGCTGCTATAAACCCAAAAATTACATCAAGGCACATGCGATCGAGTAGAGCACATGCGAGTTTGTGCTGCCCTGGGTCGGGGATCATCTTCTCGGCGGTCGACGTCTTGAAATCCCACTCGACCTCGTGCCTCACTTCGTACTAAAAAGTTATGATAAAACGAAGTACGCTATGCTCCAGTTGACGCCTTTAAGCGTCATTGGTAGTGCTGCGTAGTTGTCTAGACCTAGCCGCTGGGAGGGGTCAATTTCTCGGGTTTTAACCCCTTATAGGTACGGGAAAGGTGCCTCGCCTTCAACGGTCCTTGAAAAAACCCACGGAAAACATATAGGTGGAATCATCGGCGCGCGAAACGGCGCAAAAACTAAAAACAAAAATTACTCGATCTTACGGTAGCTTTTCCTAGCCGGAAAACCGAAAAAATACCTCAAAATAACCAGCAAAATCAAGACGAAAAATCGATAGTTCATCGCGAAAATTGGGCGATTTTCTAATGAGTATTTTTTTGAGATTTTTTAGGAAATTACAGGCCATAAAATATGCAAATTCGATGAATTTTTCAAATCCAAAATCCATTTTTTTTGCGATTTTCCATCGAATCTCTGGGCAATAAATATTTATGCAAACGCTCTGAATTATGTGAGTGGGAAGGGGGTACTGTACAATGGAAAAAATCGCGACAAAAAAATTAGGTTCAGTAGATTTTGGTGAATCTGAAGTGGCAATTGCCCTCGGGGAGCAGCAGCGTCTCGTACACCTGAAAGTTCAAAATAAATAGATCCAAATCTAACAAAATTCACATAATTAATCCAGCAAACAAAACTCGAAAATAAAGATAACCATAACAAAATTAATTATTTATGTTTGCGTTTTTTGTATCTAATTCTAACTCTATATATCCATCTTCTCTAAAAATTTAAATTCCATTTTTAAAATCGACCAAAACCTGCGAAAAAATAAAAATTTTTAATTAATTATACATTTCCGAATTTGATCAAAACCCATTTTTAGCTACAAAAATACCTGTTTGACTGGCGAGTAGAGATGCTCAATGGAAAAGGCGGCGATCAGCCGGGCGAGCACCACTTGAAGGTCTTGCTCCGCGAATCGGCGGCCTGGAAAAATTTAGTTTAATTTAATTCACCGAATAACTGAAAATTAAATAATATAAAAAATCCCTACTTACCAGCACACATCCTGGGCCCAAATCCGAACGGCAAAAATGCGAATGGGTGCGAATGGGAAGATTTTCCCTCGGAGCGGAGCCAACGCTCCGGCCGGAATTCGTCTGGATTCGAGAAGAAGCGCTCGGATCTGCAAGTGAAAAACTAATAAAGGATATATTGATCGATTTCGTGCTTATTTTTTAGCTTTCTAGCTAGCAGACAAATTTTTAGGAAGTGCTGAACCCTCCATCGAGCAAAAAGCAAAAAGCTTGCCGCGGCCGGGGGTCGAACCCGCGACCGATTTTTTTGCAATCGATTACGCCATGAAATTCCACGACAAACCTCATCAAAACGTTCGTATTGATATCGATGGGGGTGCCGGCCGGGATTTTATACCCTCCAAGCGTCAATTCCTGCTGGCTGATGCGAGAAATCTAGACAAAAATGAAAAAAAAAAGTCCAACTACCGTACCTCAGTGCCAATAGGATACAGCCGGAATGTCTCTTTGATGCAGGCCTTCAGGAATGGGAGTTGTGAGAGGTTCTTCTCGGTCAGGGCTGCAAAAAACAAATCATCGGGTTTTAAAGGGCCATTGAAGGCAAAAATCCACCAAAAAATGCCTAAGCTAGCATGGATTCTTTCGGATTTTTACCAGTATTAAACAAAATTTTCGAAAATTCACAAAAAAGCCGAGCAATGATTTTTGAGGGAGTTTGACCCTTTTTTAAAGGATCGTCGAAGCCAAATCTACCGTACCTTCCCACGGCTTGGCCACCTTGTTGACTTCATCCCTGACTTGTTGCTGCACTTCCTTGTTTGCCGCCAGGTTGTAGATGTTGTAGACGAGCATTGGGGCTGTCTAAAAACATCGAAAAACTTTTGCCAAAATACAGTAGACCTACCGTACTCAGCCCATCACTGAACAGCGACAGCATGATCACCTGCAAAAAGACGGGAAATTATTACTTTACAGAAATTATTTTGAAACCCGATTTTTTTTAATGGACACCGAAAGAGTGTGGTCGCATTTAGGGAAATGCCGACAACCAAAAAATTCCGACAATACAAAAAGGGTCTGCCGCTGTCGGTATTTTTGTTATTCACGATACTCCCGGTTGTCGGCATTTTCTTTGCGCGAACTTTGTCGGCACTTTTCGGCATCATGCATTCCGGAAATACGCAAAATACCGACGCAATCAATACTATCAATGCCCAAAAAATGCCGACAAACCGCTTTCCCGTTCGAGTTGTCGGCATTTTGTTCATTATTTGTCGGTATTTTCGTTGTTGACATTTTAGCAACGCCCAAAAACGCCGACAAGCTGTTCGGACTTGAGTTGGTCGGTATTTCTTTAGTTTCCGGGGACCTGTCGGCAACTTCCGATTTTCAAAGGGAGTCAAAATCCGCTTTTGAAGTGACCGCAATTTTGCGGAAATGTTTTGAAGTTTTTGGAGCTTTCAAAATTTGGTTTTTGGTTGTTTTGGCTGCAAAGATCTCAATTTTTCGAATTTTGAAAAGCGTATGCTTTAAAATAGTCAATTTTCTGAATTTTCCATCAAAAAAAATGGGCCGTCTTTTGGTGTGTTGCGTCGTGCTCCTGCTTCTCCTTCCGGTGGCCATCGCGAAATCGCCGGGTATGGAGAGCTGCATTTTCGGACTGGCAATTTCCTGCATTCACACCGACTGTAATTCCGTCGAACCGGTCAGTTTTAGGAGGGCTAGCAGGCAATCTTTAGGAATTTAAAGACTTGCGGAGGTCTAAATCCAGCCGAAAAAAACCGAGCAAACTAGCAGAAATTATTGAGAAGACGGTAGTTGTAAGTAGGGCAGCCTCGTAAAGATTTTGAGGTCTAAAAGATGATTTTTAAGGGTTTCAGAAGTCAAAATCTAGCGAAATTTGGTCGAAATACCAGAGACTTCTGAGGAAATTCAGGGCAGGCTAGCAGAGATTCCTGAGGATACCAAATCCGTAATAAAGACAAAAACAGGGCAGGCTAGCCGAGATTGTTTAGGAAATGGTTGTAAAACTGGGACAGGCGAGCTAGCAGAGATTTTTGAGGATTTCAACGGCCGCGGTTTAAAGTCAATATCCAGACAAAAAATGGGGCGACCTAGCAGAGATTCTTTAGGAGACATTATAGTGGGACAGGCTAGCAGGGATCTTTTTGGGAAATCAAAGTCCATAAAATGAACGATATTTCAGCACAAAGTGTGTCTTGATGGGAAATGTCGTTGTCAGGCGTGAGGGATGAAGCGGCGTGATGTGAATTCCCGGGAATAAAGATTTTTATCAGCAATTAACCATCATTAAAAACAATTATAATTTTTAAAGGAACTGGGAAGGCAAAGATCCAGATTCCTACAGATTTTGCCGCACCGCGACACGCAACGCGAAAGCTCTCTTTAAATTGCGCAATCGATGACACCCTCATAAAGCTTTTAAAGGGACTGGCAAGGCACGGCTATGGATTTTTTAATCCATGGATCCTCATAAAAAATTTCCGCTGTTAGGGGGCCGTAAGCGATTACGCAATGTAAAGGCGGGCCAACGTGTTGCGTGTCGAGGTGCGGCAAACCCGCAAAGCCCAAAAAATAAATTCGAACGGATTACGGTATTCCGCCACGTTCGGCGGCATCTTCTTCAAAAGCGGAATTCAGTTCCAGCTACTTCCAAATTCCGCTTTGAAGTTGAACCTTCGTCTCTTTTGGGGGGCAAAGATCTTGGTCGATTGAATTTTGAATTTTTATGGGGGCACGACTTAAAAACCGCGTTTTCTGGGGATTTTCATAGATCCCATTGTCTTTTAGGGACCCTATTCGATACACAATTTCATCTTAAAAATTCAGTTTGCCAAAAATTGCCTAAAGGATTACGGTAATCGAAAATCGTGATTTTACGTGCTTTTCCCAATAAACGTAATCTCTAGACAATTTTTGGCAACTGGAATTTGTTCCGGATCTTTTTATTATCGTTCCTATTTGGCTGCAACTAAATTCGCTGTATGGCAAATTGCTAAAAAATACGATAATCGAGAAAATCCGTTTAAAAAAAACCACTAAAATCGCGATTTTACGTGCTTTTTCTCATCTACCGTCATTCCTATACAATTTTTCGAAAATGGACTTTGTTCAGAATTGAATTTTCTATCAACTGATTTGGCTAAAATTGTCTTAATCCCAAATCCGGCCTAGAATGGGGCGTCTAATGTTGTGTTTGGTGGTGCTGCTCACCCTGCTCCAAATGGCCGAGTCCCAGCAGGCGTGCTTTTTCGGTCTGAATCTGATGTGCTGGGCGACGAAATGCGTGTACCCAGCCAAGGTCAGTCGGGAAATTGCAGCGGAAGGGGGCAGGCTAGCAGAGATCATTCGGGAAAATATTGGAATTTTCGGAGCAGAGATTTCGAATTTCGAAATTTTCCAAAAAAAATCAAAAAACTTTTTCAGTGCACGTCATGCGGGGGTGATAACCATTGCCACTGTGTCGTATGCGACTAATCACCAAAGAACGATAATAAATTTTTCTGTAAGTATCTTTAATGAATAAAAATTCAAAAAAGCTCCAAAACAGGTTTTTCATTTTTAAGACAATTTTTTAATTTTTTTTAAAGTTTCAAAAATGAATTTTCGGTCGAATTAAAACAATAAAAAAATACGGTATAAATACGGTCTCCACAGGGTCCACTGACCCTTAAAAACGATTATAAAGGGGATTTCGCATTGTCGAAAACTCGAAAAAATTAAGAATAATAAATTGATTTAAATTTTCAATTTAATTTGAAAAATTTAAGACTCAAAATTTTACAAAAATTCTTAGTGCTAATCGCACCCACCAATTCAACCACGCTCTATCCGAATTCATCAAAAAAATGGGACAAAAACGATGCAAAAAATAATTAAAAATTAAAACTCACCGCGACATCGCTATCCGAAAGCTCGTCCTTGTTGACGAGATGGCTGGCGAATCGCAGATTCTCACTGGATCCGGCTGCCGCTTTCTCTTTCAGCTTTTTGATGGCCTCCTCGATGAGGGTCATGGCTTCTCTAAAAAAATAGCTATAGAATTTGGAGGCCGTTTTTTTCATTTAAATTTTACATGCCAACAAAACTTAAAAAATCCATTTTTCGAGTAAAATTAGCTGGTTTTAGGCAATTTTTATCCATTTTAATCTGTTCGATGCGTGTTCTGGCTTTTCTAAAAAAGTATCTAAAGAATTTGGGGGCTGCATTTTCTAGTTGACACTTTTCCAGACCAAGGAAATTCAAGAAAATGCAATTTTTCGAGTAAAAATACGATTTAATGCTATTTTACACGGTCTCAAATTTCAATAAATCAAAGTTTTAAAAAAATTTAAAATTAGAAGTTAAATTCAATTAAACATACGCATAAAACGAGTCCTCGAGCTCGACCATTTTGCGCCATTTCGGCGTACTGACGAGCTTGTAGAACGGGGCCGAGAATTTGAGCTTCGCCGACAGTTGGAAGATTTCCCTGGAAAAAATATGGATATTTTTAATAACGTTTTATCAACTTCAAAAATTAAAATAAAATACCGATTAATAGCGACGAGCTTGTCGGCCCATTTCATGTTGTCATCGAATGCGCCGAGGCGTTTCTCGAAGACGGTCAGCCCCGCCGCTTCTAGGGCCCATCTGGAAAATTCCGTTTAAGCATTTAAACGACAGGCTACAAAACACAAACTACAAGTCACTGGTCAAAAACTACAAACTATAGACTACAAATTTCAGGGCTAACGGAAAATTACGAAATTGTTGGCGACAAACTACAGACTGCAAATCAAAAATGGAAGGGCAAAATAAAAAAATTTTAAACTACAAAATACAGGCCACAACCCAGGAAATAGACTACAAACCACAAAACCAACGGCTATAAACTGCAGGCTGCAACCTACAAACTACATAATCACAAAATTTAAGCTACAAAATAACTTTCAAAACATATAACCAAACCACTAGAAGGCGAAAATTAACAAAATGTAGACTACAGAGCTACAAAATTACAAAGGACAAACTACGAAATTACAGGCTAAAACTGTAGCTGATTAATTCTAGGCTCCAAACTACAAACGACCAACAAACTGACCTTCCAGAAATGAGCCTCATATCCGCTTCTCCCTTTTTGTCCAAACTCCCATTGATATGCTTGATCAAATCGTCGGCAACCTACGGGAATATAATTTTTTCACGTTTTTCAACCCCATACCTGGTTTACAAAAGGTAAATATTGTAAAACAGCTTGTGGCCTCATCATGGCTTGCTGCACAGCGCTGCGTAGTCGATACCATTCTTCGCCGTTTCTAAAAATCGAGAATTATCGATCGGGAAAATCGTAAAATCGATAAATAACTGAAAACTCACAAATTCCCAAGGCCCGGGTTCATGCCCTTCATTTCACGGTATTTTTGCGTCGTTTCTTGCAGTGGGACGATGTGGGGTTGTCGACCGTCGGCCATTAGCACTTTCTTGGCGTCTTCTGAAAAAAACGGGGCTGGTTTTTCGAAATTTAAAAGGTATTTTAGACCTAAAAAATCGGGTTATTTTGCTTCTAACATCGTAAAAGACATCTTAGCTACTAAAATCGCTCAAAGTTCGCCATGAAAAAGCCGAAGAGCCGACAAAAACCTGTACAAAAATCCATATTTCGGCTTTTAAAAAACGATTTTTGGTCTGAAAATACGGTTTTATGCCAAAAAAATTCATCTGGGCGAAAATCTATCAAAATAATCGCGCGCGAAAAAAGCCAGACTACAAAAAATAGATATTCTTACCCGGATCAAATATATGCACAACGGCGCCGCGGCCCCATCCTTGCTCCACACGAACGACATCTCCATACATGGCGTGCAGGTCGACCAGCGCCCCGAAATACCCGCGAATGCTCGTTTCGTCTGAAAATAACGGGACTAAACTTTGTTATCAATTAGTTTAAATACATAACACATTTTTTTAAAAATTTAGCCTTACAAATCTGTACCAAGGAATTTTGGCCTTTTCTAGTCCATAAAAACATTTTTAGGTTGGTTTCATGCCAAATTTTCGGCTAAATCGCTATTAAAAAATATAAAGCAACGCAACAAAGTATTTTTGAACAATTTTTAATCTAGAAAAAATATAATTAGACCGCTTTTTTGGTTTTGTTCAAGCAAAATAACCAAGAAAAAGTTTCCTTCTGGGCATTAAAAGCATTACGCAATGTTTATCACCAATTTTGAAGCTAGAAAAACTACCTATTAATTTATATTTCCTAAAAAACCGACCAAAACGCCTCATGCTCGACCGTAAATCGCGGAGCCCGACCATGGAGAGTTGCCCTGGCCCGGGGATCGCGGAAAATGGACGAGAAGCTTGCGGAGGAGGAGCCGCTGCTTCTTCTGGGCATTTTACAGGCCCTCCGGAAGTGATGGGGCATTCTGTGGCGTCATGATTCGAGATGGCAGCCGAAGAGGTGGCCGAATTCCGGCAGGCCATCCGAAGATCCGAGACGAGAAGGCGCTCGCACACTCGACGCATCCTGAAAAATAGATATTAATCAATATAATTCTTGCGAAATAGCGAAAAGGAAAGGTTCTTGTGCAATATCGGGGGGGGGGGCTTTTTCCTCCAATTTTTGCCAATAAAAATAGAGGAATTGTGAAATAAAATCAGTCTGAAATTAAAAAAAATAGATTTTGCACACTGTTTTGAAGGTGTCCTAAACGTACAAAAATTCAATTTTTGATTAAAAAATCAAAAATAACGATTTTACGTCCAAAATTCCATCATTTACTCAATTTCTAGATAGTTTTTTACGTCAAAGCTCAATAAATTAAACTAAAAACACTAGAATACTTGCTAATATGTTACTACGCCTCTTTGGACTTTAGGAAATCCTACCTTATATAATTTGGTCGCGTATCTTTGTCTGTGTGTGTGTGCGGAGGTCAGTTTCGAGGCCCGATTTGAGGCCCTTCCCGTCTCCAAAATGCCCCAATTCTTCGTCTCTAGGGGGAATCGACCCTCCTCTTTCCGATGACGTTTTCAGAATCCCGATAAAATACAAGTTTACAAAGTTAAAGCCGGTTTTATTCATTTTTGGGGGTACCTGAGGGCTCATTTGCATAATGTGAAAAAATACAAATTTCCTTATTCTTGCCAGTTGCACACGCGCGTGTGGTCGGTGGGGGGTCCGCAGGACCCGAGCGATCGGAAAGTCAAATTTCTCATGGAGAGGCCGCAATCCAGCGCCCAAGGCCCGCGAAGCGGGTTTTGGGCGCTGGTCCCCCCGATAATGTGAAAGCTCCTAGAAATATCAATTCCGCAAAAAATAGAACAAAATAAAAAGAAAACATCGTAATTCCGATAAAGTCTAGTTTTGCCGTGAAATCCATGAGGATTTGGCAAGAACGCGAGAATGGAACGGCAGTGTACGCGAGGGGGTTGGAAGTAGTCAACAACGCAAAAAGGGCAAAACAGAGGAGGGAAAGAGGGGAAAAGCGGAAAAGAGAGAGGCAGCGGCCGACTTGTTTTCTACGCGCGTTTTGCAAACCTTGGCCCAGGCATGAGCTCCGAACATCGAAGAACGGTCGTTTCGATGGAGGCCTTAATTTCGAAGGTTGACTCAATTAAACTAATTAAAGAGAAATGGTTAGTTAAAACTAGCACTTTAACAAAGATTTGTAAAAGCAGTTTAACTAGAATTCTAAACAATTTTTGAAGGTTACTTCTGAAAAACTAATGTAAAAGCAGGCAATAACGTTTAATAACTTTCTAGGTTCCCTTTTCGAAGTTTATTTTGATAAATTAACTGCTAAACGGTTTAAAATAGTGATTTATATAGATTTTCAAAATTCAAAAACCTAGCTCCACGTTTATTCCGGAAATTTAACTTAGAAGCCGGGTATAAATCAAAGTTTTCAGAAGTTTTCTGACTTAGCGAGCCAGATTTTCGCAAGTTCTCCTAAAAAAAGGCTAAAAATAATGCTTTATTTCAGGTTTTAAAAGCTACAAAATTTCAAACTAATTAGAGCAACAGAATCGGTTCATTGAGACTGACAAAACCTTACAAGATGAGAATTTTTGGCAAGAAAAACCGCATTTATACTTTAAAAAATCGAAATTAAAGCAGATCTTTAAAAAAAACCACGCTAAACAAAAGAATATGGCAACTGTAACTGAAATCCCAGAGATCTGCCGGCCTATCAGCTCGATATGCGGTTGCGCGTTCGCGATAATCTCTTTTTCGCTCGCTTTCTGCCCCAATCAAAAACTGTGACCTTGGCCCGTCAACCACCAACCCCACAAGCGTTCGGTGGCCAGATTTTTATCTGCCACCACCGTTCAAACCACCTGATTATATATTGATCGATACAAACTAAAGTGTAGAATAAAAAACACGATGTGAATAAATATTTACCGAATACAAATAACAACGCAAATTCACACACAAAAACTCAACGAGCCCAATATTTGAAAAATTTAGCGGGTTGTAGATTGTGGCGGTCGAATTGGGTGGCCATCAGATAGTGGGCGAGCGGGTGATGACGATGGATAGGCGGGTAGCAGGCGCGGTTCTGAAAAAAATTAAATATTTCTAATTAAACAACTTTTTACATATCCTACTATATATAAAAAATAGTGTCTGTGTGTGTGCCACTTTGCATGCAACTTCCGTCAGGGTGTCCGGAGGATATCTCGATAAGGAAAGGGTTTTAAGCAACGTATGATACGTCATTAGGTGCGTAATGGCGCTGAGATGCCTGCACACACATCAGATTTTGCAAATTATGCTATTTTCGACGTTAAAATTAAGTTTTTGTTAGAAAATGGAGCACCCACTTTGTTAGGAATCAATTAGGATATGCCGGAAATGGCGCGAGCCTATATAATGGGCGGAAGGAGAGATTTTCATTTTTTTTTTGTCATCGGAATTCGCGAGAATTATGCAAAATGAAGCGTATTATGACGCTAGACGGGGGCCAGGGTTGAAAAGACGCGAAGCGGCTTTCAACCCCTGGTTTTTATCTAAAAACCACGAACCGGAAAACAGTCCAACAAGTGTTGGTTGTCGTCGAAGAGCGTCGTGCACACCGCGCCGTGCCATTCCCCAGAAATCGGCGTGAAAACCTGGAAAATGGGAAAAATGAAAAATATTTTGCACTAGAATTACACCCAATTGGAAAAACTATTTAGAAAAACTTAGAAAAACGCTTAAAAATTGGAAAATTTCGCTGAAAAACCATTTTTTCGATTTTTGCGTTTAAAAAATCAATTGATATTAGAAACGATTTAGAAAACAAAGAAATGAAAAAATTCAAATTTACTTCAAAAATGTCGCTTTGTATTTCTACGTTTAGAAAAAAGATCTTTCGATATTTTTAACAATCGGAAAAACGGAAATCTGTCAGTTTGCCCCCCCCCCCCTCGATATTGCAAAAGATCCGACTCGCCTGCTCAATGCGCCTTTCCCGCGCGTCGACACCGTCAAAGTGATTTTCGAGGGCAGTGAGGTTGTCGAGAAAGCGCCACCAACTCGCTCGCCACTCCCGGCTGGGCAGCTTCGGTGGCTCGACCTCACCAGGAGCCAATCTTCTGGCGGCCCCGTCCCTCGTGAATATGAGGTCTTCCTAAAAAAGCGCTAATTAAATGTTTAAATCAATACCCATGGCTGATCGTCTCCATCCTTGGCTCTTCTTAGTCCTTCTCGACCGACGCTCATCACTTTCAACGTCTTGAAGCCGTCGTTGAGCATCTGCATCTCGTTTTCCAGTGCCGTGTTTTCGAATTGAAGGAAGCGACGGCTAAAAATGATAAAAATAGAGAAATCAAAAATATGCGAAACCTTCTGGTGTTATAATCACAGCCAATCAGCAGAATCGCCGGCTTCGAGCAGCTCAGGTCAGCGATGAGGAGGCCGGAATGCTGAAAAAAAACTAAATAGCTTAGGTTTTAACAGTTTGCCCATTTAAATTAAAAGTTAAGCAAATTATTGGTTTTTTGCATTAAGAAAAATACAAAATATCGATTTTACGATCAAAATTTCAAGAAAAATTTGCTGTTTCTAGAAAAAAAATCAATGTTTTCCAAGTTTTTTACTGTTTTTTCCAATTAAAATACCGGCAAATAGCAAAACTCTAGTAAAACACTTTTGATGACGTTAGTAGCCATTTTTCGACGTTTGAAAAAAATTTGGCCCCGACAATGCCAAAGATCCATTAATGTTAATGGCAACAAAAATACCGTACATTATCTCTTTTGATGAGGCCACAGGTATATCGCAACGAATTCCACTGTCGTCCTTCATAGGGCTTCAACCATTCCGCCATTTGAGCCCGTGATTCGTCGCCTGTAATAAACTTTTTTCGCGTTAAAAATTACGATACCTATCGTATGCTCGTAATCGCCGCGAACCCGTATCGAAAGGTAGACGAAATCGATTTCTCGATCACCGGATGCCCATTCCTAAATTTTATAAAATTGTGAATTTCCAACCATGATTTCACCTTAATCAACCGGTCAGCAAGTGGAAAGAGCGGATCACATCGTCCTGTCGCATTTTCCGAATTTTCGATGGCCGTCAGGAAGAAGCGCTTGGTCTTCAGCATTGCGTATTGTTCAAGGTGGCCCAGCGGTACTTTCAGTTGCAGCGAGTTTATCTGCATCAAACAGAATTTTTCATTTTCTAAAGCCAATTTTACAAAATAAATAAAAAAGAAGTTTTTCTAAACCGTTTCTCGCTCTTTAGAAAGTACAAAACTGCATAAATTTTGATAAAAAATCCTAAAATACAGATTCCGGACGGAAAATCGCTGATCACAGTCAAAACTTGAACATTTTGGACATTATACAAGTTTTTAGATAGTTTTCGCTCAAAATATAGGTCAATTTTAATAATTTTACCCTTTTCAACGGCTTCCATTGTTCATTTCTTCCCAGCTTTTCCATCATCTGCTCTATCGGGCCAGTTTTGGTATCGAGACGAAGAGCCGAGGCGTCGCATTTCTCTAAAAAATAATGACTTTGAAATTCTAGTAAAAATACCTATCAAATTTTGAAGGTCATTTAGATGAACTGGCTGCTGTACGTCCAAAATTCTGCATCGAAGAGTCTCCTCCGCCGGGTCTTTATAGACAAACTAAAACAAGTTAACTTTTTCTACATAATTTTACCAAATCAACGTAACAATTCGTCAGCAGCAATGAATAATGACGGCGCAGCGTTTCCTTGTACGTTTCTCTGGACTTTCGCCTCGAATCCTTGAATCTTCGATATTTGCCATGGCGATGGGAATCGACCCTAAAAATTTTAAATAATTTTTAAACTAAAAAACGAACCTTTCATAGAAATATCCCTTGTTATACTCGTGCAATCGACCACCGCGTTCCAGGGTGACGGTAAATGAGCGGAATTTCACGTTGTAGAAGTGCTTGGGGGCCGAGGCGATGAATTCTTCCAACTCGACAGCCGCATCCGCCAAGTTCAGCAGATCCCATGGGTCCAGATGGGAGAAGATGAGCCGAAGAGCCGGGGCGGGGAGTCGGATGAACGCTTCAGGGTCCAGCATACCTGAAAATGAAAGGATTTTAACGCTATAAACCGCAGAAGACACAAAAATAAGAAAAATTTGGCGATTTCAGCAAAATCCACCCGGCCGAAAAACAGTGCGTAATCAATTGCCGACTGCGCGCAAAAGCGAGGCGTTTGATGCCGATTTGACAGGAAAAAAAGTGCAGCTAACTTTTTAGCATTTTGAAAGCTTGCACAGCCATTGAAAGCAAAATCGTCGCGCTTTGAACCGAACCGAAATACTGGTATTGTGCGCTAGTGACGCTGGTAATGCCGCTAAAGTAACACTTCTTTAGAAATTAAATGGTTTTATTCAACAAAAAGCCAAAACAACAACAACAAATTTGTAACAATTCGGGCGATTCAGTTCTTTTTCTCTTGGACCAATCTTTCACTGAGCTCGGTCAGTCGAGTAGCCAATTTACGACCAACCGGAATGTACGCTTCGCAATGCTTCTCAAACTCGTCGGCCGCCTTCTCCACTGCCGTCGCGATCTCAAGCGCTTCATCATATTTGGCGCGCTTAAGAATCTCGGCCAAACAATCTTTTCCAGCAACGAGAACTTTCTCCACGGCCTCGTCGATTGTGGCCTGGACATGTTTCAGGTTTCCATGCAATCCTTGTAGATTCTCCGTATACGTCTTATCGTTTCGCTGCTCCATTTGGTCAAGTTCGATGCCGAGACGCTTGACAACAGCATGTCCTTGATGCGAGTCGACGACGCAGACGCCACAGAGGACCTTTTGGCAATTATTGCAATTAAAAAGACGCTCCACAGGCTGCTCGATGCAGCAATCCGAGCAGGGTTGCAAGGCTCCGTTCTTACGATCCTCCTGCTTCTTGGCTTCAATGACGTCGATTTCCTTCACTTTTTCGCTCAATTCTCTGAATTGGCGGTCTTGGAGCCTCCTGATTTCCTTTACGACCTTTCCGAATTGGGTCTCAGCATACTTCTCGGTTCCCTCCGTTGTAATGTTGCACTTCTCACAGAGGATTCCCTCATCTTCTTTTTCGTGGATACACTTTAGGCAACAATAATGTCCGCATTCACCGAGGAAAGCGATTTCTCCTCCGAATACCTCGATATTCTCTTCACAGGCGAAGCAGATTGGATCGTTGATTGGGAGGGTATATTCGTATCCATCGTCCGTCTTCTTGAATGCCGGTTGGTTCAACCAGTCCATCATACCTCGGTTGATCGGGGTTTCATCGGGGTAGCATGTGAGACACCAGGAACCGCTATTGCTTTTGTCGTATCCGGGAATCTTTGGCTCTCCTTCCTTGCAATCGAAAGGCTCGTCGCATTGGGGGCAGTTGAAAACAACCGTGGACATTGTCGTTTACCTGAAAATAAAATATTGAAATAGCCTCGTGGGGAAAAACGTTAAACAGAACAGCGAGAAAAAGGTTAGCGGTAAAGGGTTTTCATGAAAATCACGGTCGAAAACCGTATTGTCGATAACAAAATCACCATTTTATAAATTCAACAGGTTTATTCCACAAAAACCAAAACAACAACAAACTGTTAAAATTTCTGGCGATTCAATTCTTTTTCTCTTGGACCAATCTTTCACTGAGCTCGGTCAGTCGAGTTGCCAATTTGCGACCGACCGGAATGTACTCCTCGCAGTGCTTCTCGAATTCCTCGGCCGCTTTCTCCACAGTCGTCGCGATCTCAAGCGCTTCATCATATTTGGCACGCTTAGGAATCTCAGCCAAACAATCTTTTCCCGCGACGAGAACTTTCTCCACGGCCTCGTCGATTGTGGCCTGGACATGTTTCAGGTTTCCATGCAATCCTTGTAGATTCTCCGTATACGTCTTATCGTTTCGCTGCTCCATTTGGACGAGTTCGATGTCGAGAAGCTTGACGACAGCGTGGCTGTGGTGAGAAATGAATGTGCAACTCCCGCAGTTGATCGTTTTGCAATCGTCGCAACTGAAGAGATGTTCCACGGGTTGTTCTCGGCCACAATCCGAACAGCTCTTCACGGCCCCATTCTTTCGCTGCTCCTCCTGCTTCGCTTCATCGGCAGTAATGCCCTTCTGAATCCCGATCTGAATCCCGATCGCTTCCCCGCTGCGCTGCCCCTTCAGGAAACTGGAAAAGGCCATCAAAATGGCGCTCAACTGAACACAGGTCGACTTATCAGAATTGACTCCGCACTGAGAACAGGAAATTATCAGCGCCGCCCACATCCGATTGTTATCGCAGGTCTCGCAAATATAATGTCCACATTTGATCATCGTAGCATCCTTTCCGACGAGCACTTTTGTATCGCCGTTACATGCAATGCATTTTGGATCGTTGATGGGTAGAGTATATTCATAACCTCCATCGACTTTCTTGAATGCAGGTTGATTCAGGAAATCCATCAGGCCTCGATCTAACGTCGTAAACTTAGCAAAGCATGCAAGACACCAGGAGCGACCATACTTCCTGTCGTATCCGGGAATCTTTGGCTCTCCTTCCTTGCAATCGAAAGGCTCGTCGCACTTGGGGCAGTTGAAGAGATCCGTGAACATCGTCGTTTATCTGAAAATAAAATGTTGAGATTGCTTCGTGGAGAAAAATGTTAAACAGAACAGCGAGAAAAGGATAAGTGTGGAGGCTTTTTCCGGCAATCATGGTTGAAAACCGTATGGTCGATAACAAGCTCACCATTTTAGGAATTAAATAGTTTTATTCAACGCAAAGCAAAAACAACAACAACAAATCGATAACAATTCTGGCCATTCACTTCTTTTTCTCTTGCACCAATCTTTCACTGAGTTCAGTAAGTTGGGTGGCCGATTCGCGAGCAACCGGAATGTAGACTTCGCAATGCTTCTCAAACTCGTCGGCCGCGTCGTTAATCATGGTGACGATGTCCTGAGCCTCATCATATTTCGTGCACTCCTTGACTTGAGCCAGACAATCCTTTCCAGCAGCCAACACCTTCTCCACAGCTTCATTGACGCCTTTCTGAACGTATTGCAGATTTCCGCGGAGGCCTTGTATCGTCTCGGTGTACCTCTTATCATTTCCCTTTTCGAGAGTAGCAAGTGCGACGCCTATGAGTTTGACTACTTCATGCCCTTGGTGCGAATCGAATGAGCAATTGCCGCAATTGATCGTCGTACAATCTTCACAATTGTACAGGCGCTCAACCGGCTGCTCGATTCCGCAGCTTGCACAGTTCCGGGCGGTTCTTTCAGCTCCGATAGGAGTGTCCGCGTTTTTGGGCGCAACGGGCTGCGCCAAAACCTTTGCTGCCTTCAAAGCTTCAATTTCCTTTTCTCCGGCCGTCAAGCGCTCCACCAGTGCCTCGATTTGATCATTCCTGGCAACGTGGGAAAAAGCGGCCAATAGGCTGTTCAATGTACGCATATCCGAGGTATCGGCGTTGACAGTGCACCTGTTGCAGAAGAAGGCCCTTCCTGCCTTCTGCTGGGTCGCGCAGCCCTTGCAAAGGGTGTGGCCACACGAAGCAGGGAAAGCTATGGAGCCCACGATGACTTTGATCTCCTCCTCACAACCAAAGCATTTTGGGTCGGTGATCGGCAGAGTGTATTCATAGCCATCGTCCGTCTTTTTGAATGCCGGTTGATCGAGGAAGTCCATCAGTCCACACTGTTGCTTATGCGTCGCCTTCGGGGTGCAGGTACGGCAGAAGACGATTGCGCGAGAAGCTTCCAACACGGGTGTTCTTGGCTCTCCCGTCTTGCAATCGAAAGGCTGCAGGCATGTGGGGCAGTTGAAGAGCTTCGTCAGCATCGTTGATTACCTGAAAATAGAGAATTTATTTAGGGTTTCACATCTATGAGAACATCCGACGAAAAGAGAGGGTGTCGAAAACGGCTGGCGCAACTCTTGCGAGATTATTGTAATCAAATTCGTCAACCGAGAATATGGCCAAAAACCGTAGCGTCGATAACAACATCATTATTTTGAGAATGAAATCGGTTTATTCAACAAAAAGTAAAGGAACAACAGATCTGTAACAATTCTGGCGATTCAGTTCATTTTCTCTTGCACCAATCTTTCACTGAGCTCGGTCAGTCGAGTAGCCAATTTGCGACCGACCGGAATGTACTCCTCGCAGTGCTTCTCGAATTCCTCGGCCGCTTTCTCCACAGCCGTTGCGATCTCAAGGGCTTCATCATATTTGGCGCGCTTAGGGATCTCAGCCAAACAATCTTTTCCAGCAACGAGAACCTTCTCCACAGCTTCGTTCACATTTTTCTGAACGTATTGCAGATTTCCGTGGAGCCCTTGTATCGTTTCGGTGTATCTCGTATCATTTGCTTTTCCGAGAGAATCAAGCTCGACACCGAGCAGTTTGACGACATCATGCCCGTGATGAGAATCGAAGAAACAATTTCCGCAATTGATCGATTTACAATCATTGCATTTGAAGAGACGCTCCACCGGCCGCTCGATGCCACAATCTGCGCAGTTCCTCTTGGCTGCACTTTCGAGAGCTTTTTCCTTTTCAAGTGCATCGAATCGAGCCTTGAATTCCTCGACCTCCTCCTTGCAAGCGGCCAAGCTCTCTTTTAGCTGCTCGATTTCATCATCCTTGACCATCCTTGCGAAGCCGGCCAATACGTCGTCTACAGGGAAATCCTTCCGGTTCATTCTCGGTGCTTTGCATTTTATACATCGAAAGATATCGGAAGTAGGCTTACATTCTTGGCAGAGGTAATGTCCACAATTAGCAGGAAAAGCGCTACATCCCTCCAGGATTTTGATGCTTCCGTCACATTTGGCACATACTGGCTCGTTGATCGGCAAGGTATATTCGTATCCGACTTCAGTCTTTTTGAATGTCGGATGGCCAAGGAATTCAATTAAGCCCCGATGACGCCAAAAATACTTTGAGGGTTTACAGTCGAGACACAAAATCCCGGCTGGCAAGACGATGGGTCGGTGGTCCCCTCCTTCCGTGCAATCGAAAGGTTTGTTGCATTTGGGGCAGTTGAAGGCTTTCGTCAGCATCGTTGATTACCTGAAAACAGCTGATGTAATGATGTTTCAGTAGTCCTCTACGTCCACTGAGTTCAATGGTACTGGACTGTTAGCAGGGGTGCAACCATTTGTTTACTTTGCCCGTATATGCCCACCGGTTACGAATAAATAATGTATTTTTATAGTGTTCTGATTACTTTTTGATTGCTAACAATTTACAAAAATCTTTCATTTGTGAAAATTCGAAAATGTTTACCTTTTTGACCATTTTCATACATTTTTGACCCAAACGTAAAAAAGCACGGAAATTTTTGTGTTTTATGAGATTTTTTAGAACTAAAAAACTGCCTAAAATGTTATAAAACTGGTTTTTATTTTGTTATAGGGTGGTACAAGAACACTTAGAAAAGTTAGTATTCCCCCTGCTAACAGTCCAGTACCATTTCTCGGCATGAACTCTTCTTCACATTGAACCGAAAATTAAATATATTCCAAAAATGTAAGAATTTTTTCAAAGCACGCTGTCTCGAGCGTGAATTTTTTCAAAAAAGCTATCTGGAATTTTTAAAAGAAAACGCGCACGACCTCATTTCCAAAATCGGCAATTTTTTGTAGATCTAAGTGCTACAACTTTCCCGCGTTGTTTTTAAAAAATTGACTAGCAGCTGAAGCGACGAAAACTATGCCTGCAAAACTATCGCAAAATGTTCCAACGATCCCAATAACGCTGCGAAAAATCACGGCTTTAAAAAACCATTTTCTGAAACACCACACCAGGGGGTCTTTGCATATCATAACATTTATTAAACATCAAAAACGCTTCAAAATAACGTAACGTGCCGAATTTATTTCTTATCTTTCATCAATTCTTCGCCGAGCTCGGTCAATCGAGTGGCCAATTTGCGGCCAACGGGAATATATTCCTCGCAGTGCTTCTCGAAATCCTCAGCCGCTTTCTCGATCACCCTCGCAATGTCGTGAGCCTCTTCATATTTGGGGCGCTTCGAGATCTCGGACAAACGCTCCTTTCCGGCGTGGAGAACTTTCCCGACCGCTTCATCGATAGTAGTTTGAATGTATTTCATGTTTCCATGAAGCCCTTCCACATTTTCCGTGAAGCGTTTGTCGTGTTGCTTTTCCAGTTGATCAAGCTCAATACCGAGAAGCTTGTCGACAGAATGTTCACGATGGGAATCGTAAAAGCAATATCCGCAAACGTTCTTATTACAGTCGTGGCATTTGAAAAGACGCTCCACGCGCTGCCCGCCGCCACAGTCCGCACAGGCTTTCAAGGCTCGGGGATGCCGACCTTTCTCCGTCTTGGCTGCAGCCTGCTTCAATAGATATTCTTGTACATCCTTGGTACGGCAGAACGTCGCCAGTAGCATATCGGTACGCCAATCCCAACCTCCTTCCAGCAGGTTGCAGTTTTTACAGAGGATACCAGAATTCGACTTCTTGAAGTCACATTGTTGACAAAGATAGTGCCCGCATTTTGCCATCAACGCATTCTGTCCCTCGAACACTCTGATGTCCCCTTCACATCCGAAACATTTTGGATCGTTGATAGGTAGAGTGTAGTCGTATCCTTTCTTCGTCTTCTTGAATGCTGGTTGATTCAGGAAGACCATTAGACCACGGCAGACTTTCTTGCCGGATGGGTAGCACGTGTGGCAATAGACATATCGGCTAGCTGTATAGCGTGGCATTCTAGCCTCTCCTTCTTTGAAATCCAATGGCCAATCGCAACTTTGGCAGTTGAAACCATCCGTGAACAACATCTGAATTAGCCGCTTTTATGGGATCCAAACGCGCAGGTTCTTATAATTCCTAGGCTTCAACTACCACAAATCCATCAACAAGAATTCAAGCCGTAATAATACTTTATCCGCATCAATCCACACAGAGAAATGACGATAAAACATTCAAAAACAATTCGAATAGGGGAGGAATGTGAGTGGAGAGGCCGAGGGATAACAAATACACAAGTTGACACACAGCGTTTCTAATTTAACATCAATCTTGTTCTATTAAATAAATTGAGCATCAGCCGAACGTGACTTTCTTGTGGGGCAAATGGCCGACATCAGAAAGACTTTTCAGAGTGACACGGCCATTCGGGCGGATTTGCAGCCACGTGATCGAGCAGTTGGCGACGGATAGACGGAGCCAGCCTTCCGGAGGGAATTGTAGCGCTCTGCAAATACAAAATTATCTTTATTTTGAATAGAAAAGAAGAGAGAAAAGAAGAAAATACCGTACCGACAGACAAAATATCGGATGACGTTGGAATGGCAGACGAAAATCTCGGTCGAATCGTCGGTCTGGCGCGGCGATGCACGGTGGAAGTATTTGCGAAAAGCCGCCTCGATCCGCATTCCGTCTGTCACAAATTCCTACAAATAAAATTATCTGATTAAAATTATAAAAAACGTACATTGGTGGAGGGTACCCAGTGATAAGCGGCCGGTTCGGGTGGATACGGTGGGCCCTCCTCGAGCATCGGATCCATTTTACGCACCAGATCGGGTGGAAGCTGAAAGAGAGTACGTTACGAGACTAGCAACACTCCACCTTTTGCAGCAAAATATCGGCCGTTTCGGTGGCTCGATTGAGTGGAGACATGTGGAGCGCGTCAAACTGAATTAAAAAGAAAGCATTACGACATTTATCTAGTGCGGACCTTGATGCCGGTGATGGCCAGCCGGTCGGCGAGCAGATCGGCTTGTTTTCGGCCTGGAAATTGGTTTAGATTCAAAGAAATAGATACCAAGATCGGACAGCGATTTTTCCTTCGAATCCATGACATATTGGCCGTGTCTTATCAGGATGATGTTCCGATTGGCCGTCGGTTTGTACTAAAAAGAATAATAAATTGAGTAAAATGCCATTTTATACCTTTCCGACGAGCTCTCGCTGCTTGTCCTTCGAAGCATTCGGATCCTTGGCCACGGCCAGCTGCCTCGGCTCGCGACTAAAACAAAGAATTAAATAATTAAAACAAAAACGTACTGATCCCAATTGGAATCCCATGGTTTTCTCGGGTACACCTCGCGGCCCTCCTCAATTTCAGAGAGTTTGTAGATTCTTGACGGGTCACTCCACGCGTGGACTTTTCTGAAAGATCAAAAACTGTGTAAAATGAAGACTGATACCTGCTCAAAAAGTGTGTCTGATCCCCGTCATAGTAGTAGTGGACGGTGGTCACGGTGGCAGCAATTGGGCCGACTCGTTTCAGCAAATACATTGCCGCAACGAGGGCAACGAGTTCACCAGGGAGAGTCGATCACCACACCGTGTCGTTGTCGTCAAGTTGAGTGCCGGCATTCTGAAAATAATTGTGAACGCGATAACAACGATATGCAAAATACGAATTCAAAGAGAAATTCCCTAGAAAATGCGAAAAACCTACAAATTCCAGTGTGAAGTGCAGTTGGAGAGAATGTTCGACTCCCCTTCCTTGCCGTCCGAAGGCTTCTTGCATTGTAGACAGTTGAAAATACCCGTGAAAATCGACGCCTGAAAAGAAGATTTAGTACAAAAATAAATAAATGAAAGACCGTAGGAAACATATGCAAAGTCAAAAGTTAAATCCGCAAATTTTCAAAAGCACAATTTCGGCAAAATTTGCTAGCGGCGAGCAAGCGCGTTCTTTTAAAAAGCGACCTTTTCCAAACAATAAGTTTATTCAACAAGCAAAACGTGAAAAACAATAACAAAATGAAAGCAATGACTGCATCTTATTCCGTATCTTTCGCCAGCTCCTCGCCGAGTTCCGTCAAACGAGTGGCCAATTCGCGAGCAACAGGAATGTAGTCCTCGCAATGTTGCTCGAATTTTTCGGTGGCTTTATCCACCCTATCGACGATTTTGAGTGCAGCTTCTATGTTGACACACTTCTTGGTCTTCAGGAACCGTTTCTTTCCAGCCGCCAAGACGTTAAATACGGCCCGATCTATAGTAGTTTGGATGTGCTTCAAGTTTCCGTGCAGGCCCTGCAGAATTGAGGTGAAAATGCTTTTGTGCTCCTCCTCAATTTCGTCGAGTGCGATACCGAGGAGCTTCTGCACAGAGTGTTCACGATGGGAATCGAAGAAGCAGTTTCCGCAAAGAATTTTATTGCAGTCGAAGCATTTGAAAAGGCGCTCGACAGCCTGCTCAGCGCCACAATCCCAGCAGTTTGTCAGGGCTCCGGTTCTTCGCGCTTCTTCCTTTTTGGCCTCAATCTGATTCAACTGCTGTCCACGTACGACCTTGGCGAAACAGAAGCGCAGTAATACGTTGTCGATACGCCATCCTGATCCGTCTGTCTGAACGTTACACGTGTTGCACATCCTGCCGATCTGCGACTTATTGCGGTCACATAGCTGGCAAAGATAGTGTCCACATTTGCCAACGAAGGCGCTCGCTCCCTCCGTCAATTGAATGTTGCCTTGACATCCAAAACAGACTGGATCGTTGATAGGTAGAGTGTAGTCGTATCCCTTGTTCGTCTTCTTGAATGCCGGTTGGTTCAGGAAGTCCATTAAGCCCAGATGTAGAGTACCGTATTTTGGGCAGCAAGTGTGGCAGCCGACGCATTGGTAGTAGGTATTGTATCTGGGAACCCTGGGCTCTCCCTCTTTGAAATCGTAAGGTAGCATGCAGCTGGGGCAGTTGAAAGCATTCGAGAACGTCCGCATCGATCTGAAACAGAAAGCGTTTTAAGTTAGCAAGAGGCGCAGAATCACTATAATGTGAAGGTCCAAGGACCGGAAATTCTTCGACAAAAGGCCAAGCCGTAAGACTGCTTTATCCGAATCGACAAGCACACAAAAATCTGACAAAATATGTAAACGAAAACAAATCGAAATAGTAGAAGAATGTGACGAGACTTTTCAGAGCAAAGATGCACAACTACGAGACAAACAAAAACAAAAAACAAAAAGATATCACAACCTAACAAACAACAAATAGATAGTTAGAAGCTCGAAAAAGATACAGCAAAATTAGAAAAATTTTTGCGAGTCGGTAGGAAGAGATCGTTGGGAACCGGAGGCTGCTGAAGACGAACGGGCCGATTCGCCTTGGGAAGTGCACGGGAGGTAGTTGTACAATTTTCTGCGCAAGTAGTCTCTAAAAAATTCAATGGAAAAGTGAAACTGGAAAAATAATAAAAAATCTTTCCAAAAAACGTACGTAACGATATAGCGTGAGCCGAGTCCCGCGCCACCAGTCAACACCTCCAGCTCGACCTTCTTTCCTATTTCCAGCATCTTTTCGGCCTAAAAAAAAACAATTAAAAATTTCCTCAAAGAAACGCTGCTAGATCGATCTCACAAAATTCCAAAAATTACCTCTTTGACAATGGCCGGTTCGTTTATTTGGGTGGCCCGGTGGACGAGTTGGCGCAACCTTTTCTTTTCCGCAAATTTGATCGGCAGGTATTGATCCTGGAAAAAAATCGTGAAAAATTAAGCAGGAAAAAATTACCTCCGGAATTGGCAAACTGTCGAGGTCGGAGAAGCCGAGGCCGAGCCATCTGGAGTTCAGAGTTCGAGGAAATTTTGGGGAAATTTACTGTATCTTGGGGACGGCGACACCGCTCGATTCGACATGCCACTTCCCGGAGCCGTATTTGTAGGACAGGTAGATGGAGAGACCTGAAAAAAATGATATAGGTTCCATTAGGCGATGAAAAGCAGCCCACCGTGCACGTCAGCATCGAAGAGGCCAAAGATTGGGATGGCCAGGCGATCGCCGAGGAAACGAAGAACTTTTCGAGAGCAAAGATCTGGATACCCGCGACCCTAAAATAGAAATCATGAAAATTCCGCGACAAGCCACTGACCGTCATGAGAATGGAGTGTGGAAACACGTTGAAATATCCGGCATCAATCAGTCGTTGGAAGGTGGCGTCCTTCTCGATGACGAGGATGAATAGAGCCGATGAAATTGGACGATACTCCACCAGCGACTCGGATATTGGGATCGCCGCGGCGCGGGCATCGATTGTTTTTGCTGGAAAAATGGATAGATGAAAATAAAGTAAAAACCTTCATCATCGATGAAGGTGAGTTCGCCACGGAGGAACGCTTTGCTGCTTGACGTCTGCAAAGTTCGGGCTAAAAATTAGATTTATCGGAATTTTAGGCGAAAACACTAAGGAAAACAAGTCATTTTCATCGTAGGAGTTCTAAAAAAACACTCAAGCTTGCCAAGGTGCTAGAGAAAAAAAATGTCCGCTTCAAGTCTGCAAAATTTTGATGATTTTCGAATCTAGGCCAAAATAACGAAAAACTGTGGAAAATATACGCAAGAGTTCTTCAAAAGCAAGAAAAGGTAGCAAAGGCTGTTAGAGTTAAAACACTCCCTTACAATGCGAATCTTCTGCCGTTCCACATCCAACAGCTCGCAGACATTTGTGATAGCGCTATCGGCCCTCCGTTGTGTCTCGTAGATCATTTTGTCATCGTAGAAGACGTCCCTCTTTGTTGCCGTAGCGTTCGTCTTTGATAGTTCGTAGACCTAAAATATAAAGCATAAAAAGAGCTTCCACGCTTACCTTGGCCAACGCTGCCATATCTCGGGCCAGCTTCTCGAGACCGGCGGCCGTATTCGTGTAGCCGAGGCGGGGCTCGGTTCCATCGAGATTTCTAGAAAAAACTAGTTACCAAACAGTGAAAAAATATAAATTTAACGATAAAACGTACGCGGTCAACTGGAGTTGTCGATACGAGGCGCCCGGTTGGGACAATTGGCGCATCATGTTGCCGACGATGTCTTCAATCTTCTTTTCGACGACATCGCCACCTCGAGGCATTACTGCAAAAAAAAAACGATAAAAAAAGAACACATATAGACCCATAGTTAAAATCAAGTTTTCCTATTTTTTAAACTTAAAAATTTTAATATCGGAAAGTTACTAAAAACGCGCGCATAGCTACGAAACACAACGCCTTGCCGTCATTTGGAGTGGAACGGAATTGAAAAATAATTAGCAAAATAAAAATAAAAAACAATTAAATTTTTGCTTTCGTAGTTTTTCCACTTGAGTGACCTTTAAAAATCGTCTTCTACGTCATTTGACGCCAAAGCACGGTGCGATAAGCTTTGGTCGGCGTTTCCGCCTTATCAGCGCATGGAAAACCCGAGAATTCCCTCAAAACCAGCTGCCAGCGCTTTTGATTTGGCTAAATTGGACGTTCTAGTCTAAATCTTCATTTTTGGGATGCGTTTTTTCCTCGCTTTCATCGCGCTAGGGCTTCACCTTGGTAAGTCAAGTTTGGGATCAGGTAAAAAATGGACGTTCCGGCCGTCTGTTGCGAGAAAAGTGGCAAAAACTAGAACTTTGAGGATTTGCTTGGGTCTGATTTCGGTTGTAAGCAGTTTTTCAGTCTCAGCAAAATGTACGATAGGGCAGGGCAATGTGGAGCCATGCGGAAAGCATACGGCAATAATTGTCGATTCAACAAAATATCAGGCCGATGAGAAAACGGCTACAAAGGTATTTCCCGGGACGATCGCGTTGATTTTAATAGTTTTTCCGTAGTTTTTAACGTCTTTTCGATGTTGTTAGCTGTTTAAAACCGCAAAATCAGAGTTTTATGATAGTTTTTGACGTATAGAACCGATGAAAGCCAATTCCAGGTGTTCGAATTCGTGTCCACCTACCTCTCGACGCTCGATCTCTCATCTGGAAACTATTCCATAACGATGGGCTATTATGGATTGGGTGATCCATCCGTTTCGTGGAGCCCTATCATGCTCGATTTCGCGAAGAGCAGCCCGAAAGTGCTTTGCGAGAACTACGAGGGGCTACTGACGTACGAAAAAGCGAACCATTACGGGATCTGCTTGATTGAGACGTTAGTTTTCTCGTAAACTGACCGGCAGGGATTTTTCAGGAAAATATAAAAATAAAAAACTAAAATTTTCTAGCGCTCTGCTCGGTCTCTACAACATTACCGGTGTTTACGAGAGTCATTACGACGATGTTTTATGGATTACGGCCACACAGTGAGGATTTAATGAAAGTTACGGTAACATGAGCATTTTCTAGCGATCAAGTGGATGTGGATGAGTCGGCCAAATTTCTTTCTGCATTTGGAGCCACTCGATTTACTGTGGTTAACATGGGGACGGCCGATTTTAGCTCCTGGAAAGGCGCTAGGTGAGTATAAAATAGTTATTACGATGGAAAAGCAAATATGAAACCCGTTCCAGACCTTTAAAAAACTAGAAAAGCTTAAAATTGCGAAACATTGGCTCAAAACCCGATGCTTTATAGCGTTTTTAGGCGTTGTAGTTTGTAGTTCTTGACAATTTACCAGTCAGCTTAATTAAAATTATACTTATGGGTTTTTGTGTCAAATCTATAAGGCTGAACCGACGAATGCGGCATCTATTGGAGCAATTGACCTCTCCGCTCCCCATGTCCGCCCGAAACGCGCCCCGCCTGGCCCACCCATTTGATGGGGGTATATAAGGAGGGTCCCTTCCCCACCCCTCGTTCATTCCTATGAACATATACTAAAATTGGAACAATACAGAGAAGATTAGCATGGCCCCTGCGCAAGGATGACACGCAAATTCGTGAAGCGTTCCAAATTTTTTGCCTTTTTAGGATTAAACTAGACAAATTTTAATAGTTTTTGCACTTTTAGAATAGGCAGATGATTTACTGATCAGGACTGGAAAAATAGAGTTTTTCGTAAAATTGGGTTGGTTTTAACGGGTGATACCGTTTTTCAGGGTAATCTGCCAGCAATATCCATTCCCCGCCGATTTCTCGGCTACCGTATTCTCGCAAGTATGCCGAAACAACCAGACGGCCGATCAGGGCTGCAAAAATTCGCCCGCAACTTCAACCCAGCCACGACCAATGACTACCACTATGCCAGTATTTTCAGACAATTTGACGTGTCCTTGTGAGCCGAAAAAGGTCAGGATTGGCTTTAAGATCGTCTAAAACCATTGCAAAATGGCTGTAACACCAATTATACCGCTAAAAAATGTCTTATATTTAGGTGTGGAACGACGTTTATGTTCTTTTTGATGGTGTATTGTTCACGGCGGCCAAGTTCAAGCAGGTGGGGGATGCTAAAATTAGTAATTTTCAAAATTGACAGGTAGTATCCATCATCAAAGACTCGCTCTTCCAATTATCGATCGGCCAGGGGCAACAGGATACGAGGATTGGGATTTCTGTTTATGGTAAGTCGATTTTTTCGCGTTTTTACGCTATAAAAATCCAATTTTGGGTTAAAATACAGCATGATATAAATCGTTCGATGCAGCAAAAAATTCGGAAAAAATTAGCGTTTTTGAACACGGCCTGGAAGCTACGGGATTTGAGAAAAGTAGCTTTTCAAGCCGTTTGCTGCAGGGTTTTGTAGCAATTTGTCACATTTTACTATTTTTTCAGTCTTACAAAAGTTTAGGAGACGTTATTTTCAGAAGTTTTTTAGCTTGGTCGCACGGACTATGCTTTGCCTTTTAACTCATTTAAATAAGCCAAAAACGCTCGTTTTAGGCGATACTGTGCACCATCTGGCCAGCCTCGACCGCTACACAAATTCCGACGGTTTCATGACACAACAAATCCAGCCACTGCCTTCCGATTATGGCACAAACATCGATGCGTGGGGCTTTTTCACATCCAATTAATTTTTGGCGAATTTCCAGCGCAATTTCGGATGCTCGTGCTCATTTCAACAGCTCTGAGCACCGTCCGTATGCCCGGAAAGTGATCATCGTGGTTGGGGCCGGATATCGGTAACATAAAGGGGGCTGTGAAAATGGGCTAAAACGATTGCAGGGACGGCAATTACTCCTCGCCATCCTATTCAGCATTGGTCTTCCAAAACTACGAGGGCGGTATCATCATTTCTCTTGGTTAGTTTTACCGGTAATTCCTGGATACTAGGAGCTAGATCGATTACGCCATTAAATTTACTCCGACTAGCAATTGTTTACGCTATGAAATTAACCAGTTACACGTGCAAAATTCCGGATTCGATTACGCTATCAAAATAGTTGTCATGCAACCAATTTCGCAACCAAAAACCAAAAAGTATAGCCGATTACGTTACTAAAATCGCTAGATTATTAGATTACGCGGTCAGATATCGATCCAAAGGCTGAGGCTATGAAAATCAAAACTCTATTCAATTACGCGATCAAATAGAGCGTCAGTCTATCCGATTACGGTGCGAAATCTTAAATTTGTTCAGATTTCGGGTATAACAACGGCTCGACGAATGTCCTGAAATCGATCGCTAGCCGTGGGTATTGGATTGACGGCCTCAATCTCTATCAGGATGAGGATGAAAAGGCGATTGTGCATCTGATGTGTGAGGGTACGGTGGATTGAAGGATACGGTAGTACGGACACCCTTTAGCAAATTGTCTCTGCCCAAAGGGGTATCGATCTGCACAGGATACACCCCGGTATACACCGGCTGAAGGATGTTTCAAGGTGAATTTTGGTACTTGTTTTTTAGCGGGGGGGGGTAGCGTTTGCCTATCGCGCTATTGGACCCAGCAATGAAACCCACAACACCTTTATGGTTTTTTGCCAATTTTTAACCTATAAAAAGCCATTAAAATTTTCGAAATTTTGGTCAAAATGTATTGTAATTTTAAAAAAATTCGTATTTTTAATTTTCTAACTTTTCTAGGGATTTTTTTGATAATAAAAAACAACCAAAAATACTCGTAAACGTACCTGCTAAAATCACCTAAATTTTTTAGGTTTCAAACGCCGCAACCGATGCCCCGACAGCTTCGGGAGTTTGTGGGAATGATGGAGGGGTGTTGGGCGCTACAAAAGACACCTATCAACGCGTATTTGCCGTTGGGGGTACGGTAAAAGGGACGACGGATAGAAAACTATTTTTCCAGCCCAATCAAATCAGGATTCGCCCCTCTGGGTGGGGCTTTCAAAGGATAATGGGTTGAATTGGATGTGGTCAGATGGAACACCGATGGTATGGCTGTTTTTTTATGCAGCTTAAAGATCTTTAGAGTTTTTAGTGAGTTTTTAGGTAGCAAAAACTCGAGAAAAATCATTAAAATTAAATTAATGGTTTTTTGATAAAAAATGTATCAACGTACAGTACTAAATACCAATTAGATGTGGGCTAAATTTCAATTTCACACAATTTCGACAATTTTAATGATTTTTCACGAGTTTTCTATACCCAAAACAGAGTAAAAAACTGTAAAAATCGTTAAAAAGTCCAAAAACGAAAAGAACAAAGTTGTATCAACGCCACGCGACCGCACGCGTCGTAGCGCTAAATAGGCCTTGTTTTTCAGAATGCGTCCTCTCCAATCGTGGCCGGCCCGGGTTCTTGTGCATACCTAAAGCGGACCAGCGGTTTCCAAACAGCCCTCTACCAAGATGACTGTTCTCAATCCCATCCCTTCATCTGCCAATTGCCGCCCTGTTCATCTACAAATCTTTGCATGTGATAGCCGATAATTTGAGGGAAATACATCGCATAAAAAGTTTATAAAATCTCGAAAACCTGAAAAAGTGACAAAAAGGCTTAAAAACGACAGAAAAAGTTAAATAAAAACGAGAGATAAATTTGCATCTAGAAAAATAATAAACTGAATAACTGCCATTTTACTTTTTGCTGTCCGCAGAATGGGTGGTTTGGTGCTGGTGCTGCTCCTTTTCCTACCCGTTGCTCAGCTCCGACCCGAAAATGATGGCATAATCTCGGCGGTAGTTTTTCGGTGCTAGATTGTTAGCGGGGGGGGGGTCCAATATACAGCTAGTAAAACTGAATGTCTTTTCTAGTCCTTTTCAAAGTGCACAAAATGCAAGATAAAACTTTCAAAATTCTGCACTTCTTTCTGCACTTTCTTAAGAGGAAAAAATTAAAAGGTAAGAGTTGACTTTACCCCCCCACAGCCGAAGGGTCTCAAAGTTGTCGGGATTTTTGCAACGCCATTCGATAGAGCGTCGAAAAATATACTAAGAGTTTTAATTTGAGCCTACAATAATGTAAAATAAAAAAGTTATAGTCAAAAACTTCCGGCTGGGGGGGGGGGGGTAAAGTAAACCGTAGCCAATTAAAAATGACAAAATTTTAGGAAATTGTGTGTGACGTGACGGGATGGCCGTGGCACCCTGTGCATGACTGTAAACGGGTGACACGTATCCCATATCCACCCGCTGTCGATGAAGATGTCGATTGGGGTATCGCCTACATTGAAGAGGTCAACAATGGCGATGGAACATTTACACTCGTTGCTTATGGTATGTTTAGAATCGAAAAGCTGCCCTTCTCAGTCAATTTTCGTTCAGTTTTCGGTACTGGACTGTTAGCGGGGGGACTTTTTCCGCCTATTTTATTTTTCAGGCTTCTATAATGTATTTTAAAGTCTTTTTGGTAATTTTTGCTTGCTTAGAAATTTTAAAACTACGATAACAATGTTAAAAAATGAAAAAATTGCGATTTTTGGAAATTTTTACTAAATTTTTTACCTAAATTCTGTCTTTACCTTTATGGTATTTTTTACCTAAATTCTGTCTTCATTTTTTACCTAAAAATTTTTTTACCTAACTTTTCAAAATCTGTCTGAATTTTTAGGTTTTTTGTGTATCTTATATGCACAGTATAACTGAAAAGTTGCCCTCCCCCCCGCTAACAAACCAGTACCCAATTTTTACAAATTGATACATTTCAGCGTGCCCTCATTCGCCCTCCGAATATATCTCTTTTTGCGCGACGAAATGGGTGGATGCGGAGGGGGCTAGTCGGCAAATGAATCCAGTTGGATGTTGGCAGTATGGCTTCAGACTCTACCCGGATATCAGCCTTCAATGCGGTCTGTTTTTTTCGGTCCGGACCGCAACAACCCTAGCTTTAAGAAAAAGTTTTACCACCCCCCCGATAATGCTAAAGAACCCGTTTCAGAAGAGCCACCAGATCTCGATCCATACGAGCGGAAGCAGTACCCCAATTTCCCGATGCAATTGGCCGCCGCGGCCAGCTGGTCTTTCATGGAATTGACCGAGAAACACTTTCAAACGAGGGTATGTGAAAAACTAAGAAACTTGGACGGCTGCCCGGTGCTTGTCGCTTAGCGGGGGAGGGTTATTTTATCCCCAGTCACGCCATGTCGCACAAATAAACCAACTTTATGGTATTTTGCGCAGTTTTTCGGGAAAAATCCAAAAAAAATTTACGATAGATTTTGACTCTTTGGTCAAAAATACACGAAAAATTTACTGGCTACGATCTGAAAATACTTACGAATTTTTAAGCATTTTGACAGCTTTTTAGTCATCAAAAACTATTGAAATCACTATAAAAACGGGTTAATTAATAATAACAAGTAATTAAAGACGATTGTTTTTAGTTGAGCTCCATCATTCCCCAGAACATCTACCCGAGGACGTTCGAGTATCAGGTAGAAAGATTCTGATCTCCTTTTTGGAAAAAGTATTAGGACTCGTGGCTGCCGGGGGCAACTACAACTACGACAACACCTTCAACTACTTTGTCAACCACCACCAACCCGCCAACAACAACAACACCAACAACTACGACTACCACGACTTCAGCAAGTACGACTACGGCGTCTACCACACGTACAACCACCACTACTACCACTACGCCAACGACTAAAGCTCCGATGACTACTACGAGTACGACGGCAACAACTACAAGGAGTACAACCAGCACAACTACTACGGCGGCATCTACCACGACGACGACTGCAGCAAGCACAACCACGCCATCTACTACGATGACGACAACTACGGCAAGTACTACGATGACCACCACTACGAAAATTGCCACAACTCCGAGTACATCTACCACCCAAGCCACGAACCCGGCATCGACGACGCCCGACACGACGACTTCAGCAAGTACTGCCAAAACATCTCCCCCACCGCCCGGCCATTCTGATGAACATGGTGGTGATGATGATGATTCGGAACTGTGGGTGGATTGACCGGTACTTGGCTATTAGCGGGGGGAGGTTAAATCGAAAAAAGTCGATTTTTCAGCTCGTTCGTGGAGATCATCTTCGGTGTCTGTGTGGGTATACTGCTCTGTGTCGCGTTGACGGCCGGCATTTGGATGATTTTTTGGAAGAGCGGAAGGGAGGGTAGGGAGCTTCGGGACGTCAGGATTTTTCCCTAGAGGCTTAGGCTTTTTATGAAATTGCATGTCGTTTTTTGTGATCAAAAGTTCACAAAAAATTTATGCAAAGTTTCGAAAAAATTCAAATTTTTTCGTGAAAATCCTAAAAAAACAAAAAAGTCATTTTTAGAGCCCCGATCCGTCTCGTTGGACCCTGCCTCAGTCTCGGTCCAGTCTCAATCCGTGTCGATCAGTGGTGAAGTATCCCAAACATCTCAACGCTCTACGGCCAGTCAACAGACATCACAAAGACCATCGATGAGTAGTGGAAGGAATCCCTCTTGAGAATCGAATGGAATGGAAGTGCTTTATGAAAGGATCATTGACTATTTGTGTGTTGTTCAGATATCATTTCCATTAGAGATATGGTGTGTTTTGTATTTCGATTCTGATTGCATTTTTGATGTGTGGATGACAAGGGAATAAATGGATCGATAGAGAGAGAGACAGGACGCGAGAGAGTGAGAGAGAGAGAAGACGCGAGAGAGTGCGAGAGAGAGAGGACGCGAGAGTGCGAGAGAGAGAAGACGCGAGAGAGTGAGAGAGAGAGAGAGAAGACGCGAGAGAGTGCGAGAGAGAGAGGACGCGAGAGTGCGAGAGAGAGAAGACGCGAGAGAGTGCGAGAGAGAGAGAGAGGACGCGAGAGGGAGAGAGAGTGGACGCGAGAGAGTGTGAGAGAGGACGCGGGAGAGCGAGAGGACGTGAGGGAGTGAGAGAATAAGAGAGGGAGAGCGCGCGTGAGAGAGAGCGAGATATGCTCGCTTCACGAGAATTTGGATGCTTCCTCAATGAAATTTGCTAGCTTGCTCTCCCATTCCAGCTCCAAATAACCTCCTCTAGTTGACCTCATATGCAAATGGTGCTTTAGAATCCTAAGCAATCGCCGCTAGCTCATCACGCCATGTAATTCCGTATTTAGCGGATTCTGATGGAATATTTGAGTTTGATCGTTCAATGCAGCCGGTTTTCGCCAGGAATCTACCGTCTTCCCCCAAAGAATCGCTGATAGCTTTCCATACATGTCGAATTCCAAAGATCCTAAGTATACCTTGTTAGCTGACCCTCACGACGTGATATTCCGAGTTTTCTATCTACATTTTTAAGGTAGATCAGGTACGACAGTACGCCAGCCAACCATAATTTGCTTTTCCGCAAAGGATTTCTGCAAGCTCCCCCTCAAAAAGTTTTGAAGTTTCGAGTTTTATGCCCTTTTCTCCAATCGACATCAGCCATCCCCTAAAACCCTCCGAAAAAAGACAAGTCCATGCTTGATTGCCTTTCTCTTTTTCTGGAGGGCACGAAAACCAACAATCATCTCAGTCAGCTAGATAAAACGAACAAGAAGAAGCCGATTCTTTTGGGGAGCATAAACTCCACTCTTCCAATCCCCCTCATACTTCTTTTCTCTAGTAAAGAGAATCAACTCACCCCAGAAGAGTTTGTGGTGTCCGCAGGGATTGAATTAGAAGAGAGAGAGAGCGTTAGGGAGAGAGAGAGGGAGAGAGAGAGAGAGAGAGAGAGAGAGAGAGAGAGAGAGAGAGAGAGAGAGAGAAAAGAAGGGCCTCTACACTCCAATAGTTCCAGCCTCCTGGGGTTTTTTGAGCCCGGAGATACCACTATTCTTTTTGTTCTAAACAAAGGAACTTTATGTGGAAGTGCGGCTGATGAAATTACGGCGATCTAGTCTGCCAAAGTCGAAATTTGCTGTTACTGTCCCTTTAAAATCGAATTTTCCGTGTTTTTTTTTTGGCTTGAATAGCCAGCCAGCAGAGATCCTTTGGGAAAATGAAACTAATTCAATTCTCGACCATCTTCTCGACACGTAGAAATTTACGGGAACTAAAAACTTGCTGTCACTGATCCTTTAAAGCTAAAATTTCTGAGATTATAGGGCGAGAAACTTACCTTTTGGAGGTTTGGAGGGTAACTAGCAGAGATTTTTGGTGTGGGACAGAGGGCTAGCTAGGGCAGATTTCTTGCGAAAGCTTGATTCTTTTTAACCTCAAGGCGGCAAAAATTGAGATTCTGAAGCCACCATTTTTTGCAATGGTCAGCTAGCAGCGTTTCTTTGAGGGGAGAGAGAGAGAGAGAGAGGCAGAGCGAGATCGAGAGAGAGAGAATGAGAGAGAAAGAGAGAGAGATTTTCGCCATAAAAAAGAAATGTTATATTTTTGCAGGGCGGCCAGAAGCGATCATTTGCTCTCCTAACTAACGGCAGACTAGCCGAGTTTCCTGTGGAATCACCTCCAAATCCCATCCAAAAAGTAGTGCGGGCCCCTTAATTGGCATTTTCCTCCCCCGTGAAAGCAGAATTTTCCTGCGATTTTCCCCGTTAATCCCCGGCCACCGTATCTTCTTCGTCTTCCCCTCAAGATATCCGATAATCCGCTGTATCGCCTCGCGCAGGTATCCAGACCCCCATTTTTCATATCTCTCTCCCTCTCCCTCTCCCTCGCTCTCTCTCCCTCGCTCTCTCTCTCTCTCTCTCTCTCTCTCTCTCTCTATCTCCTTCCTCTCCTTTTAACCCATCGATCCGGTCGACCGGATTAAGTCGGAAAGACCCCCGGGCCGGGCCATAACTCTCGTCAATTTTCCTCATTTTCTCCCCCGTCGGCCGGGGGGTGTCGATTGGATTCTGGCGTACTTTTTGGGGGTATAATTTAGTTTATTGCGTTGTAATTGGAAAATTACGGTTGTCAATCGATAAACTGGCTGTCAGTTCGGATTCTCAGGCTTGAATTGGGGTCCCGCCGCGCTACAGTAACCCTTTGTCCGGCGGGATACCGCATAAAAACCCGGAAAACCCAATTTTTTCATTATTAACCGTCGGGACTCGATAAAGGGGGTAGACTCGAGCGAGCTATGCAAATGAGGCTCTGTCAGTGAGTGGAGACTTCCCATTGCCCTTCCCCCTCCTCGGGGGGTTTGACTAATCTCCCATCCACATTCGCACGTTTCCCAGGTTTTTTGAGGAAGCGGGGGAAATTGGGTATTCCTTGGCGGATATCTTGGTTTATTAAGTTTTTTGGGGGAATTGAGATTATTGATCGAATTTTAGCATTTCTGAAAACACTAGGCACCGAAAAATCCCTTTAAAATTAGCTAAAATTGATTAGAGCTAATTTAATTAATTTTACTTAAATTATTGATTGACAAATTTAAAAATTTGCAGCTTTGTTTGTTTGGTTACTTTGCTACAAGTAATTTGCCATTTATTCTGTTGTAACAAGCGAAAAAATGCCGATTTTTCGAGATTCGGGACTCTTAATGCCATAATTTTTGCCATTTTTTGTGCAAATATTCCAGAAAAACTATAATTCCTTCCATTTACCATGTAAACGAATCACATTCCCCACCTGAAAATCCAGAATTATACGAATGTGTTGCTGACGCGTCAAGAGGAGTGTCGCGTAGTCCTTTCTCACCCTCCCCTTCGCCCCTTCTCATTCCCTTTTTCGATTCTCGAGTGTCGAGGGGATAAAGATGACAAGTAGACGGGGGTAGGAAGACGACTTCCCCTCTCTCGTTTTATTCCTTTTTGTTCATCCATCCGTTTCCTAAAATGCTACTCCCCCTCGCTTCAAGGAGCTTCATCTTTTAGACAGCGATCTAAAATGCGAACGCTAAAATTTTTAATGGCTTTATGGAGGTTAAATTCCTTCTCTGCAAAATTTTTGAATGCTCTGGCTGTTATTACGCCTTTAAAAAGCCAGGAAGCGGTCGATAAGCAGAGACCACGGTTGCGACACGCGACGCACGCGCCCGCCGTTGTATTGCGTAATCGATTACGCTACTTTAAAGGCAAGCGACTAGCGCTGCGTGTCGAGGCGCCGCGAATCTTTTAGCTAACGTAGGGCCAGACAATCCGCGACACCCGACACGCAACGCGCACGCTCGATTTTCATCGCGTAATTGGTTACGCCACTTTATCGGCAGAAACACGCGCGTTACGTGCCGCGTTGCGGTTGCGTTCCGTCTCGCGTTGCGTGTAGCGACGCGTAAAAATCCGGTTGACAACCTAAGAGAATCGATCGAAAACCGGGAAACCAACTATTCGTTTCTATTTCCGGGCTTCCCATTTTTTGCTTCATACTTTCCTAGGCATCAAATAGCCCCACCCCCATCTTGGGGTGAGGTTTTTTATAAGAAAGAGTCTCTCTGTCTATCTGTCTGTCTCTCTCTCTCTCTTTCTCTCTCTCTCTCTCTCGCTCTTCTATAATGTGTCGATCCCTTAAGAATACCTTGAATATTCAATGAGAGGAGAGGAGATTCTTGTCTTTTCATTCTAAGGGGCTAGCCAGGAGGAGAAGGAGAGGCTCAACACCTCCTCCTCCTCCCCCTCTATCCAAATGACTTGTCCTTACAAGATACTTTCACTTATTTACTCAGAAAAATCGATCCACGCGCCAATTTTTGCGATTTTCTACCGTATCCCAAAAAGGGTGTCTTCTACCTTTTTGCTCATTTGTAAAAATATATCGAAATTAGTTTGGTGATTTATTTTAGGCTAATCGCTTTTTAAAGGGGACAAGACAGCTAAATTATCGTTTTTCTGTGCGAAAAAGGCGTAAAAATCAATTTTTCGTTGTTTTTTTACACCGTATACCATTTAATGCACTACGGTATTCTAAAGGCGGCGGGCCAGCACGTATTTATCGATCGTTTTAGGGTTATACCTCCTTTAAAGGACGTGAGACAGCTAAATTTTCGATGTTCCGCGGGAAACTGCGTCAAAAATGGTGTAATTTGTAGCAATTCGTAGTAGTAAATCCCACCAAAAGCATAGTAAAATCATAGATTCCAACCTAACTACCCATATTGGCTTCCAGCTAGCGTATTCCCCCTTTCAACCCCCCATCTGTTGGTCATAGATTACCCAAATCAGAGCCCCCGGCTTCCCTCTCCAATTTCCGCTTATTTCCTATCCACATCCTCAGCTTTTCCCTCAAACTTTAGCTCCTGGATTTCAATTATTCCACTCGACTTCAGCCGTCTTAAAATGCTAGTAAATATTCCGGATTTTAAACAACGTTTTTGGCCATTAATGCGTCAATACTTAAGGTTTCTGTCGGTCTAGGCTTTTTGGGGTTGAATTTGGCTTCATTTCCGTCAATGTGGCTTCATTTTTATGGCTTATGCGGCTGGAGATTCTTCTCTTTGTCCGTCTGTCTCTCTCTATCTCTCTCTCTCCTTCTCTCTCGCTCTGTTTCTCTTACCTTCAGAATATCGAGAAATGGCTTCCTAATCCGACTTTTCGCTTGCGGGAAAGGGATTTGTGGGTGGATTAATGGAATTTGGATCGATACGGACTACAAAGTTACGCCAAGCGGTAGTCTGGCTGCCAGAAAGCCTAGAAAAATCGATAAACATAGATTTTGACGGGCAGACAGACATACAATTCGACAAACTGACATACAAACACGAGTTTTGAGCACTTCCGGAAGGGAGTAACCCGATATCGAAGGAGATGGAGGAAGCCTACAGCTGACAGACAAACAAGTACAGATGTTAACAAAACAACAAGCTCAAAAAAACAAGGAAAAACAGGGGCGAACAGACAGAAATTCGGAGGAATATGATCCCTAGCGGTGATCACCTAGGGAGCATCATTTGTCCCGGTCTCCTCATGCTCTTTTCGACCCAAGCGACCTGTTGTCATTTTTGTGATTGATCGATTGGTCTGAAAGGGGCCAAAGGCTCGGCATTGCACCTCCCTCGGCTTGAAAATTCTTGAAAATTCGAAAACTGGGAAAATCAGCTCCGTTTTTCATGTCGTCATTGATTGAGTGGAGCGGTAATTTAGTAGAGACAATTTATGATTTTGCTAGAATCGTTTATGACATGTTTTGAGCTCCAGTGCTTGCAATTTCACTTTTTCTTGTTTGTAAAAAAGCGTGCTAAGTAGTAGGTTATATCATTTAGGAATTCAACGTCTCGAGGTTAGCGGTCCGGAAAAATCTCGAAACGTCTTCATTTTTGTCTTTTCCTAGCGTAATCGATTGCACTGCCAAAGGCAGGCTAGCAAAGACCATTGCGGAAACGGGTTCGATCGAATACACAATGTTATTTACCCAAAAACTCGAAAATGTTGTTTTTTGGGGAATCCGTATTTTCCGAAACGCTACGTAGTCGGCCACTCTGCGTCTTTTGGAGCGTTTCGGAATTGGTTTGGTGGTTTTCAGGAAATGGGGCGGATTATTGGATGGGATGGGAATAGGGTGACATCTCGACAAATTGCCATTCCCCCACCCTCTACTCTAAACTTTTCGGGGGTCCTAAAAACAACTCTACTTTAGGAATTCCGGAAATGTAGGTGAAAATAGGCTTTTTGGTGTTTTAAAGGGCCTGTGAAGGTTGCGGGAAGCTAAATTTGCCTTCAATGTTCTTTTAAACGATCGAATTTGATAGTTTTAGCGCTTCAAAACCTCAATTTTGCCCCTTTTCTTCCGTTTTAAAGGCGAAATGCATAATTCCGCTAAATTCCTCTGTATACCTAAAAAGTTTAGATTTTCATGGCGTAATCCGTTCGATTTAATGCGCAAAAAAGTCTCAAAAAAAAACAACACAATAAGGGAATTCTGAGGCCCTTTTCCAGCCGCTTTTCAATGCCTCCAAATTTATACTCCCTTTTCCACCACATTCCACACTCCGCTCCACTCGTAATGACTCTAGCGTACTCCAGCGTAGCCCCCATTGTTTTATTTTCTCAAAGATCCATAGGAATGTTGATTTTTTTGCGTTAAATCCGTTGTTTCGCGTTTTTCTGGGCTATTTTTCGTTCCATTTTGTACTTTGTATTCTGTAGTTTCAATTTATTTCCTGTCGTTTTCCAGGTACCGTATCGATCGATCGCCGAGTGTCATTTGGTGTGTGATGGAAGACGAGGATGCCTCTTGCTATACCGTCCAACAGGGCAGCCAGCAGGCACATGGCAAGTTTCTACGGGTTTTTATGGCGTAATCGGATAGGAATTACCTGGAGTAACCGTTTTAAAATTATCTACATGCCGTAATCGAGTCGCGCTGAATTAGATAGCCTAATCGTTTGCAAATGGTAATTTCAGAACGTAATCTATTCCAAAATTCCATGTAGTAATCTATTGTCTCTCAATTTAGCGTCGTAATCGATTACCCGGAATTACATGGGGTAATCGAATCCCCAATATTTTCATCGCGTAATCCCTTAAAAATGGCTATTACATTGCGTAAACTGTTCGGGGATTCATCGCCTAATCGCGATTCTCGATATCGATTCTCGATCCGATATCTGAGAATCTGAGGATCTGAGAATCGATATCGATTCTCGCGGAATTTCGAAGCGTAATCGATTCCACCGTATTTATTAGGTTGGAACTAAAGTTCGCGCAATTTTTCGACCTTGAATATTTCAAAGACAAAGCCATTTATTCATTCAAAGTATTTTCCATCATGGAGGACCACTTGGCGCCAACGTTCAGGCAGAGTTCGAATTCCGGTCTCCCAGAAGTTTTTTGGCTGGCGTTCGAAGAAGTCAGTTAGCCAATTTTCGAGATCTTTTTTGTCAGTGAAAATTTCATCCACTAATTCTGCAGCTAGCTTTCGGAATAAGTGGTAGTCGCTTGGTGCTAGGTCAGGGCTATAAGGTGGATGGGGTAGAACTTCCCAGCCAAGCTCCTTGATTTTCTCCTGGGTCAATTTCGCAACATGTGGACGTGCGTTGTCATGAAGCAAAATGATCTTCCCCTTTGTCGGGCGTTTTCTTTCAATTTCAGTGGCCATTTTTTCGAGCTGGCTTGAGTAAAGTTGGGCATTGACAGTGGTTCCAGGATCCAGTAGTTCCCAATAGAGCGGGCCTTCGATATCCCACCAAATACAGAGCATTATCTTCTTTGGGTTGAGTTCGGGCTTCGGTTCTTGTTGGGCGGTTTCTCCCTTCTGAACCCATTGTTTATGGCGATGATAATTAATATATAGCACCCACTTTTCATCGCCTGTCACAATATGAGGCAGAAAAGATTTGTGCTGGTAGCGCGACAGAAGAGCGAATGCAATAGAAAGTCGCTGCCACATCTGGGGGTCGGTCAGTAAGTGCGGTACCCATTGCCCAAATTTGCTCACATAGCCAAGCGAATGAAGATGTCTAATGATTGACGTATGTGTGCACCCAAGTGCGTCGCCTAATTCACGGGTCGTCATTTTATTATCTCTTCTCAATAAATCGCGGAGGGCATTTTCATCGACCTCGCCCGGGCGTCCAGACCTTGGTTCTTCTTCGAGGCTATAGTCCCCACTTTTGAACCGTTTGTACCATTTGTACACCGTAGTCAGAGAAAGCGTATCCGGGCCATAGATCTTATTGATATCCTCATGAGCCATCGGGGCATTTACATCTTTTATGAAGTAGAAAAGACAGACGTGTTTGAGATGTCCCGGGGGTAGCTCAGCGGGTGCGCAGAAAGAAAATGCCAGTAGAAAAAGAATATAGGTAGGATTCATTTGAGGTTTTCAGGGTTAGTAGTGAACACTTGCCGTCAACACGGGATGTTTACACCAGGGGGCTGGCTGGCGTGATAACGCGGCAAAACAAGCCGAAAGATAAATTGCGCGAACTTTAGTTCCAACCTAATACATGCCGTAATGGATTCAAAAAATTCTTACTTTTTGCTAATTTTTCATTTTTTCTTTGGCCATTTCATGCAATTCCCCAAACATATTTTGAACAATTTATTTAAAAAAGCCACCGTATCCCCCAGAGGGGCGTGGCTTAATTATAATTCGACAGAAAAAAAGAGGAGGTGCGGGGAGGGCGAGAATATCGATCGATCCCTCATACATTGCCATCCGCTCCTCTAGGCGATCACCGACTTCTCTTTCGTTTCCTAAAATAGACAAATATGAAACTAATCGATTTTCAGCATTTTAAAGGACTTGTGAAGGCAAAAAATAAGCACAAATCACAAAAACAGCTCAATTTTTGTCGAAAATTGTTAAATTTGGTCTGTCACAACCCCTTTAAGGCCGCAAATTGCTCAAATTTGATCAATTTCCGGTTTCACATAGTTAGTACACGCCGAAAAATTCATAGCAAAATCAAAACGGCGATTTTTTGGCTTGAAAATCTAGAAATTCAACCTGTCACGCCCCCTTTAAAACGAAAAAACGTGAAATTCCTTACCCCTCCCTCGCCCGATTTGGCCAGTGGTGAGCTGGCGACGACGGCTTGGATCTTCTGAAAAAATCCGGAATTTTTGGTGGTTTTTAAAGGGACAGTGACAGCAACAGCAAAAGTGAGCGTGGCCTACCGATACGGACAGCCCTTGGCCCTTCAATTCGTTGTATTGCAGCACGAGACCCTTGCTGCTCTGCCACACTTGGCTGGAAAAGGGGATGATCATTTTTATCGTAAGCTCGGCTACGGTAGAGTACGGTAGGCTACGTTAGAGTACGGTAGGGTACGGTAGAGTACGGTGGATCAAAAGCACGAAAAAACTCACTAAACAATGATGCCAATGCCGACAGCCACAACGCATAACACAATCATTCCAGCTGTTAGAATGAACACCATCAGGGAGAGGAACCCCTGCAAATGACCTTTGCTAGATTGCCTTGACCGTGCGGGCTTTCGAAAAGAATCCCTGCTAGTTGCCCTAGGAAAATTTCGCCAAAATCTCTATTAGTTCCTGCGCCCAAGCGGCCTCTGCTAGTTTGCCCTGATAGCGTTTTTCCGCAAAGAATTTTGCTAGCTCGTCTATTCCTGCTGTCACTATCTCTTTAAAATCCGAAATTCTGCACAGTTTCCTCAAACAATCACTGCTAGCTGCTCCGGCTCCTATTTCGCAAAGAATCTCTGCTAGTTAGCCCTACTGACCCAGAATTTCCCAAATGGACTCTGCTAATATCAGCAAAGGATCTCTGCCTGCTAGCCCCGCCGTCTTTTCTCAAGGAATCCCTGCCTCAAATGCCCTCTGCTAGCTGCCCCTCAAATTCCCCAATAACCTCTACTAGCTATCAAAAAAAGACGTACATGCCCCGACTCCTCCTCGAGCTTCTTGACCCTTCCCTCCAATTCGCCCAGCTTCGGATCTTGAGCATCAATCGATTGAATGAGGAGGAGGAGAGAGAACAGAGGGTAGACAACACACAGAAATGTCCTCGGATAGGAGGAGGAGAATACTGTAGACACCATCATCTGTCGATTCGAGATCGATGGAATGGAAAATCATTCCATTTTCAAGAGTTTTCGAATTTCCTCCACGCAAAAATCCACTCAAAACCCTGGTTTATGCTAATTTTTACGGCAAATTACAACCTATTCGCACATGCGCAACCGATTACGACCTCAAATTCAGGAAAACCGATTACGACACGAAATTCCAAGACGATAGATTACGGCATGAAAATAATTATAGAACCGATTACGCCATGAAATGGCCTGTCAAAATCCACACAAAAAATGCTTTATCGACGAATAATTGTTGGTTTTTATTGTTTGTGAAATTGAATGGAAGGGTAGTGGAGAGAGGAGGATGAGAGATCGATCTCCATCGATCGGGCAGTCGCTTCTTCTCCCTTCTAATGATCAATGTATGAGTAGGCAGAGTTGCTCGGGCCCGTCGTTTCCACCTGCAACAAATGGCAATCGATTACGCCATCAAATTGGCTTTAAAGGGCCATTGAAGGCAAAACTGCGCAAATTTTGATCCATTTTCGCAAAGAAAACCCCGAAAAACCGACAGATCCGATGGCAGTGCGTGGTTGGCTGGCCTGTGAGTCGGGGCCGGGAGGGGCTGGCACCTAGAAAAAAAGCAAAAATTCAGGAAACCGTCTGAAAGATCCGAACCCGGGCCCTCCGCCTGGCACTCTAGCCACTAACCGCCTGCACCAGACCCAAAAATCCAAAAATTACCGAATTATTGGGGTCGGTTGAGGGTTTGTTGGTGGATTGAGAAGAGGAGGGGGACAATTTGCTCGTCTGCCGGTAGAGGTACCTGAAAAAATGTCAATTTTTTGGGTTTTAAAGGGGCGTTGAAGGCATAATTTCCCAAAGAAACTCTGCTAGTGTACCATGTGGAATTTGGTTTCCTGACTGTTCTCTGCTAGTTACCCGGGTCAGTTTTCCGCGCTAAATCGCCTCTGCTAGCTTCCCCGGGCTTCGACGTATATTTTCTCACTTTCAAGGTGCGCTGAAGGCAACTTTCCTAAGAAACTCTGCTAGTTCGCCCGATTCCTGATTTCCTAGATGATCTCTGCTAGCTGATCATCTCGAATTTAACCCATCAAATGATCGCTGCTAGCTAGCCCAGCGCATTCCAATTCCCAAATGCTCTCTGCTAGCCTGCCCCTCCCCCTCCCCCACCATACCCGATGCATACAGCCATGACCATCATCGAAGTACACATCATGCATGCCAGGGCAAGAAGCACGAAGATTAGCTGGATCGTTTCCGCCTAAAACGCTATTTTAAAGGCCCGTTGAAGCCAAAAACCATACCCTAAACTTGGCCTCTCCAATCTGGGCCCCATCCCCCTCTGAGGCCAGAAATATCGAGCGAACGCTGTCGAACATTCACATAAGAATGTGCTCAGTTTTTCAGGGTTTTTTATAGGGTTGTTACGGTCCGGACCGAAAAAGTCGGTCCGGTCCAAATTTTTTTTGGACCGACTGGACCGACTTTTTTTTGGACCGTTGGACCGCCTGGACCGCCTGGACCGACTTTTTTTTGGACCGTTGGACCGTCTGGACCGACTGGACCGACTTTTTTTTGGACCGTTGGACCGTCTGGACCGTTTGGACCGACTTTTTTTTGGACCGTCGGACCGTCTGGACCGACTGGACCGACTTTTTTTTTGGACCGTTGGACCGTCTGGACCGTTTGGACCGACTTTTTTTTGGACCGTCGGACCGACTGGACCGAAATTGTTTTGGACCGTTGGACCGTCTGGACCGATTGGACCGACCTTTTTTTCTGGAACGTCGGACTGAATGGCAGGATTTTTTTTCTAACGAGTCCGGCTTCAGAGAGGGCTGAGAAAACCAGACCTTCTTTGCTGTTAGCGCAGCCGACTTCCCCCACCCGAACCCCCACCCCCCGCGGCTAAATTTCACTTTACGGTATGTTCTCAAAATGTCATTTTTTTCGTCTGGAATCGATGGATCCCGACGGGTTCGTGCGTTTTCAGTTGAAAAAACATTTGGGAAACGCTTCTGGACAAAGTTATTAACCTTAACCTTTAACCAAGACAGGCTAATTTAACATCAGGGTGGGTCTCCTCAGCTGGATCCCTGATGTTTTCTAGTTCAAAAGGTTAAATTCTTAGGTGTAATGTATGGTATTTTCAGTTTAATTTGAAATTTGTGTTTTTGAATGAGTTTTAGTTACATTTGTTTCACTTTCTCTGAAATTTTATTTGATTTAGCAGATGGCTCTATTAGCACGATCGGCCGTGTAAAGGCGGTGTCGATAGGGTGGGTGTGTAGGCTAACGTAAGCGAATGGATGGGATGTTTGGTAAGACTAACTAATCGAAAGAGTAAAGAATTGAAGAAAAGGCGAAATTATAATAAACTGGTACTATTAAAGTATGAGAAGGAAAGAAAATATTTACGGAAGTGTTATAGGTTTTAGTTTTAATTTGTGCATCAAGTTTTTTCCACTAGTATCTTATTTTTGGCTGAGCCCTGGGTGCTTTTTCATAGCTTTATTGCATAGATTTAGTAACATTTTACTGGGGTAGCCGTTTTTCAGTAAGTGGGTAATTAGATTTTGTAAATGTTTTGTAAATGTTTTATATGGATAGCTTGAGTCGGTCCAGCCGGTCCGACGGTCCAAAAAAAAGTCGGTCCAAACGGTCCACTCGGTCCGACGGTCCAAAAAAAAGTCGGTCCAAACGGTCCACTCGGTCCGACGGTCCAAAAAAAAGTCGGTCCAAACGGTCCACTCGGTCCGACGGTCCAAAAAAAAGTCGGTCCAAACGGTCCAAACGGTCCAACGGTCCAAAAAAAAGTCGGTCCAAACGGTCCAGACGGTCCAACGGTCCAATAAAAAGTCGGTCCAGTCGGTCCAAACGGTCCAACGGTCCAAAAAAAAGTCGGTCCGGGCGGTCCAGACGGTCCAACGGTCCAAAAAAAATTCCGTTGGACCGGCCTGGACCGACTTTTTCGGTCCGGACCGTAACAACCCTAGTTTTTTAGCTGGTTGAAATGCAAATTACGGCAAATTATTTAAATTTTGCGATTTCAAAAAATCGAATTTTTGAAAAATTGCCGATTTAAATATAGATGATTTCAATTATGGTGATTTAAACCATGTTTAAATTTTATGCAAATTAAGTGTAATTTTTTGAATTTCGGATTGCAAGAAAAAAATCTAAGTTTCTTAAATGGGCGGTTTGAATACAGTTGATTTAACTTACCGTAAATTCAAAAAAAGCAGTTTAAAAATCATATATCTAAAACTTAAGAATTAAAATATTCAATTAATTAAATTCAGGTTTTTCAGGCCTGGATCTGACGGAAGAGGACTATCAGGAGATCAATTGGGATGATTTCTCGGAAAAGGATTGCAATTGCTCAATTCTCATCCATACCTATATTCCGGTAAGTTTAACAATAGGTTACTACAAACTGCAAACTCCAGAAAAATTCGAAAACCTAAATTTTCGCGTTTTTTCAGATGTGCGCCAAATTGTGCGGCCAATCGTCATTAATGCGCGTCGATTGGATGGAGATTATGGTGCCGGCGTTACTGTATTTGGTCGTGTTTTTGGTAAGGGATGAAATTTTTGGTTTTTAAAGGGACTGGTAAGGCTGGAGACCGTACCGCGACGCGATACGCAACGCGCGAGCTTGAATTTACACGGCGTAATCGATTACGACACTTTTTCACTGGGGGTCAGGCGGCGCGTGTGCGTTGCGTCTCGTCGCGGCGCGGGAAATTCCTAAAATTGCAGCCTTGTTTATCCCTTGAAAGGGAGAGTAACAGCTGAAAAAGTCAATTTTTGCAATTTTTACCTGTCATTTTCCTTTTAAACCACCTCTTTGTCATTTGGGTCAGGCGGAGCATGCGCGTTGCGTGTTCTAGAGCAACAAAATTCATGGCAGTCCTACTTGTCCTTTTAAAGGGTGAGTGACAGCAAAAAAAAGTAAAATTTCAATTTTTCCGGTCACAGCCCCTTTAAAATTTAAAAGTTAGGCGACATTTTGTTAGATTTTAATTAACTTACCTTGTATAATTTTTGTTTTTTTGTTGTAGGTAGGAACAATCGGGAATGCGCTGGTGATCTTTGTCGTCAATCGATTCAAACGGATGCGAAATGTGACGAATGTCTTTCTCGCATCTCTATCGACTGCTGATTTGTGTCTCATATGGTTTTGTGTTCCAATTATGGTGAGTCGACTTTTGTAGCCATACAGGGTACAAACTACAAAAATCACATTCAGTCAAACCGATCACGCAATAAAATTCCACAAGAAAATACATCGCGTAATTGATTGCAAAACGCGGCTTTAGACTACAGGCTACAGTCATTATTAAAAAACGTACCAGGGTTGAAAAGCCGCTTCGCGACTTTTCAACCCTGGCCCCGTCTGATCCCATGATATTCTTCACTTTGCATAATTCTCGCGATTTTCGATGACAAAAAAAAAATGAGAAACGCCAGCTCTCTTCTCTTATATAAGCTACCGCAACTTCCGACATATGCTAATTGTTTCCTAACAAAGAGGGTGTTCGATTTTTCAACAAAAAGCTTAATTTTAACGTCGAAAACAGCGAAATTTTCAAAATTTTATGAGTGTGCAGTCATCCCAAGGCCATTACGCACCCAATGAGGTATAAACTACTCCCCTACCAACTACTCTAACTACTCCCTTATTGAGATACTGCTGGAACACGCTGACGGAAGTTGCATGCAAATGCACACACATACATACATACACACACACACACACACAGGAACTATTTTTTTATATATAGTAGGATTCGATTAAACCCAGGCTGCAGAGTGCAAAATTTGAACCTATACCACAAACTATACAACTATATTCTTTTCAGTTCGTCAAATACATGTCGCACGAGTGGTTTATGGGCCGTTTCGCCTGTTATTCCGTCCATTACATTCAACAATTCACATGTTTTTGCTCTGTTCTGACGATGACCATGATTTCTTTCGAAAGGTACGTTTCGCCCCAATTTTCATGTCGTAATCGATTGCTTAACAGCTTACGGTATTATATACATTTTTTTAGATTTCTAGCCATCGCCTATCCGATGCGAAATATGTGGTTATCGTCGATTGGGCGGGCGAAAAAGGTAGCGTAATTGGATACAATTTTCCCTTCTCATTTTCAAAATTAACTTATTTTTGATACTTAAATAGTTAATTTTTACGTGTTTTTAAGTATTAAACCCTGTAAAATATCTAAAATTACCTGGGATTTTCGAAAAAATTAGAAAATGGCTTAATTATGTATTTTTTTTCAGGTAATTTTGCTAATATGGCTCGCCTCGGCTATATTGGCAATTCCAACGGCAATTCGGATTGATTATCAGGTATTTATTAATTTATCTAAACTAAAAACTATGCAAAAATTGCTGTAAAAAAACGGAAAATCGAAAAAAATTAATTTGTCGAACTGTTTAGCCCCTGTTTCCCAACTCCAATTATCGATTGGTAAGCTAAAAATGCGCCTTTTAATAGCTTTGGCTGCCAAAAACTCGCTTAAAAGGGCTCGGCTTTTTTTAAAGGGACCTGGAAGGCAAAAAACTATGGCTTTTCTAACCCAAAAAATTCGAAAAAATTAGGGTGTTCGAATTTTTTTGTAAAAAAAACCTCGATTTATGGCCTTCCGGGTCTCTTTAAAATAAAACTTTTAATCGGTTGAATTAATGTTTTTTAGGTAAATATCAACCAGGGCACGCGGGTCCATTGGTGTGCCCGAAGATTCCCTGCGAATTTCACATTTTTCGGCCATAGCCAAGTGGATTTGAATAGGTTTTATGCCATTTATCAGGTACGTAAAAGCCATGGATTTTCATACATTAAAAATGGCGATTTCACAAAAATAAAGTATCAAAAAAATAGAATATATAAAATTTTCCGAAAATTTGATTTTTTTAATTCATAATTTTCTTTGACCTTTAAATTAAATTCTAAAGCAAAAATAGGAATTATAAAGTGAATTATGTAAAGTCTCTACGAACATTTAAAGCTTAAAAATTTTTAGATGCTTGTCCTAATCGTTCTCCCCGTGGCGACAATGTCAATCTGCTATACCCGTGTCTCTCTGATCGTCTATTCCTCCTCAAAAGATCGCGGGATCCTCACACACGCTATGTAAGTCTACAGATTCTCTATATATTCACACTTCAACGGCCCTTTAAAGGGACTGGACAACCTAGAATTTCGCCTTACATGTCCCTTTAAGCCCCCAAAAGGTCGAAAGTCTCTCTGTTTGTCGTTGATAATCCCTTCCTTGTTGCCTATTCCAACGTGCATGCCCTCTGCTTCTCTAACACGCTCTCTCTCTCTCCGTCTCTCTCTCTCTCCCTCTCGTCATCCCATCTTTCAGAAGCGAATCTCGTGCCCGTGGCGCGTTCGTCGTTCGTCTCATTTGCTTCGCTCTGTAAGCCATTAGTGCGTCCAGTCACTCCACTCAGCCACTCACTGTAGACATTCTCCTCACTCGCTTACACGTCCCTTTAAACTGCAAAATCAGAAATTTTTTGGGTGTTTTCGATGGTTTTTAGGAATTTTCAGAGAAAGTTTACAAAGAAAGTTTTCAGAATTTCATAGCATAATCGGTTACGACATCAAATTAATGTTTCCCAACTAGCTAATCGATTACGGCATCAAATCAAATCAATTTTAATTTAATAACCTAATCGATTACGGTATAAAATTCACCGTTTCCGTTTGGACCGTGAGGTATCTGAACGAGTACCAACTATAACTTTGCCCCCCAATTCCGTCCACAGTATCGTCACGTAGTTGCCAATGCCCACACCCGTTTTTCGGCATGCTTTCCTTGACTTTGTCGTTTTCTGAGCATGTTGTCCCGATTCCCCACACACCATCTACCGTAACCCCAGTCCAGGCAGTGTTGATTGTTAGAGAAAAACGAATCTGAGAACTCCAGGAAATCAAAATATTCCAATTTCAGGGTGGCATTCAGCAAGGCAGCCACCGATGCCGTCACTTTCACCAGCTACAGTAGTATTCCCATCGCCAATTCCAGGACCTTTAAGGTATTGTAATTGGTTAGATTTGGTTAAATTGCTTAGATTTTTTAGGCTTAAAAATGTTTTTTAGTTTGCTTCGACAGCAATCAGCTCCCTGAGCAATAAAAAGAACAATCGAATGGCCGAGGCGAATAAGAAGCAAATTGTGCAGATGTTGATATCGATTGTGGTGATGTATACCGTATGCTGGTTGCCCACTATTGGTAAGGGGATTTTGGATTTTGGATGTATCTCTCTCTCTCTCTCTTTTTCTCTCGCTCTCTCGCTCTCTCTCTCTCTCGACAAATTCCACTGAAGACTCCGTTTTGTTTAGTGGACGAACTGCTAACCAGCTTCGGCTATATCTGCCGTACATCAAATACCACTACCCTGAAGCATATGAGAATGGGATTTAATGCGCTGGTGAGTCAAATTCTGATTTTTTTTCCGCTGCAAATCTGACCTAGCTACCGTATCCAATGCTCTTTTTTAGACGTATTGCCAATCCTGCATCAACCCAATCTGCTATGCCTTTATTTCGCAGAATTTCCGAGCGACGTTCAAGACGGCGTATATCAGGATGAAGTATAGGATACAGGTGGGGAGGGTGTAAACTACAGACTACAAGGTACCAAAAATAAAAAATAAAAATGAACTCGTGTTCGATGGTTTTCGTTACCAGCATCCCATCGCGTAATCGGTTACGACATGAAATTGATTTTGACTAACCAGCTAATCGGTTACGATATGAAATCGACCTGGGTTTTAAACGCGAAATTATTCCACAAAATACAATTCTTTGAGCCACAGGCTCCAAACTACAACATAATTTATGCCATTTTTAGGGCAACGAAGAGCTGCGTTCCCGTATCGGATCGTACTCCTCGGCCTCGATGCTATCTACTCGAAATCATAATCGCATTAATGGAAGCTACAATACGTTAACAGTACCTGGAAAGTACGTATTTTTCTACCTTGCATTCCCGCTCTCTCTCTCTCTCTCTCCTATTTCCTATCGTAATCGATTATTCCCTATCTTATTCCAGATCGATCATCACCCCAAATATGAGTCGTGATGTCTCCCAAATGTCTCTCTGTCGCCCCAGAACCCCTGGAATCCAAGCTGATGCTCCGACGAGTTGTGTCGGGTTACGGTAGGTGGAGCAGGCTTTAGTAAAAAAGGATAATCTGACCTGTTTTAGTATAAATTTTACTTTAAGTTTGTAGTTTAATTTTAACGGCATACTGTAGCAAAATAACGACAATTTTAATTTTAAAATCATCTTAATTTGTATTTTTTTGTATAGCGCCCCGTTTAGCCGTCAAACAGAAGGGGCATTGTTGCCTCTTTTAGAGGAGGATGATGGTAGGGCATGGATTACGATACAAGATATTGTAAAGTCGTTTAAAGGGATGGTGAAGGCGAAATCCATAGGGACATAAATCGAAAAATCGACAATTTTCCCTTCACAATCCCTTTAAAAACCATTTGCATCCGGGTATCCCCTTTGTGTTGCTTGTTGTCTGCCGGAATATCGCCTGGCTATGCGTATCGTGGCGGAATTTGCAATTTTAGAATTCTCGAAAATGTTTGAAAATTGCGAAAATTTTAAAAAACTAATTTTCTGGCTTGGGTACTGTCGAAATGGCTCCGAATCTGCAAATTAGAATAGAAAAATGGATGAAATGGATACCGTCTAATTATCGTATTTTTGCTGTTAAAGGGACCGTGACAGCAGGATCCGGATTACCGTAAAATTCGGAAAATTAGCTTAAAAATATTTTTTTTTGGATTTTTGGGCCGTAGACGACCTATAGTCCTGTGGATCTTGCCTTCGCGGTCCCTTTAAAAGAGCATGTAACCCTGGAGTCCATAGACATATATTTTGTTCTAGACCCCGATCCCCCACAGATGTCTCGAGAGATTCGGGGCGCCCCCGTTCACCGACAGATGTATCGCAATCATCGAGGCCTAAGTCTGCTATGAGGTATGGTAGATAGCAAAAATATTTGGGGAAAGAAAGGTAAAGCTAGCAGAGAGCCTTTGAGGAAAATTTGGTAGATCGAAAGATGCCGATTTCAGGGAGAGTCTCAAATTCCGCACCCGTTCCCCGACAGAAACCTCACAATCCTCACTTCCACGTGGACGATCACCCACTTCCGCTTCTACAATAACACAAGGATCAAAAGGGTCGAGGGGATCTGTTGTTAAGGCTCATACTGAGGTAAGTTGAGAGGTATCTCTCTCTCTCTCTCTCTCTCTCTTTCTTTCACTCTCGCAAATGCTTATTTTTACTTTAATTTTGAATTTTTTTAGGTAACCGCCCTTCTCTCGGTTCCAGAATCTGGTGGAGGACGTCCGAAAACCCCGGAAAATGTCTGATCCTTCGTATTTCTCTCTCGCTCTCTTTCTCTCTCACTCTCACTGTCCCTCTGCTCCCTAATCCATACGGGTCAATTCCTCAATAATCCAACCAATCAACATTATCATTTCTTTCTATCCGTATTGATCTCAATTTAGTATAATTTATGTGCAAAAATAAAACTATTTTAATATGCAAAAATACGAGAATTCACGGGGAAGCTAGCAGAGATCGTTGAGGAAAATAAAAGTTCATGGTCAATTTGGTTGTGCTCTTTATAAATCCGCTTTAACTCCAAGAATTTAGGGGCTGGCTGGCAGAGATCATTAAGGAAAATGAGAGCTGGCGCAATTCACAAAAGTTAACAGGCAGACAGGCATCAGCAGAGATTATTGAGGAATGAGACAGATTCTAGGGATCTTTGACCATTAGCATGCGACAAGACAAAGATCACCCGGTCTGGGTCATCTTTTGATTGCTATATTTGATCGTATCAACCCGTCAATGTCTAAATACCCCCCGAGGGCACGTAGAGAGAGAGAGAGAGAGAGAGAGAGAGAGAGAGAGAAAGAGAGAGAGACAATGGAAGGTTCTGGAATTCGGACAGAAAAACCGACGGTGAGACAAACAGACATAACATTCCAAAGATTGCTGCACCCGATCTGCCCTCCATTCCTTTCCTAGACTCTATCAGATAGCATCTCGGCTATACGAACTTGTTTATTTGGTTACGGTATAATTTTTGTATAGTTTTGTAGCGGTAGTAAACGTTAAAATACATCAAAAACTACCGTAAGTCGTCAAAAACCCGATATTTTCGACTTTTTGGCAGCCAGCCAACCGAACTGTCTGGCAGGGAAGGGAATGGCAATTCTGTTTGTCTGTTTGTCTCTCCGTCTGTCTATCTGTCCAGCCATTCCATTTGGCGTGTCCGTATACCCGTTTCCTCTTCTTCTTCTTCTTCATCTTCTTCTTGTTCCGTTGATGGCCTTGAGGGGTTGGTGTTGTGTGTTTGGCGAGTTTGTAGCAGATGTGCCAGGGGGGAGAAGCTGCAGCATTGCTAGTGGCGAGACGCTCTTTGGTCTTTAGGGTCAATTTTTGAGAAAATATCGTATTTTTCGAGACATTTCTAATTACCGTAATTCAGCGGTCATGAAAAATGCTTGAAAAATATTATTATAAATACAGAAGATAACTTATTTTTGTATGTTTTTAGCGGACTCCGGACAGTTCTACCGTACCCTGTTTGACCTTTCCAGATGTGTCGTATTCTACTCTGGTACCATCAATCTACTGCTGTATGTCTGTCTGTCTGTCTGTCTGTCTGTCTCTCTCTCTCTCTCTCTCTCTCTCTCTCTTTCTCTCTCTTTCTCTCCCTTCCCAATCCACGTGTTCCCCACATGCCCATCTACAGATCCGATCCATCCCTTCCCTCTATCGGATCAGATCACTCTCCTCCTCGCTAAGCGCCGCCCCCTCCATAGTCCCAATACTCACTACGTAACACTCCTATGCACTCGGCCTTTCTGCTTATTGTGGTTATTAAAGAACCAATCAAGTCAACAAGATTCTCAGATTTTCATGTCGTAACCCATTAATCCTACTGGATTCTGACTATTTTTTTCAACAAATCTACTCTCTTTACCCCAATTTCCACCCCAGTACTATCGACGACCCCATAAACCTACCGTAATCCCTCTCTCTTCTCGATTGTCCGACTCGTGCTCACCTTTTACGATCGGATTGTCTAGTGTGATCCCCCAGGAAAACGAGGTTTTTTGGGCCTGGGTGGTAAATGGGGATTCGCGTGGAATTAAATGTCGTAATCGATTAGCTGGTTGGAAATTAGTCTAATAATCGATATAAACTATTTATTTACGGTTTAAGGTTAGAATTACACGTCGTAATCGATTAGCTGGCTAACCCGTGCAATACAAAATCGAAAAAATAGGATAAATGACGTATTACATGTAATCAGGGACGTAGCGTAATACCGGCCCCGGGGACCCGGCGAAATCTGCCGGGGCCAGAAAATTTCATAAGGGGGGACCTTTATGATTTTTATTTTCTCAAAAATTTTGTTGCCTGCGGCGCTATTTTTTCACGTTTTTAGGGCTGTTTGTAGAGCTATATAACCTTTTTTTCAAAAATTTTTGCCTGCGGCGCTGTTTTCTCGTTAATGTTTTGAGTTTTTTGGAAAACTTTTTGGGGGCCCCCCCCCCCCCGAAATTTTTTTCTGGCTACGCCCCTGCATGTAATTACAATGTTTTTATCAAATTTAAGCGCAGAATTACAGGTCGTAATCGATTCTCAGGCTGCGAATTTAGCTAAAATCGCCCAGGAATTCTTATTTTAGCGTTTTCATTGCAAAAATTTGGGTCTTTAAGCATTTTTTGGCTTTTTTGGAGAAATACCTTGCGTAATCGGTTGTCCAGGAATGCTTCGAATGGCACCAATCGCTTCGTGCAAATTCCGAAAATTCGCGCCCGTCCCCCTTATCACTTCTTCTTGCATTCTTTTTTCCTTATCACTCTGTCTCTCTCTCTCTCTCTCTCTCTCTCTCTATTTGAGGGTCAGGTGTCGAGAAATGGGGGTTCTTGTCGACCCTCTCTTTGACTGGGCAGGGTTGAAAATCGATCGATCAGCAGACGGACTGAAACCGAGAGACATGCCTGCGAAAAGCCGCCGAGTTTTCGATTTTCTTATTGTAGAACTACGCATTAATAACATTGATCTGCTTTTTTAAGCATTTTAAAAAGCAGCCAAATTATTACTACAGCGAAGTCCATGCTGTTTTTCTGAATTTAATCTCAATTTTTGAAACATTATTTTAACCTTTTAAATCAGTTATAATTTCTTTGAATAATATTCTTGTATTTCTTTCTTTTTTTAATGGGTTTACTTTCCTTACAAATGGCTCTATCAATTTTTGCACAAAAAATGTCTTTCAAAAATTTTATCTGATTTTGCGATTTTCGCGATCTTGGGGTCTCATTTTTTCTACTGAAAACGAACGCCAGTGTGCTTGGATAGTATTCTTTTATTTATTTTATTCTTCTTCTTTTTGAAATATTGGCAAGCCCTCCCTTGCAGCTTCTATTTTAATCTATAAACTTTTCCGTCGCCAAAGTTCAATAGGAAACTTCATTTTCTCATGATCTCCATTTAGTAGGGATCGAATCCCGAGCCAAGGCAGGGCAATAAACTTTGACCGCAGCGATTTTCTCTCTCTCTCTCTCTCTCTCTCACTCTCTCTCTCCCTCTCTCTTTATTTCTCTCTCTCCCCTCCCTCTTCAATATCCGATCGCCCTGTTCCGTTGATGCCGATCTGTGAGTGTATGCCGAATACTCCCCCTCCTCCCCCTGTCCCAATCTGAGCATGAGACCATATTTATCTCGATTCTCGTCTCGTCCGTCCTGTGTATTCCAATGGAATCTCCTTCTTTTTGAGTCTCAAATCACCCGTTCTCCCTTATTGTTGTGCCCCCAAAATGCGTGTATATATCAACGTCAGACACTCCCGTTCATAGGTGTCTCGCGGAATCCCAATGGTATGTACCGAGTTTGGACTTTTCTAGAGTTTTTGAAGTGTTTTATAGGAATTCTTAGGGGTAGAGTTATGGTATTTAGTCGCAACCAGGGTTGAAAAGCCGCTTCGCGACTTTTCAACCCTGGCCCCGTCTGACCCCCTCTTTATCCTTCACTTTGCATAATTGTTCTAAATTGGGATGACAAAAAAAATGAAAAACGCCCTCTTCGGCCCCTTTATATAGTCGACTCCCCACTTCCGGTCTATGCTAATTATTCCTAACAAAGAAGTTTTCACAAAAACTTAAATTTAATGTCGAAAACAGCTAATTTTGTAAAATCTGATATGTGTGCAGTCCTCTCAAGACCATTGCGCACCTAATGACGTATCACACATACCTGAAAATTCATCCCCCATCGAGATATCCTCCGGACAGACACACGGAAGTGGATGCAAAGTGGCACACACAGACACACAGACACTATTTTTTTATATATAGTAGGATAACATGATTTTTAATAGATGACGACGGGTAATTTTTGTAAAATCATTAAAATTTGTATTTTGACATAATTTTTATATGTTTTAAAGCTTTTTCAAACGTAAGGCAAATGCTTTTCTTCAAAATACTACGACCTTGAATTACGTGAAAATAGTTGAAAATGCCAATTTTTAACCTGAAAATTTTTCGGTCCGGTTTTTTTAGTTTTTATTTACGATTTTTAAGGTGATTCTGATTAACTAAAAAATGCGAATCGCTTACGAGGTTTAGCTCGGCGTAAAAATTCAAGTTTTTTGAAAACTGCTCCAGTTGTTTTTCCTCGGCTTTTCCATTGTTTCACACTCCCTTTTTTGTCTTTTTGATGGAATTCCCTGTTATCTCAGGATCGCCTTGCTAATGTTGGTCTTTGCTGCCCCTTTATCTATCATTTTTAGAGGGGCCAGGGTGCCAAATCCTTTTTTGGCTCAAAATTTGGAGTTTTTAGAGGTTTTATGGCTTGATTCTTGGGGTATTTGAATAGACAATGAGCGTTTTACTTGGAACATTATAAAACGGTTTTTAAATTGTTTTTAATCTTACTGTTTTACCGGATTATGCTAGTTTTGAATCCGTTTGCAAGGAATTTAACGGATTTCAATTCTTAAAAATATTTGCAGCGGGTAATTTTAAGTCTTTTCGGTTTCCTATTTTCTTTAATCCACATAAACAATCTTTCTAAGGTAAATACAAATATCAAAATAGATTTTTAGTGGATTTTTAGGCTGTAAAATCCTAAATTTCCTCCTGCGAAACCCCTTTAATCCCATGTGGCCCAATGGCGTCATTGGGTCCAAGATGTCTGGTGGGACCCAGCCGCTGCTGCTAGCCCCCTTTTGCCGGTGACTCACTGCAAAACTGGCAATAGGAAAGAGGCGGAAAAGAGAGAAAGGGAAGAGAAAACGAAGAAGCAGTTTCGGGCCCTCCCCACAGCTCCGGCCACTCGTTTTGTTTTGTCTGTTTGTCTGTCTCTTTCTCTCTCTCTCTCTCTCTCTCTCTCTCTCTCTCTCTCTCTCTCTCTCTCTCCCTCTCCCTCTCTCTCCACTCTCTCTCCCCTCCCATCCGCATCCAAAACGTAAAATTGCGGGAGGAAAAGCCTTCCTGTTCCCCTTTTTGTGTCCCTTCATCTCGTCTACATCCTCTTAAAGAACCCACAACAACACATAGCCCAGATAGCGGAGAGAATATTGATTTTTCTATGCAAAAGCACAGAAAGGGGTGCTGGAAAAGCTTGACGTCATTCAGTCCAACTTTTGCGGCCCTTCTCGGCCCCTTATTGGATATTCTAGACTGGGGGAAGGGCCAATTTCATTCAATTTCCACGCCTCGATGTGCGTCAGAGCATCTACGAGGGGATACTTTCACAACCTAGTGCTGCAAAAATGTATGCTTTAGTGTTTGGAAATATCACAATTTGATAGCCGAATTTTTAGAGCGATAGAAACTAATTTATACGTTGATTCCGATAAAATCTGTGTTTTTAAAAATTTTTAAGGTTAATTTTGCTTCTTTTTACGTTTTAAACCATTTAAAAACTATTAAACAGTCAAATTTTAAAGGTTTTTATGCAAATTCATATTTAAAATACTGCATAACTTTATAAAACTTGCCATTTTTGCTAAATTTGCTACTTTTCTATTTCCTTGTTAACAATTTTTCTGCTTTCTTTGCGAGGAATTTTTCTCTGGCATTCAATTGTTTTGGAAAAATTGTTTGTTTCCTTCCGTCCATTTTTACGCCTTTTTTCCGGCTGCAAAGAGCGTGCAAGGATTTATGATGTCATTTTCGGAATTTTCTGAATTCAACGAGCGAGAGAGAGAGAGCGAGAGAGAGAGAGAGATAGAGAGAGAGAGAGAGAGAGAGAGAGATAGAAGAGAGAGAAAGGTAAACTCGGGTAATTCTGCTATTTCATGTTTTCCATTGCTAAGACACTCTTTAGATGACAGGGAATTTTCGCAAATTTCGCGTCCTTACTGCCGAAAAAGAAATCTCGTTTTCAGCCTCACTTTATCTGCTTTTTACGCCTGAAAATTGCAATAAACATTGATCACTGATCACTACGTGACCCTCAACCTTCCAGAAAGGGGTTATTTCCGCGGGATTTCGATTCGACTTCTGAAATCTCTGCTCGGTCAATTGAGTCGAGCCGAGGGGAGGTTGTAAAAATGTTTATTGGGAGGGTTAAAATATTCGCGCAGTTTGGCAAACAAATCGGAAAATTGACGAAGCGGGCCGTCTAGCAGATTGGGGACTTTTGAAGGTTAATTTCCGGGGGGCGACGAAGTACAAATGACTGATAGTGGAAGGGCAGACGGATTCTCGAGATCTGCTCAGTTCCTGAGTGACATCACTTTAAAAAAGGGATTTTGGATTCGTATCCCATTTTTTGCTTTTTAATTGTTTTTAAATAGATTTTTTGCATCTGCTGATCTTCTTTAACCTTTTTCCATAAATTTATTAAGGCAAGCTAGCAGAAATCACTTAGGAATCGATTTTTCTTCCATTAATGCACAATAATCTGATTTTATGCAAATTTGTTAAAATAAACGATCGTGAATGATTTTTTTTGTAAATAATCTCTGCTAACTTACCCTGGCAATAAAATTTGATTCCCTAGAAATCTCTGCCAGCCGGCCCTAACTCGAAAAATGTTCCCAATGATCAGATGACTCATTTTTGGGCATTTTTTCCATAAATAGAAACAGCTGTGGCCATTTTTATCCCGATTACCTGTTATAATGCAAGATTTCTCTCTCTCTCTCCCCTCTCTCTCTCGCTCGTTGATCTCTCTCTATCCGCCTGTCCATCTCAATTGATTGGTTGATAATCCTCCTCCTCCTCTCCCCCAATCACTCCCTCTCTCTCTGCCCTCACCAGTCTCGCTCCACTCTCTCTCCCTCCCTCCCCATTCCATTTAGTTTGCTCTATCCATTCCCCTCTATTTTCCCATCAGATTGGATACTCCGATGGGTCACTTTTTAGGCTGGTCAAGGGCCAAGGACCTTTTTATTGAGTGGGCAGACTAGCAGAGATCATTTTGGATCTAAAACTCGTAAAAACTAAAAATCTTTGCGTTTTTTTAAGGTTTTTCATGTTTTCTGATTTTTTATGATCTAATTACGGTATTTTATGTATATTTTTCAGGTGATTCTACTAGAGTAATAGCCAGTGTCATCGATGTCCTCCATATCAGAAACATCCCAAATGGAGATCAACAACATGATGAGAAGAAACAGTTCCCCAATGCTCATCCATCCCACATCTATCAATGGCCACAGCCATCAACAGCCGATTGCATCCAGTAAGCCACGCCCACTTTTTACCTTCAATGGTCCTTTAAAACAGACTTGTACGAGTTTTTGAACGATTTAGTAAAAAATCTCCGAAACTATGCTTTTTTGGCTTCAGTTTTCGTTTAAAAGTTCAAATTTAAGCTTTTTAAAGGTGTAGCGACTCCAAGTCTGAATTCACGCCCCTTTTTGGTGTCAACGGCCCTTTAAAAGCTAGCTAAATACAGTTTTTAGAACCAAAACACGACCATTCACACGAGTTGTGTCGTGTCTGCGGGGACAGCTCGGCCAAAATGCACTACGGCGTCCTGACGTGCTTTGGATGTGAGTTTTTTGGGGGATAATTTGGGTTCAATGGTTCTTTAAAATCAAAGGATATAAAAAATTCGTATTTTTCTTGGATTTTGACTTCTAAGGAGCTTTTAGAGCGCTTAGTTTCGATTTTTTCTGCGATTTTGCCTTCAGTGGTCCTTTAAAAGTGACATAAGGCGAAAATTCTCGATTTTAATCATGTTTGACTCGCTGACCCCTCAAAACATCTTGGCAAGCTTTTTCAAGCCAAATTGACCAGAAAATCGAATTCATTTTGGCATTTTTGATACAGTAAATTTTTCTTGGACTTTCCCGTCCCTTTAAAACTCCGTGTTTCCAGGCAAAGGCTTCTTCCGGCGTGCCCTGAAGCGTCCGACCGAATACCAGTGTCGCCATAATGGAACATGCGTGGTATGTCACATCCCCATCATAATCTATCAACGGCCAAGGATTCTTTTTAGGTGGATAGACAAGAGAGGAATTCATGCAGATATTGTCGATTCAAAAAATGTCTCGATGTTGGAATGGACCCGAAAGGTGAGAGAGAGAGAGAGAGAGGGAGAGAGCGAGCGAGCGAGCGAGAAAGAGTGAGAGAGTGGGAGAGCGGTAGCCCGGGGTTTTAAGGGTCAGACAAGCCAAAATTGGTATAATCTTAGCTCCAAGAGCCCTTTAAAGGAGCTGAAAAATGAGCATTTCATGCCGTAACCGGATTTCTTATAAAAAACTGATCGAATTGACGTCAAAATATGTTTAAAAACCCAAAAAAATTTTTACTGGGAATTTCATGTCGTAATCGGATAAAAAGCTTGCAAATGAGTAGATTTTTCAAAAATCAATCGATTAAATCCGCTAAAAATCTATAAGCCATTTTTTCAGCCGTTCGGCCGGACCGTGACGCGACCGGACGACATCAAGGGAGGGCGAGAAGGGGAAGACAACAGACAGATGACGAAGGGGAAGTCGACTCGGAATGGACAAGGAAATTGCCGGTCGACATGAGAACCACGTTGATGCAGTTGATGAACACTGATGTTATGGTAAGCATCGGGAAATCAAAGTAGCTGTCACCGTCCCTTTAAAATGAAAAATTCGATTGAAAGGGGCGGTGACATGTATTTTAAAGCGTTCCTGTCAAAATTTTGGCGATTTAAGAATTTTCCAATCCAACAAGAATTTTCAAACCGTTATTTTTCGTGTATAAGCTTTAGATTTAGCTGTCCGACCCCTTTAAAACGCGAAAAATCCTATTAAAGGGACAGTGACATCAGGACAAACGTTGCTATCAGAGTTTTGCAATTTTAAAAATTTTCTAACCACTATTTTGCGCCTAGGTGATTAGATATTGCTGTCCAAGCCCCTTTAAAACCCAAATATTCATTTTAAAGGCACAGTGACAGCCAAAAAACCTCCAAGAACACGATATTTTCAGGTAAACAGCGGTGATGCGCCATCAGATGCCCGTTCCATCTACCCTCTCTCGTATACATTACGACAGTTATTGGAGGATACCTCACTTTTGGATGGGAAAAAGACCGAAATCAGATATGAGGCATTTCGACACGTCGAACAAGTCGAATTACCGGCTATTGCGCACAGGTAGGACTGTAGAAAATGGCAAAAAAACATCAAAATTCAAGAAACCTGCTTGCTGTGATCGATTGGGTCGACCATCTTTGTGATATGATGGATTTGCATAATGTTGAAGATAAGGTGAGTGGGAAACTAGCAGATATTCTTGAGGAAAGCTCGACAGCTTGCAGAGATCATTGAGGAATCCCCAATTTTTAGCTAGCCCTCGTGAAGCACGGCTACGCTCCCCTGCTCGTGCTCTCCTTCTCGGCAGCCTCAGCCTCATGTACTCGTGCTCACGACGTGCTCTGCCTCTGCAATTATGGATGTGTTCCCCGGAATGCGTCAAAAGTTTTTGATGATCCTTAGTGAGTTTTTAGAATTTCTCTTTCTCGCTCTCTCTCTCTCTCCCTAACTTCTCGCACTCTCTCTTTTTCACTTTCTCTCTCTCCCTCGCTCTCTCACACTCTAGCTCGCTCTCTCTCTCTAACCGTCTCTCCTTCCAGCCATCTCGCCAACCGTGTTGTCCCCCGTACTCTCGACGAGCTGGTGCTCCCCTTCCGCCAGATGAGCCTCAGAGAAGAAGAAGCCGTCCTCCTCAAAGCCATTCTGTTGCTCAATTCTCGTAAGTCGGCTTGGCTTAGATTCCAAGTCAATATGGCTCGTTCAGAATGTCGTCCCCTCTCAGTCGATGCTTCCGAAGCTGTAGCCGATCTTCGAGATCGTATGCAAGAGACGTTATACCATGTCGTCAGGGAAACACATCCAAAAGAAGTGGCGTCCAGCCGATTTGGAAATCTGCTCCTTCTACTGCCATCTGTATATGTAAGAATTTCACTATATGATTAAATGCTCGAATACTTTAGCTAATTGGGAACATTGTCGTTGAAAATCTTCAATTCGTCGATTCCATCCTGCACACATTGACGGATCCTTTGATGAGGGATTTCTTGTCGCTACAAGATGAGGAAGAGGATACGCATAGTATTCATGCGGAACAGGTAGGAAAATAGATCTGGGGGCTTTTAAAATGATATATCGAGCTCAAAATGCAAAACCGCGTAAAATGTGAAAATTTCGAAAACCGTCGAAATTTTTTGATGCTTAATTTCGTATGTTTTTTTGTTTAATTTTTTTAGGGTTTAAGTTGCTCATCCTTAGTCATATATCATAATTTATAAATCTGACGCGTCTACAAAATCTACAATTTTTTTAAATCGGATTTTTCATTTTTCGCAAGCCCAAATCTGAATGGGTTTTCAAAATTGTGGATTTCAATATTTTGCACGAAAATATGCTGCAAAATTCTACAAAAAACGTTAATGTTAAAAATGACACAGCCAGCTATTTTCTAGAATTTTTCTGACCCTAAACACGGCTCGAAAAAGCCGATAATACCCTTTAAAAATTTTCTACAAATAGAGCTGCTCAAGAGCTACAAAATTATGCAAAAAAAAAAACGCTAAAAGAAAGCCGATAGTCATTTTCCAGACTTTATCTAATTTTTTAAATAGACGATAAGCCCTGTCTTCGACCAAAACTACAACCTTCAGTTGCAGATCCTGGACGAGCGCCCACTCTCCTCAAGCCTCTCCCACTCAGCCTCATCTTCATCCCTCGATTCCCTTGGCAGTCATTGTAGTGGAGGATCAAATACATCCCCTCCTGGCCATCATCGACCGGAAATGATGAATGGCGGAATTGGAGGGAATGGAATGCAACATCGTGGATCGAATGGCAGTATTCATCAGAATGGAGGAATGCCCAATGGATTACCGAATGGAATGACGAATGGCATATCGAATGGGTGTGGACAACAACAACATCAACAGCAACATCATCAACAACAGCAGCAGCCACAACAACCGCAAAATCAGATGCAGAATGGAATGGCCTACAAGTAGGCTTTTTGTAGTTTGTGTCAAAAAACTCTAAAAAACAAAAATTCGGTGCTTTGGCAATATCGGGGGGCTGATTTTCCTATGTTTTTAGATACGCTACGTAATAAAAGTATTTTAATAGCATTTTGGTAAAAATTAGGTCTTTTCCAAGTGGAAAAACTCTCTAGAAAATTAGAAAAATGTCGAAAAAATTTGAAATTTGAGCGAAAATCAGTCATTTTGCAACGAAAAAACGATTTTCCTGTATTTTTTACTAAAGGTATGTAAAGTTTTTACGTTTAAAATTAAAACTAAATATTGTAAACACCGTTCCTCTATTTATGTCATAAAAATTGGAACCTATGCAAAAATGCCCCGTCCAGATTTTGCAAAAACCGAAAATTGTTTCCTAGATGTCATTGTTTAACAAATTTTAAGCTTTTCTCTAAAGTCTAAAATCCATTAAATATAATATTTTTAGCCTCTCTTCCTCCTCTCTACCCGGAATGATCTCGCAATACAACGATCAGGGAATGAACGCCGCCACCTCGATGCCTAATCTCGGCCCAATGGGACAACAACAACAACAGAATATGAACGACAACGATGACCCAGACTACAATCTGACCCTTACACCAGATATGGTCACCGGGATTAGACAGGCAATGTCTGTTGCTCATAATCTGTCAGAGCACGGAGGACCCGAACAAGGTGGGCAATGGTTCCTAAATGGTTTCTGCTACCGTACCCACTAAAATAACCCGCGTGACCTGGGTCCTAGGATTTCAATTCCCCAAAAATCTCTGCTAGCTTGCCATGACTTCAAAAATCGCCTAGTTTATTCTTCACAAATAACCGATAGATCGCAATAAGCTCCAAAATCTACCGAAAACTAGATTTTTTTCCCCCAAGAACCTCTGCTAGCTGGCCCTAGGCTTAATCTGACAAATCAGTAGAATTTAGGTGATTTTCCCTTCCCAAATGGCTCTGGCTAGGCCGCCATAACCTCGAAAAGCATAAGAAAATGAAAATTTGCTTCCCAAGTAACCCCTGCTAGTTGCTAGCAGTCCTAGGCAAAACTCTATTTCAGATTACCCAGTGATGGACGTGGACCCGCAATGCCTCGCCCCTCCTCCACAATGTACCATGGGACAACCACCACCTCAACAGCAGCAACAGCAACAGCAACAACGAATGCACCAAACGCCTCCAGAATCCCCCATGGACCGTCCACAATTCTTCATTTCGACGGTCGAGAGCACGAAACACAAGTTTACCGTCACCACTTCGCTGGATAATCGGTAGGTTACAAAATACAACGCCTAAAATAAGCGGCTATATTTTAGATACCAAAACGGAAACTACGCTCCACCGCAACAAGCTCCAGGGATTTCATCGAGCCCGTATTTAGGGCATATGAATGGTGAGTCAATTTGCAGAGAGCATTTGGGAAACCTGACTTTTGAAAATTTTGAGAGAAAAAACAAAAAAGAGGTCCAAAAACGAACTGCATCCTGGCGGAAACTAGCGGAGAGCATTTGGCAAAATACGAATTTTGAGAAATTTTGAAAAAGGGCAGGCTAGCAGAGGTTATTTAGGATGCACGACTAAATATTTCAAGCTCGAATTATAAAAAAAACAGTAACCGGGGTTCCGACAAATGGGCAGGCTAGCAGAAATCATTTTGGACGCTAACCGAGGTCTAGAAAGGTCGGACTAGTCAAAAAAAAAACTGCGCGAAAACTAGCAGAAAACCTTTAAAAAATCAGTTGCATGCTAGCAGAGACGATTCAGGAACCTAAAAATCACCCACAAATTTGCAGGAATGCCCCCACAGGGCCAGCAACAACTCGCCCGCACCAACTCCCTCCCCCCACATCAGCAATTCGTGTCAATCCCCGTCTACACCCAACAACCCCCCAATTATCCACCTCAACAACAACAGCAGCAGCATCATCAGCATATGGAGCTTGATGATGCCCCGATGCCCCCGAATACCTATTATAATTGTCAGTAGAATAGTTTTCGCCTTTTCGAGACTTTGAAATTTGACATTTCTCCCGCATTTTATGTATCTTTTTACTTTTTTGTGCCAATCCTTGCCAAAAAAAAACTACTTCTAAACAATCGCCGCTCAAACATTATGAGATTTTGCCTAAAAAAATGTTTCTGGTTGTGTTTTCCATTTTTAAAATTGTTATTTTGACCTAAAACGCTGCAAAATTCGATTTGGACGACTTTTAAAATTAGTTTTCTGATATTCCAATCGAATTCTGCGAGTTTTTAAGCCCAAATATCAGCTTTTTCTCCTTTTTTTCTTGCTGGGTTCCCCGAGACTGGTCCGCGCGCATTGCGATAGAAAATAGCCAAACACGTCTAATAACAACTATGTCATCTACTTCCCAAAAATTCCTGCTGCCATCCCTTCAAATAATCGATTGTCTTTTCCTCCCTAAAAATCCTATGCATTGATTCGATCATCCATTTCTCTGTTTTTACAACCTGAAAATGATCCAGATTCTCGACAGTCTTTCGCCAAATATCCATGCTATATCCACTCAAACTACCTGATTTCTCTTCTCTGTTAAATACAATAAACAAACACCGAAAAAAACGCTAAATCGACCTAAAAACACAGATTTCGGCTCAAATTTCCCAATTCTAGTGGTTTCCGATATTTGCGTAAGTGCCATCCAAAAACACGTCGAAAATGTTAGAAAAAAACTTTATTTAGCAACTAAAAAAGCACAGAGAAAGAGCGAAGAAAAAGAAGAAGGAGAACACAAGGCGCGCGACGGTCTCTGACTGCAGATTTTGCGAGGGTTGAAGGCAGGCTGGTGTAGCGAACGGGGACGGAGGTCGAGCACGTGGTTTTAGAGGTTTAAAAAGCCTTTAAAACCCGACCGGACGCTCCGACTTAAATATCAAAAAGGAATATCGAAAAACACACAAAAGCTCAACGTCCTTAAAGTTGTATAAATTAGGGGAGGGTGGTGTATTGCGCGGAGGGGCGAACAAAACGCGTTGTTGTTGCCCAGCAGCATTTTCGGCGGGGCAAATAAATCAATTTTGTATCTATATACATCATAATGCATTTTTCCATTCGGGGGATGAGGGGGCAATAGATTAAAGAAGCGGGAAAACAATCCAAATCAAGGCCGGAAGCGGAGAATCATCAGAAAAACAAGAGGATGTAGGGGGGAATTAGGCATCGGTGGCTTTACCGTGGCGTCCCTGGATGGCCGTCTTGATCTCTTGCATGTTGTTCTCACGCGCCTTCAACTCGGTAGTGCTCTCCACGGTGCGAAGGTCGCCGATCACCTGCAAAAAAATAGTGTTGGAACGAAATATCAAATTTAGCGTTCGGATCCGCGCAAATTTGGCGCTTGTGCAATATCAGGGGGTGAAACGATGCCTAGTAATGTAATAGCAAATGTTTAAGCAGCATTCCAGATAAAATTTAGATCTATTTCAAGAGGAACAACTTTTTAAAACCTGGGATAATGTTAAAGGGCTGCCGACGGCATGTGTCGATCCCCCCCATCAACAAATTGGCAAGTAGCCAACAGGGCAGAGAGCGCGCCCTGGGGAGAGGCGCAGAGACATTTTCTTTCCAACGCGTAACCAATTGACTTTGCCGTCGGCATCCCTTTAAAAACTTGAAATTAATATTGAAAATCGCCCAGTTTTGGTCAAAAATCGCTAGTATTTTTACTACAAATCATGAAAGTTTATACGTTTAGAAATAGTAAAAAAACGAATCTCTATCAATCTAGACAAATTAGAGCCTAGGGAAAACGTTTACCCCTCGTGCTTATACTTATATATATTCCCCAAAGCTTCTTTGCTAGCTTGCCTTCGGCAAAAGTCTGAATTTAAGCCGCAAAAATACTTCCGGATCAATTCAAAACCGGAAAGTCGGGGTGTATTAAAAATTCAACAGGGACTGACTGGTCAACGGGGAGCAAACGCCGATCAATATTCCCTGGATACCTGTTTCGTCTTCCCAAAGTAGATCTCGTTGAGGGCGAGGCGCATCTTGGACTCTTGCTCCTCGATCATTCGCCCAATATTCACCAGATGGCCGTTGCCCTCCGTCACCGGGTTGTCTTGCTCCAGCTGAAAAACACAGATTTTTATCGGAAAAACTCGACTTTATCATTCTTTCATAATCCCAAATTTCTCACCTGTCGCGACATACTTCCACCAAGATTCATCACCCCACTGTTCGTCTTTGTCGTCTGCAGCCACAGCATCACCGTCGACGTCAGCTTGTAGTGCGCGTTGCGATTCTGTAAAAAAAAGTTGTGTTTGAAAAACATAGCATTTTTTTACCTTCTCATTGACCTCGAGCACGTGAATTGAATCCCAGCAGCCCTTGATGCTCTTCGACCCGTCGCCTTGCTGGAAAATTACGATATTTTTGCTCTCCTGAAATTATTTACCTTCTTGATCAGCACAACACCAGCAAATCCAGCCGTTTGCAGCTCCCAGAAATAGACGGACGAGACGCCACCCTCGAAATACCTAAAAAAATAAAAATAAGGTTTTTCCGGAAAAAAACTCACAAATCGCGATAGGCCTCAAAAGCGGCGTTGGCCTCGACCTCGAGGGTTCGGAGCTTATCGGAGGGATAGTGGCCATCGGGCATTGGCGGGTCGTACTCGTTGGTCCAAGGAGAGCTGAAAACATTGGATTGTCATCGACAAACTTTTTTTATTGATATTTTAGCCACAAAAATCACAAACCGATAGCTATCCCCATCGCGGTTGTAGTCGCAGAGTAGATATTCCTTCTGGGTTTGCGGGTCCTTGGCCACGGCTAGCGGCTGGTCGACGGTGGAGAGGAGATCGTCGCAAAGCCCCGGCACGAGATCGATTAGGCTGGAGAGGTTCTTCTCGCACTGCTGGGGTGGCAGTCGACGCATCAGGTCGAGGGCACAGTCGAATTGTTGTTCACTCTGAAAAATGATGAATCATAGACTGCTGCCCTGTATTTCCCGATCGATATTATTAGTATAAGCTCAACAGCGCGAATTTGCTTGATTTTCGCCAATCGATGATTTTCAATGTTTCCTGGAAATTGTAAACAAGATGACTAATCAAAAGTAGGGGGCCTAAAGGGCTTTCAATAAAAAAGAACCGAGAAAGCTACTCGAACTTTTCTGCCCAACCAGCGATCGAAAAGCTCCTAAAAGAAGGTTTTCCTCGTTTTTCGGGACCATACATTTTGCACTCGGGTAAATTTCGCATTTTCAGCAACTCTCCGAGCGAATTTTCCGGAACTAAACATTACTCCTTTGTCTCCCCGTTTTCTCGCTACGTAAAGTTGCTCAAAGTTCGTCACGCAAAATTCACTGCCGAAAATTGATAGTCTACGATTTTTGACTCATTAGACTGATGAATCAACCCCGAATTTTCCAGCTTTCTAGGGTGAAAAAGAACGCACCATCTTGCCCGGCGTATTCCCTCTACAGCCGAGATGTACCTGGAAATGATCGTGTAAATGAAATCATAAAAATCGATGGCCAAAATGAGTAAAATAAACAGAAGCCGAGCGAAAGTGTAGGGATTGCGGGACGGGGGGAGGGGCATTGGGGACCCGGGGCCCTCGATGGCTCGGTTAGACCGCCAGTGTGCAGGGGAATCGTGGCGGAACACGGGGGATTCTCTCGTCTTTGGCAGGCAGCGCTGCAATGGAAGGGAAGGGAAGGGAGGGAGTCGCACTCAAAGCCCGACAAAAAGCCGAGACAATGACCCCTTTGATACAATGCGAGTGGAGTGTCGCCTAAAGACTCAGCTGGCTGCCAATGCACACTCCCCGTTCCACTATAAGCTGTCTATTTGGCACCTTTGTCAGTCTATAACCGCCTTATTGCTACTCTACTACTTGATTTCCGGAACTTGGCAAATTTCGCACGGTTCTTCCATGTTATAATACACAAGTTATACAAATTTAGTGGCCTAGTAACGCTCTTTTTAGGACTATTAGCAAATTTAGTCCCTCGATACCATTCCTATAATCATCACTAAACGGAAATAAAGCATCTAAAATAGTAAATTAAGGTAGTTGCGACTAATTTATATGTCAAAAGCGCTATTTTAGCCCTAATTATTAAAAATTAATACATTTTTAAAAGTCTGGGAACCATGCGGGCCTTGCCAAATTTGTGAATTGTCGAATTCCTTGCTTTCCATGGTTTTCAACAATTTCAAATTTCATTAAATTCCATTCGTTCTTTCAGATATGTTCTAGAAGATCTAATAACTAACCAGACGATGAGAGCCGCGTCTCTAAAGAGGTACACGTTACCGGATTTGGCTGGAACTCACAATTTTCCAGGTTCTTCGTAGTTCTGCTCGCTACGTCGATCGGATATCTGGCATTTTACCACACGCCCCGCTTCCGGGCGACCAGTGACGATGATAGAAGACCAGAGGAAAAGGCTCAGGCTAAGGAATCTAATAAGTAAGTTTTAAATGTGTAGATAACTCTGTTTTTTTAGAATTGACTCGATGCGGATAGCAGATATCAATATGAAATGGTCAGACAAGGATTTGGAGAACTCTAGGTAAAAACTTAGCGGCTCTTGGAAATTTGTTGTTTTAGACAAACGCTAAAATATCTATCCGATTTGAACGAAAATCAAGCACTGAGGGAACCACCGCCCGTCAAGAAAACGTGAGGGTTCTAAATTTTATAGTTTAAAAGCGTTTAGATTGAGCCCGAATTCGAGTTGCCCTGAAGTCGGCGAACTGCCCGATATGAACGGCTCGCTCCACCAGGCCACGTTGTTGATTCAGAATCTGAAGGTTTGTTGGGTTTTCTAGGGCGGAAATGGTTGTAGATCGTCTGCTAAACTTTTATCTCTGTTTTAGGAAGGTGAGGTCGTGGCGGCGCATCCAGAAATCCAGCCGGGTGGCCACTGGGCCCCGACGGATTGCAAGGTAGATTTGAAGCGCAAATCTTAACCTCGATTTTAGGCGCTCTACAAAGTGGCCGTCATCATCCCGTATCGAGATCGTCAATCCCATTTGACGCGTCTGCTCAATTTTCTGATCCCTGTCCTCCAGAAGCAGCGCCTCGACTTTCGCTTTATCGTCACCGAACAGGTCAGATTTTGCCAAGTCTGCGAACAACAATGGGCCCGAATTTTGAACTTCTCCCCTCGATAAAATCGCGTGCAGCGCATGTATCTTCGAAAAACGCGGCCTTTTCAAGGCCAGCTAGTGTACAAAAAGCTTAGATAATAAGTGATTCTTCTAATTTTCATCTGTTTTTCAGTGGGGCAACGATCTGTTCAACAAGGGCCGTATCATGAACGCGGCTTTCCAACTGGCCGAGAAGCTCGCCGTCGATTGTGTCATATTTCACGGTCGGTTTTTTTCGGCTGAGGATTTTGGTATTGTGTGGGGGAGGGCTGGGAAAGTTTTGGTGAATAATCCCCCGCTCGGCCTTCAGTCAGCCCACGAATTGTATTCAGATTTTCGTCAAAAACAAAAGAGAAAAAACGTAGAAAGAGAACGAACGAAAAACTAAAGGGATCAAATTTCGCAAAACTTCTCTGCTAGCTTGCCTTTTTCGCCCTTGATAGTTAAACCGAGTATTTTGCCCACGAAACCCCTTGGCCGGTCGCCAAACCATCATCCCATCTTTTTTGGCAACTGCTTTATATCTCTCAATCCTACTTTATTACTTCCCCGTCGAGCCATTCGCGAGAAACGGAACAAAAGTTTGACCTTGCCTGCCTCTGCTTCTCACTTTCCTTTTCCTCAAACCCGTCTCGCGCGTTTTTTGAGCCCAAAAAAGGAGAAAGAGGAAAGAGGATGAGAGCCTTTTCGACTCTCCCGAACTCGTGAGGAACCTATAGCTAATTGGGAGGAGTTTGGAACGCTGGCATAGGAAATGGAGATGTTGCGAAAGGTTCTCGTGTGTTAGCGGGGGGGCTAAATTTTTATACAGCCGAATGTCTAGTCTATTCTATTTTCTTAGTGATTTTAGCAGTTTTCGATTCCTAAAAAGTAAAAATGAAAAGTTTCTGAGATTTTTGGCCTAAAAGGATGTTTATTGGACCTTCATAGCTAAAATAAGGCGTAATTGCTTTTAAAATTGTCTCGATTTCATTATTCGGCGTCCACGAAAATATAGCAAATTTTTTGTTTTGAAATTTTTGAGAAAATTAATTTTTTTTTGGGATATTGTTGCTTTATGATCTTCTTATCACTAATAGAGCGCAAAATGCGATTAAAATTATTTATATGGCGATCTTCCGCATAGGAAAAATTACCCTCCCCCGCTAAGGAAAAAGGTCCTTACGAGTCAATTTTCAGATGTGGACATGTTCCCGCAGGACGATCGGAATCCATACACTTGCCCACCGACTCCTCGCCATATCGGAGCATTCGTCAGCAATCTCGGATATCAGCTGTGGTACAAGGAAATTGTTGGCGGAGTGCTGGCCATCCGGATGCGAGACTATCGAGCGGTCAACGGATACTCCAACAAATATTGGGCATGGGGAGGCGAGGATGATGATATGGGTAATTTGTTACGCAATTGAAAATATATGTCTCATTTTAGGAAAGCGAATCCTCTCCTTGAACTACACGATTGAACGACCGGAACCGGCCACCGGACGGTTCAGCATGTTGAAGCATGTCAAGCGGAAGCGGACGGCTCCAAAGCTCATGTAAGCTTTTTGGGACTGTACTGTTAGCGGGGGGGTCTATCTTTTTATGTAATTTTGAAGTATAGAAAGTTCAAATTAACGCAAAAATTTGTTTTTCACCAAAATCGAAAAAGACAAAAAAGCAAATTTCAAAAAGTTGGCATTTTCTAAAAACCTTTTGACGCTTTTTGGTAATCAAAAACGACTAAAATCAGAATAAAGTGCGAAAGATTTAGCTAGATAGCCCCCCCCCCCCGCTAACAGTCCAGTACCGCCCCTATAAACCCCATTTTAGCTACAAACTACTGGAAGACTCGGACAAGCGCGTCCCCTATGACGGGCTGAACGAGACGAACAAGTGGAGCGTCGTCAAGCTGTCCGTCCGCCCCCTCTACTATCATATGTATGTGGATGTGGGTGCTGTGCCGGAAGAGTGGCGATCCAAGAGCTAACCCTTCCTCCCAATTATCATTGTATATTTATTTCTAGTCGTTTATCTATTCGCATTTCCAATCCTATTTTTCTACTTAATTTTCTTGTTTTTCTCTCGCTAATTGTCTCTCTCTGCCCCCCAGCTAACCTCTTACCTGATCCCCTGAATACGAGTCATTACAAGTCATTGTGTATTCTATGTTTTTCGCTCCTCTCGTATCCGCTATTTTTCTGTACGCCGATTCTTGCCAAAATGATATCCGCTAAGTGCCCTTGTTTCTTTTTGCCGACACGCATAGTACCCTCCTGTCTCTCTACGCCATAACAACAAAACTACTTTGGGTATAAATCGTTAAAAATTTGGATTTGAAAAGTGCAAATGATGTACAGAAGACACACACGCTACTGATTAATTCCCGTCACCTCCCCCAGTACAAACCCTTTTCGCCTCAGGGCGACCGAATGCTGCTGAAAATTGATATTTCAGATGTCGATGTTCACGGATGTTTTCAACTGCCCTGGTTGCAAGAAGCCGTTCGATTTGAAAGAGGGAGAACCTAGGAGGCCCGGATACAGCGCGGACTTTCATTGTGTCGCGTGCAAGTCGTGCGGTCTAGGATACAAGCCGCTTCTGGGCCTGATGGAATTCTTGACGCAGCCGGCATTCAACAAGACGGACAAGGGATACGACTACACTCTGCCTATCAACGACCCGGTCTGTTTCGGATGCCAAGACGACATCGGATTGTCGGAGGGAGCGAGCGCCTTCGTTGGCGCTTGTGGACACTATCTCTGCCAGCCGTGTGATGGCAATAAGTCGAAGGTCGGTAGGATGTGCAACACGTGTAACGAACAGACCGACGGTTCTCAATGGCGTCTCGACGGCGTACTGCTACGCTTCTTTTTCGCCAAGGTCGTACGTGGACAGCAACTGAGTCAGATTGAGGGCAAGAAGGAAGCAGCTCGTAGAAGCGGAGCTCTGAGGAACTGCTCGAATTGTGGTATCGAGCGGCCGGTGGAGCGTCTTATCAGATGCGAGGATTGTCAGAAAATTCTCTGCGGCGTCTGTTCCTTCGATTCCCACCAGGGACATGCTGCCGTCAAACTCTTCGGCATCGAACTCGATCGACTCGAAACTCAAAACGATAAGCGCTTCACGGAAAATGTGGAAGGACTCCATGGAAACTTGAAATACATCCAAACTACTATCGATGAGGCTGTCGAGAAAGTGTTGGTGGCTGGAAAGGAGCGCCTGACAAAGATCAAGGCGTGCGCAAAATATGATGAAGCTGAGAACATCGCGTCGAGGGTCGACAAGGCTGGCGACAAATTCGAGAAGCATTGTGAAGTCTATATCCCTGTGGCACGCCAGTTTGCCACTCGTTTGACGGAACTCGGCGAGGAGCTGGAGAAAGATGAGGAATAAGATGCGATTATTTTAATTGAAATCGATTTATCCTTGAAAAATGGTCTAATGCGTTTTCTGTGAATGTATTTTTAAAGTACTGTGACTTGTTAGGATTTTTTCACGATCATCACGATGGTTGCGGTCTTCTATGGTCTTTCATTGATCCGTTTGTGTACTAAATCTTTTTTTTTCAGTTGTCGATGTTCACGGGTGTTTTCAACTGTCTACAATGCAAGAAGCCTTCGGACGACAAGGAAGGGGGAGGCGAACGTTCTCTCCAACTGCACTTCACACTGGAATTTGTAGGTTTTTAGCATTTTCTAGGGAATTTCTCCTTGAATTCGTATTTTGCATATCGTTGTTATCGCGTTCACAATTATTTTCAGGATGCCGGCACTCAATTTGACGACAACGACACGGTGTGGTGATCGACGCTCCGTGGTGAACTCGTTGCCCTCGTTGCGGCAATGTATTTGCTGAAACGAGTCGGCCCAATTGCTGCCACCGTGGCCACCGTCCACTACTACTATCACGGGGACCAATCGCCGTTTTGGAGCAGGTCAGAGGCTAGAATTTTCGCGGATTCGAGTATTTTGAGAAAAGTACACGCGTGGAGTGACCCGTCAAGAATCTACAAACTCTCTGAAATTGAGGAGGGCCGCGAGGTGTACCCGAGAAAACCATGGGATTCCAATTGGGACCAGTACGTTTTGTTTTAATTATTTAATTCTTTGTTTTAGTCGCGAGCCGAGGCAGCTGGCCGTGGCCAAGGATCCGAATGCGTCGAAGGACAAGCAGCGAGAGCTCGTCGGAAAGGTAACAAATTGAATTGTACTCAATTTATTATAATTTTAGTACAAACCGACGGCCAATCGGAACATCATCCTGATAAGACACGGCCAATATGTCATGGATTCGAAGGAGAAATCGCTGTCCGATCTTGGTATCTCTTTTCTGTTAATCAAAACCAACTTCTAGGCCGAAAACAAGCCGAACTGCTCGCCGGCCGGCTGGCCATCACCGGCATCAAGGTCCGCGCTATTTAAACGGCGTAATCCTTTCTTATTAATTTAGTTTGACGCGCTCCACATGTCTCCACTCAATCGAGCCACCGAAACGGCCGATATTTTGCTGCAAAAGGTCGGTTCGGAGTGTCTCTAGTATCGTAACGTACTCTTTTTCAGCTTCCACCCGATCTGGTGCGTAAAATGGATCCGATGCTCGAGGAGGGCCCACCGTATCCACCCGAACCGGCCGCTTATCACTGGGTACCTTCCACCAATGTACGTTTTTGATAATTTTAATCAATTATTTGTAGGAATTTGTGACAGACGGAATGCGGATCGAGGCGGCTTTTCGCAAATACTTCCACCGTGCATCGCCGCGCCAGACCGACGATTCGACCGAGATTTTCGTCTGCCATTCCAACGTCATCCGATATTTTGTCTGTCGGTACGGTGTTATCTTATCTTTTTTCTCTTCTTTTCGATTCAAAATAAAGATAATTTTATATTTGCAGAGCGCTACAATTCCCTCCGGAAGGCTGGCTCCGTCTATCCGTCGCCAACTGCTCGATCACGTGGCTGCAAATCCGCCCGAATGGCCGTGTCACTCTGAAAAGTCTTTCTGATGTCGGCCATTTGCCCCACAAGAAAGTCACGTTCGGCTGATGCTCAATTTATTTAATAGAACAAGATTGATGTTAAATTAGAAACGCTGTGTGTCAACTTGTGTATTTGTTATCCCTCGGCCTCTCCTCTCACATTCTTCTTCTACTATTCGAATTGTTTTTCTTTAAATGTTTTGTCGTCATTTCTCTGTGTGGATTGATGCGGATAAAGTATTATTACGGCTTGTCATTTTTATGAATCTATGGTAGTTGAAGCCTGGGGGGTATAGTCTGATTACTGCGCGTCTGGATCACTGAAAACGAGCCTCTACTTCAGATGTCGGTGTTGACGAAGGCTTTCAACTGCATGAAGTGCAACAAACCATTCGACGTCAAAGAAGGAGAGCCCAGAATCCCTGCATATAATTTGCCCGACTGCTGTTCCTGGTGTCTCACTTGCTACCCATCCTTCACGCCGATCGCTCGGGGTCTGATGGACTTCCTCAATCAGCCGGCGTTCAAAAAGACGGATACGGGATATGAATACACAGTGCCGTGGAATGAGCCAAAATGTTTCGGCTGCGATGGGAACATTGTATTCACGTGTGGAGCGATCGCCTTCGTCGACAATTGTGGCCATTATCTTTGCGAGGATTGTAATCGCAGAAAGGAGATGACTGGAATCCTCTGCAAGAAGTGCAACACAACGACTGACGGCCCGTCTTGGCGCCCTGACTCTGTATTAGCTTTCTTCTCTCTAATGAAGGGTGCGCAGGGACAGAAATTGAAGCAGGCTGAAGCAAAGACAGAGAAAGATTCGGATTCCCGAGCCTCGAAGGACTGTTCGGGTTGTGGCATCCGACACCCGGTAGAGCGTCTCTACAAATGCCATGACTGCGAAACGATCAATTGCGGCAACTGCTCCTTCGATTCGCATCGTGAACATTCTGTGGACAAGCTTCTCGGCATCGAACTCGTTCGACTCGAAACGCAAAACGGCAAGCGCTTCACGGAAAATGTGGAAGGCCTCCACGGAAATTTGAAGTACATCCAAACTACTATCGATGAGGCTGTCGAGAAAGTGTTGGTGGCTGGAAAGGATCGCCTGACCAAGATCAAGGCGTGCGCCAAATATGATGAAGCCGAGAACATCGCGTCGAGGGTCGACAAGGCTGGCGACAAATTCGAGCAGTGCTGCGAGACCTATATTCCTGTCGCACGTCAACTGGCCACTCAATTGTCGGAACTCGGCGAGGAACTGGCGAAAGATGAGGCATAGAGCGCGAACGCGCGAATTCCTTTCAAGTTGTTATGATTTTTACTGTTTTGATCGTTGAATAAAGTTATTTATAGAAACACACTGATGCTCTTTCGAATAAAGGCTTGTTGCCGTTAATGGTGTCTTCCAAGAAAAGACCTTTTGGAAACAATGCAAATTGAGCGCCTACGTTTTTCGCAGTTGTTTTCAATCGCTTTTAATTAAATTCTTGATGCCATATTAAAACCACCTTTTTCAGATGTCGATGTTCACGATGATTTTTAATTGCCCCAAATGCAAGAAGCCGTTCGATGTGGTAGAAGGAGAGCCCAGGGCGCCCCGATACGGTCCAGCAGGCCACCGCCCCTATTGTCACACCTGCTACCCAAAACTCCTCCCGATGGATCGGGGATTGATCGACTTCCTGGATCAGCCGGCATTCAAAAAGACGGACATTGGATACATATACACTCTGCCGATCAGTGCTCCAGTCTGTTTTGGATGTGAGACTATGATCCAAGTGTTCGGAGGATGTAGCGCTTTCTTGAGCAAATGTGGACATTATCTTTGCCGGGCGTGCAACCACCGCAAGGCTGATGAACGGCTGCTCTGCAACAAGTGTGGCACATGGAGCACCGGCTTGGATTGCCATCCTGAGAGTCGCTTTGCATTTTTCTCCCATATACTGAAGGATGCGCAGAACCATGAATTGAAGACGCGCTTGGCTGAGGTTGATGCCATCGAAGCCAAGAAAAACGAGGATCGAAAGCACGGAGCCCTGAAAAATTGCTCAGAATGTGGTATCGAGCAGCCCGTGGAACGTCTCTATAATTGTAATGATTGCCAAACGGTCAAATGTGGAAGCTGCTCTTTCGATTCACATCAAGGACATGCGGTGAATAAGATCCTTGGAACGATACTTGTTGGGGTGGAGCAGAAAAAAGAGAAGTGGTACACGGAGACGCTCACCGGGCTCCATGGCAACTTGAAGTACATCCAAACTACTATCGATGAGGCCGTGGAGAAAGTTCTGGTCGCGGGAAAGGATCGCCTGGCCCAGATGCCAAAGCGCACCAAATACGATAGGGCGATGAAAATCGTGGCGACGGTGGAGAAGGCGGCCGGCGATTTCGAGAAGCATTGCGAGGAATACATCCCGGTTGCCCGGAAATTGGCCACTCGTTTGACAGAACTCGGCGAGGAGCTGGAGAAAGATGAGGAATAAAACGTGACGCGAGAATTCCTTTCATGTTGTTATTGATTTTCACGTTTTTTGTTGAATAAAGTTATTTGTTTTGTAAAAAACCGTTGCTCTTTCCCATGGAGGCTTGTTGCCTTTAATAATTAATTTAGCCCATTGGAAATAATGCAAATTCGACGACTACGGTTCTCCCAAATTTTTTTTATTGCCTTTCATTAAATTCTTTATGCAATATAAAACCCCATTTTTTCAGATGTCGATGTTCACGGATGTTTTTAAGTGTGCTTGTTGCAAGCAACCTTTCGACTGCAAAGAAGGAGACCCTCGAAGACCCACATACCTCGCAGCCACCCGATCTGTCTTCTGCTGCACTTGCTCTCCGCTCACTCCGATCCAGCGGGGTCTGATGGACTTCCTGAATCAGCCGGCATTCCAGAAGACGGACAAGGGATACGATTACACTCTACCTATCAACGATCCAAAATGTTTCGGATGTGAAGGGGACATCAGAGTGTTCGAGGGACAGAATGCATTGATGGCAAAATGCGGGCACTATCTTTGTCAACTATGTGACTTCACGAAGTCGAATGCTGGCATCCTCTGCATCCGCTGCAACATGGTAGTACGCGGTTTCGATTGTTTCCTCGACCCTATGCTGAGAGACTTCTGCCGTAACAAGGATGTGCAAGAATCGCTATTGAAGCAGGTTGAAGCAAAGACGGAGAAAGATGGGCGTTCCCGAGCCTTGAACGACTGTGCGGATTGTGGCATCGCGCAGCCCTTGGAGCGCCTCTTCAGATGCGAGGATTGTCAGAAAATTCTCTGTGGTGTCTGTTCCTTCGATTCCCATCAAGGGCATGCTGCTGTCAAACTCCTCGGTATCGAACTTCATCGACTTGAAACACAAAACGTTAAACGTTTCATGGAAAATGTGGAAGGCCTCCATGGAAACATGAAATACATCCAAACTACTATCGATGAGGCTGTCGAGAAAGTGTTGGTGGCTGGAAAGGAGCGCCTGACAAAGATCAAGGCGTGCGCAAAATATGATGAAGCTGAGAACATCGCGTCGAGGGTCGACAAGGCTGGCGACAAATTCGAGAAGCATTGTGAAGTCTATATCCCTGTGGCACGCCAGTTTGCCACTCGTTTGACGGAACTCGGCGAGGAGCTGGAGAAAGATGAGGAATAGAGCGCGAACGCGAGAATTCCTTTCAATTTGTTATGATTTTTACTGTTTTGATTGTTGAATAAAGTTATTTATAGAACCACATTGTTGCTCTTTCGAATAAAGGCTTGTTGCCGTTAATGGTGTCTTCCAAGAAAAGACCTTTGGAAATAATGCAAATCCAACGCCTACGTTTTTCGCATCTGTTTTCTATGGCTTTTCGTTGAATTCTTGATGCAATATAAAACCCTGATTTTTCAGATGTCGATGTTCACGGACGTTTTCAATTGCCCTGTTTGCAAGAAGCCGTTTGACTGCCAAGAAGGAGACCCCAGAATGCCTACATACTATGCTAGAAATCAACGTATCTATTGCCACGCTTGCTACGCATCCTCCCCGACGATATGTCGAGGTCTGATGGATTTCCTCATCCATCCGGGATTCAAAAAGACAGACGGGGGATACGATTACACTCTACCTATCAACGATCCAAAATGTTTCGGATGTGAAGGGAACATCAAAGTGTTCGAGGGACAGAATGCGTTTATCGCAAAATGCGGCCACTTTCTTTGCGATAGTTGTGACTTCAAGAAGTCGACCGCTGGCATCCTCTGTAAAAACTGCAACATGGCGGAGGACGGTTCCGATTCTTATCTCGACCTTCTGTTGAGAAGCTTCTGCCGTAACGAGGAAGTGCAGGATTATTTGGCGAAGCAGGCTGAAGCAAAGACGGAGAATGATCGGCGTTCCCGAGCCTTGAGCGACTGTGTGGATTGTGGCATCGAGCAGCCTGTCGAGCGTCTTTTCAAATGCGAGGATTGTCGGACAATTCTTTGCGGTGTATGTTCCTTCGTTTCTCATCGCGAGCACTCTGTGGAGAAACTCCTCGGCCTCGAACTCGATCGACTCGAAAAGGAAAACAATAAGAAGTGCACGGATATCCTTGGAGGTCTGCATGGAAACCTGAAATATATCCATACTACCATTGATGATGCCGTGGGCAAGGTGATGAGTGCTGGAAAGGATCGTCTCTCCAAGGTTCCTAAATGCACGAAGCACGAGGATGCTCAAAAAATCGTCACGAAGGTGGACAAGGCGACCGTGGAATTTGAGAAGCACTGTGAAGAATACATTCCCGTCGCTCGCAACTTGGCCACTCGACTGACCGAGCTCGGCGAGGAATTGGCCAAGGATGAGGAATAACATGCACTAATATTTTTCCAAATGAGCTTTCACACATTGAGTGCTGAATAAGATGTGTGTTATAGAAACTGTTGATGCTTCAACTAAAGGTTAACTGCCTTTTGCAATTTTTGATCAAGATTGGCGATTGTTGCAAATACAAAAAATTTAGATGGTCGGTCGGCGCTCGCAAACGATGATAATACGTATAAGTTTTTAGCCTGCGTAAAAATTTGCGGATCAGTAGTGGCAAAATTAACAAATCCTCTTTTTTTGGTTTCTACTAGGTCAAGTCTCATTTTTCGGGCGTTTGCCCAGGTAGGCGACAATGTTTTCTCTCAATCCCGAACAATGTGCTCATCAACGCTGATCATCCGCCAATTATTGATTTTGGCATTTAGCCTATCAGCCGCTACTTTTATTGGTATTTTTAGAAGCGATTTTAGGTTATTTAGAACCATTTAGAAGCCGTTTCGCTAGAAGAACTGACCTGTAAGCTGCGACCTTCGCTTTGTTCTATCAATTCATCGAGAAGGTTGGTATCTGGTGGAAAAGGTAGGTAAGATTCATCATAAAATAAAAAGTAGGGTATAACGCGGGTTTTTACTGATTTTTAAAGGGAGAATTTGTATAAAAACGCGGTGCTTTCTAAAAGAGCTATTTTGAGATTTCTAAGTTTCGAATCTTTAAAATTCGTTGACGCGAGGCTTTCAGGTTTGTAGCTGGTTGTAAGGGTTGAAAATGCCTAGTTTTTGAGTAGCTAGTTTTTTTGCGCGAGATCTTTGTATTTTTAGCCAGCAAAGAGTCGAATAGACGTAAAATGCGGTAATTAATTTTTACGCAACTATTTAATATTTTTACCTTTCTTAAAAGTTCAAACATCCTAAAAAAGCGATAATTTGTTTGTTTTACACGAAATACAACTGTTTTAAGCAATGTTTCTATAGATACATTCAGATTTTGTCTCCGCCACCCGCCCACCACTTCCGAAAAACTTTGATGCGTGGGGTTTATACGGACTGGAGCCGGGGAATGGGTATGGGCCCCCGGGAGGGCCGGGATATGGACCAGGTAGGCTGAATTTCATGACATAATCGAATCCATGGCTCCGAAGAAGGTTACAAACACCTTTAAAATCGATTTTTTAGGCATGGGCGATGTAGCGATACAAACCGGCGTCGGCGTCGCCACCCCGATCGGTGGGCTCGGAATTCAACGAGGTTTTGGCCTTGGATTTGGAGGTACCGTGGAAAAATAGTGGATTTAAGCGTGGATTACGGTATTCAAGATCCGGCTATAATTTTTATAGGCTCTGGACGAATTGGCGGGCAGCCGATCGGCTTCGGGAACGGCTTCGGGGAGACCGGAAATGGACGATACGCGCCTATCGATGGGTGGAACGCTAAATAAAACTGTTTACTAGATTTGATAAATTGTTTTAATCGTTTTATCAGTTAAAATACAGTGTAGAGTGGAATACGAAGTACAATCCATAGGGTACAAACTACAACGTTTCTAGAAATGCGAAAATTTCGGAAAAATTCAGATTTACGTTAAAATTATTTTTTAACGTTTTGAGTATGGTAGATTGCAAGAAACGTAGACTATAAAGCACAAGAAAGCAGCTACAAACTACACCGTTTCCAGGGTTGTTCAACCCTTAAAAATACGTTTTTAGCTAGAAATCGATTTTTGGCATTTTTACCTCGTTTTCATTGTCTAAAAAATGGTCGTTATCTATATTTGTTCGTATATTTTGGCTTTTACAAGATGCAAGAAGTTTCAAAGAGTAACTTTCCGCTATGAAATACTTGTTATTCCGTGTTTCCGCTATTCGTCATCACCGTCAACTGTTCAGCTGTGTAGCTTTTTGTGATCAGAGGGGGCGACAATCCGTTCAAATAATTCGCCTCCTTCTTGTTGTCGGTCTTTTTGAGTCTCTTTTGAGGGGTTAAAAGGGGGTAATGTTTGCCGAGCAATAGTAGTAAATGTCTTCTTCTTTTCCGTCTCTTTCCGGGCGACAGTTCTGAAATAATTCCCACCCGTTCTGATAAATATTGACCTTTTAAGGGCAACACAGAGAGAGGAGACGCAGAGAAATATACAAGATTCCAAGGTATAAAGGTTCGAAAAGCGTCGGTAATTGGTTTTACTTGTCAAAAATACGGTAATTTTGAAAAATGGTAATTTTTCGTTTTTTTTTGCTTTCTATCAAAATTTAAGATTCGTCATTTATTCATTAAAATTATTAAAATTTTTGAATTTGCGAGATTAAATTGTAGCCTGTAGCCTATATGTTTCAGCGATATATTTTTTTTGACAAGACCTTGAATTTATTTTTTTTAATAGACCAAATTTTTTTTCGATTTCCACGTTCTATTTTGTTAAAATTTGTAACAATTTTTATGCAGTTTAATAGTGCTTTAAATCGCCTGATTTTCAGAAGTATTAGATTTTGTAGCTTTGATTCTTGAATTTTTATAAAATTTTGTAAATTTTGTAAAAATGATCTTTTTTATTTTTTTTATTTTTGAAGCAGTAAGCAATTTTTCTTGATTTTTCTCTTGATTCTGAGTTTTTAAATGCTATTTTTAATAGCTAAATGACAATCTAAAAAATACAGGACTTCCCCCATTGTGTTAAAATGATGATGACCATGCTGATGATGTTCTTTCCCTTTCTTTCCCCCTCCCAAAATCTATCGTGCAAATATTCGCCCCTCTTCCGTTCCCTTTCTGTCCAAATTACTCATCAAAAAAGAGCAAAAAAGAGAGGAGGGCGGCGTGGGTGCCCGAATTAACGAGCCGGCCCTATAAATGGCCGGGAAAATTCCGGATTTCAGACATTTTTTGAGCCAAAGAATTTAATTTGTTTTTACTCAGGGCACCTAAAAATTATGCGGCATTTTTGAAAATTACGGTAGATGCAAATCTATGAAACCGCTAGTTTTTGGCCGATTTACGTGTGGGACTCTATTTCAATTTAGTGTGATAAATCTGCGGTTTTTTGAGAGTTACGGTAGCTTTAAAATTTCTATGATTTCGGGGTTTTGACCGGTTTTGAAGCTTCTGAATCTTTTTAATTTCTTTTAAAATTGATAAAAATACCTTGCATTTTATTATATATTTTATTTGCATTCTTATATTATCTATTCTATTTATTTACTTACAATAGTTTTGTATTGATGTGTTGATTTACGATTTAAATTATTTTGATATAAACGATGTAACAAATCCCGGGATTTCGAAAATTTCAGCATTTATAGATTTTATTAAACCTAAAAACCTAAAAAACACATGATGAACTTTGCAGCTGGATGAGAGAGAGAGCGAGAGAGTGAGAGCGAGAGAGAGGGAGCGAGAGAGAGAGCGAGAGAGAGCAAGCCATCCCCCTCTGATCTCTCCGATCTTCCAATCATTAATTCTGTACACCCCCTGTTCTTCTGCCCTTCCCCTCTGCCCTGTTCATTTTTTGAGTGTCCTGTTCTTTTCCCTAAATGGGGTCATCTCTTTCTCAAATCTCCGGTTGATGCTCCTCCGTTTTTTCCGCTCTCTTTCTCTTTCTAGGCTCCCAAAAATTGGACTGCCTTTTCAAGGAGCTCCAGCCAGCTCTTGCTCGCCCGGAGGAAAAGTTCCCCGGGTTTCGGGACAGCTAGGTTTTCCGGTGTTTTCTGGATTCAATTTGGGTTTCGATGAATTTTACCGATTTTTTTAGCCGTTGTGTGTTGTCAAAGGTACTTTGACGGGCCTTGGATTTTCCCGGAAGTTGATCCTATCACTAAATCAAATTTTTATCCCATTCCTTTTTGCTTTCTCTATCTCTCTCTCTCTCACTCTCTCTCTCTATCTCTCTCTTACTCTCACTCTCACTCTCTCTCTGTCTCTTTCACTATCTCTCTCGCTCTCTCTCTGCTTTTTTTCTTTAGAACTTATCAAATCCGGGCTCCAGTTGTTTTTTTTTGCTGCTTTCACCGGAAGCTATCAATCCCTAATCGATTTTTCCAATCCGCCTGATAGCAAAAGGAAAATTTTATCTCTCAGATTAAACGTTTTTACCAGTTTTAGGTAATAAATCTTTTTTCTCCAAATTTTAACGAATTTCTGTCGATTTCACCGTGAATTTCGATTGGAATTGACTTTCTCGTTTTTCTTCTTTTTTTTTCATTCCGAGAATCCAATCAGAATCTAGGGACTGAGGATGACGATGAGACATCAAATTCACCCGGAAAATTGTTAAAAAGGGAGGGTAGAGAGAGAGCGATAGAGGTAGAAGGAAAGGACAATTTTTCAAGTGTTCCACTCAACCTCAAAAAGGGATAGTACGCTTTTATCCTCTAAAAATAGGTTTACTAGCCAAAAAAACATCGTAGATCATAGAACGTGCCTTGAATTTAACTGCTTACGTGCTGGAAAGCGACCTGAAAAGGTCGTAGAATTTGAATTTTCGATTTTTGGCGATTTTTCTGAATCTTCTTGATTTTTAAGCTTCTTGATTGCGGGAGACAAGCAGATCCTAATTTTGTGGTGATCGATGACCACATCGCCATGAGAATCGAGTTGCAGTAAATTTTGGAATTCTTTCGAATTCGAATTTCTTGTTTTTTGCTGCTTTTTTGAAATTTCAGGCACTTAGGCATCAAAATGACCCTGGATTTTTTTGGTTTTGCGGTGCAGTTTCTAATTTGCAAAGAGTATTCAAGCGGAAAATGGGGTGTATCTATCCGGATGGTATCTAACGAGTTGATGGCATTAACTAGCCGGGGCAGGGAGACCCCGCCGAAACTCGGCAACCGATCAAAATACCAAACCGATTTTGTTCCCGGTTACTTTCGGGGCTACTGTAGCTTTTCCAGGGCATAATTTATAAAGCACACGTTTTAAATAAAATGGAAAAACTAACCGATACATAGAAAAATATGTATGTTTGCTTAATTACGAATTTCCGTGCGTCATCCTGATTATTTCCTTACTCGTCGTCATTCCTTACTCTAAAATAGAATTTTTGCCTTTTAAAGGCTCTAGAAAGCATAGAATTTCGTCTAAATTTAATTATCGTACCTGAAAATTCAAATTACAGTACTCCAGGGCCTTAAAAAAAATTGATTTTTGGATTTTCTAGGCATTTTTTTATGATTTTACTACCATCGCTGACTATTTTTCGTATATTCTTTCTTTTTCTATCGTTCTAAGAAACGATGACCCATCCCCTTTTTCGCCAACTGACCGTGAATAGGATTATTGCGGACAGTGTTTTGTCGAGTTTTCCAATTTCCCAACCCCCACCACCCAATCCAAGGCCTGTTTTCGAGCCAGTCAAATTCTTTGCCCAATCCTATCCGGGAATTTTTGGGGGTTCAAAAAAGGGCAAAGAACTGATATACCGAGAACTGAGAGAGTGAGAGAGTGAGAGAGAGAGAGAGAAAATGAAAAAGTACAAGAACAGTTCGGCGAGATCTGTTTCTGCCCTTTTCGATCTCCCCAATGCCAATCATTTTGAGCCCGATACGCTCCGAATTGCAATATAGAATTTTCGCTATTGCATGAAGCACAGCTTCAGCTGATCCTGCATTTTGCTCTAGCTCTATCCCTCGCCCCTGGCTCTCTGTCCTGTCTCTCTCACTCTCTCTCGTTCTCTCTCACTCTCTCTCTCGTTCTCTCTCACTCTCTCTCCCTCTCGCTCTCGCTCTCACTCGGTTTTTCGATGTTTCTGGCCCGCCTTATCCTTTTCTCATGCTCAAACCTACGTTTTTGAGCTCCAGAATCGAAAAAAATAATTTTTCTATCAAATTCACGATTTTTTTAAAAATTACGGTATTTTTTGCAGGAGTTTAATAGTTTTTTGCATGTTTTAAATTTTCCTGGTTCTCTAAGCCACTAAAACTCTAGCCACACTTTTTTGGGCACGAAAATCGAAATTTGGATCTCGCGACGAGGGAACATCTTTCGGGGGGGGCAAGAAGCGTACAAATGGGTGAGCTGACCTGATTTTTGGCAAAGAAATGGCCGTCGCCGCGAGCGTGTGGAGGGAGCATGGCGAAGCCAAGCTGCAAACGAGATTTTTCCGTTTTACAAAAAAAAATAGTTAAAAATTAAAGTCATTGAGCTTCGAGCGAAAAATTCAAAAAGTCCGTCATATCGCTTCCAAGCTGACGTCAAAATTTTCACATTTTTTAGCGGTTTTTTAGCTGCTACACCCCCAAATTCGGGTGGACAATGGCCACGCGTGGAGTTGGCGCGTCAATCCGAGCCAAAAGCCGGCTTTATAAAGTGAATTTTGCAGCGTTTTGGATGTCACATAGTATCTGACTTGCTGTCACGGTCCCTTTAAAATGTCGTCGTTTATTTATGGACGAATTTACTAGCTGACGCCTTCCCTTTCAAGCGTTAAAATTTATTTTCAGGCTGTCACCATGCAATTAAAATACGGCGGGTCTTCTTGTGGGCATTTCCTGGTGTCACCCTCCCTTTAAAACGAATTTTTTCTCGGTTTTAGAGGGTTTTTAGGTGTCACCATCCCCTGAAAAGTGCCGAAAACCGATTGCTAGGGATGTCACGCTCGCTTTAAAATCATTCGGTTCCCCTAGAAGGCATTTTTCTGGTGTCACATTGACCTGAAAGTCAAAAATGTCGGTTTTAGACAAGATTTTAAGTGTCGCGCCCCCTTTAAAAGAGCCCAATAGGGTTTGCTAAGGAAAATGTCACGCTCCCTATTGAGGGATTTACTGGTGTCACCATCCCTTTAAAACTGCCGAAAACCGATTGCTAAGGATGGGACGCTCCCTTTAAAATCCGTTGGTACATTGGCTTTAAAGCGTCATATTCAGGGTTGGTCATTTTGAGTCTGGTCATTTTGGTCATTTTGGTCATTTTGGTCATGACTCATATTCAATTTTTTTTCGTGGCACCCTCCCTTTAAACCCCGAACCCAAGGCTATTTTGAGTTTTGCTCTCCCCCCTATTGAGCTCTCCTTTTCGTCCCGATCTGTCTATCCACCCGTCAATAGTTGTCCCTCGGAATTTTCTTGGTTCTTCTCTATTCATTTCACCCTTCCAATATTCCCAGACACTTCTTTTCATACCCTAAATACCCCTCATCTCAAACTACTTTTAAACCCCCTCTTAAAAATTCATAATTTCCATAAAAAGTAGAGGTCTCGGGGGTTGGGGTCACACTTCTCCTGTCTCGCCGCGGGGGCTATTTTTATGGCTTTTTGGGGTACGGTAAGGGGGTCAGCTTTTAGGGTTTCGGATCGGGTTGCGGTAGCTCGGCCATTTGAAGATTTTCTAAGGCCGGATTGTGATAAAATTAAAACAAAAGTTTTTGCCGGTGTTTTAGGTTAGACTACGGTAGGTGGGCCATTTTATAGGCTTTTCCCGCTAAATTTTCCTCGTAAGTTTGTGTTTTGATTTCGTTTGATGAATTAGTACGGTATTTAAGGGGTTTTTAGGTGTTCTAGTGAAAATCTTTGAAATTTTGTATTTATTAAAATTTTCTGAATTGTTACGGTATTCGGGTCAATTTTAAAGCTGTTGATCATTTTATAACTTGACTATCATTTTTAATTGTTTTAGCACTTTCTATGGAGATTTTCAGCTTTAAGACGCTCTAAAGGCAACGAGAAACTATAATGCCATTTTCTTTGCCTTATTTTCTCTTTACAAAAACAAAACAAGTACAAAAAGATGCGATTTTCCAGGGCTGTTCCCTTTCCCAATTGGCTTATATTTTCCGTGGAATATTGAAGGAAACGGGCGAAACGTGGAAAAAGGAATGGGCGGGCCGATTTCAGGCATTTAACATAGAAAAGAACAACAAAAAGACGATCTGGAGTAGAAACGATTTTGGTGGCATTTGTAGTCCAGCGGAAATGCATTGTTTTCAGAGTCTTCGGGTCGATTCCGCAAAGTTTCTCTGCAAGCTTGCCACAATTTTATTTACAGGACCTTAAATTTAGATTCAAAAAGCTGAATTATTAATTGAAAATTAAATAAATTAATTACTAACTTTTTAAAAATCCCAGGCAAGGCCATTTACGGTTTTTCTGCTATAAAATTCTAGGCTTTTTATCGCGTAATTGGTTATTGGTAATTCGAAAATTCATATCGATGCCTTGTCAGGTCCTTTAAAATTGGTTGGCAGGCTAGCAGAGAGCATTGGGAAATTCAGAATATTCTTGGAATTTTTCTTAGCTTCTAACTAATATTTCCGCGTTTTTTAGTCTTATTTTTGCATACTTTTGATCTCTCATAAAGACCGATTAACTATACGACATTTCACTGGGGGCTTATCACAAACATTTTTTGTGGGGCGGATGCTTTGCGGGGGGTGACGAACACTTTTTGAGGGTGTGGTTACGCTAAAATGACTGCTAATTGGTGCTGACCTTTTTTATCTAGGCGGCCCGCCCGTCCGGTGGCTTATCATATATATTTGAGGCAGGTAAACAATATATATAAGAAGCAGCTTGGCAGGGCATTACGTCGTCATATTTTGTCCTTATAATCCAACAGTTATTACGTTGTGCCGCCGTGAAATTCAGTTACGGTAGGAAAATCAGCTTTTTGTTTGGATCCATCGGAACAGAAAATCATTTTATAAGGGTTCCACATTTTCCAAAATTCCGCCCCGACTTTTGCATCAAGTCCATTTGACTCCTATTGACGCCCCACGAAATTAAAAGTTGTCCCCCGGAATCGTATTGTCAATTCGTAGCGCCGAGCGCAAAAAGCCATGAGCCTATACAGTGCCCTGCAAAAGGTTAAAATGCGCTCTTTCTAGCGCTCTCTCTCTCTCTCTCACTCTCGCTTTTTCACGTCTACTCACTGGTTTTTTGTCAAAGATGAGTCGCTTTGCTACCATGGACCCGCCTCGAATGCTATTAAAAATTGCGAAAATTGGGTGGATTCTAAAGCGTGCCATGCCTACAGTAACCGGTAACATACTCTGGATACCGTAGGACTTTACATGGTTTTTCTGATTGCTCAAATCCATCATTTTTCGCGTTTTCTAAATCGGGCCCTGCTACCGTAGGCCAAAAAGACCGTACAAATTTCTTAAAATTATCGCGTTCGGTTTTTATACTGTCTATAGCTATAAAAATATAAAGGCGCATTTTTCAGTCGTTCGGGCTACGATTTTTCGATTTTTTTTCCTAAAGGTGCTCTGGCTACCGTAAGCGCAAGCTAATATTAGCCAAAAAATAGTAGAATTTAAATTAACTGACGTTTTTCTTACTTGTTATAACTTTAGATTTTTATAATTTACTATTTTTCCGGTTTCCCGTTTTCTACATCATGTCCTCCTGGCTACACTATCCCTAAAAATCCTAATTTTTTAGATGGAAACCAAAGAGCATCTCCTGGATTCTCGGCTCGACCGGAAATTGTCGAAAAGAGGCGGAAAAGATGAAGAGAATGGAAGTGATAGTGGCAGTGGAACAGATGGAAGGAAGACATTCTGGGCGAATATTGCCGTCGCTGCTCTTATAAATCTTCTCTCAACTATTGAGAGTACTATTCTTCTATCTGCGATATGGCCATATTTAAGATTGGTACGTTTTGCAAGTTTTTAAGCCGTTTTAAAGGGCCCTTGAAGGCTGGAATCCATAGGAATTTATAAAAATTCTCACAAATTCCAAAAATTTTTTTGATTTTGTTGGCCTGATATCTGCAAAGTCGACAAATTTCGTAACTACCGTAAAAGGCAACAAAATTAAAATTGTTTATGACACTTTTAAAGAGCCACTGAAGGCTGAAATATGTAACAATTTTTAAAATTTCATAAAAGGCGCACAAAATGCAAGAATACTTCTTTTTTGACGCCTAAATTCATAAAATTCTTAATTTTTCAGTTGGACAAAGACGTCTCGTCGACATTTATGGGCCTCACAACTTCCTCCGGAAAGGCATTCCACGCCCTGTTTGCCATTCTATTCGGTGCTCTGGCAGTCAGGACGAAGAAGATCAAGTGGGTCAACCCGAAAATACGCGCAAAAACCCCTGTGCCTATCGTTTAACGCCAAATCCAAGCTGTCACACCCCCTTTAAGCCATAAAAAGTATCGGTTTTTAGCCTAAAAAGTGGGAAGGTAACCTTCAGACGTAAGTTTTATGATGTCGTAATCGATTCTTCGTATGGTAATTCATCGTGATTGGTCCTAAAAATTTTGTTTCATGTCGTAATCGATTGCTTTTCCAGGATCTACCTAATCCTCGGTCGAATCGTCACGATTATTGGCTGTTTCCTGTTTGCCGAAGCGGAAATGGTCTCGGAAAACGGGAAATACTGGATGTTCGCGTCGAATTTGATGTTTTCCATTGGGGATAGTGGGTTTTTCGCTTTGTTAAGGAGTTTCCAAGCCTTTAGAGTGCCTGTAAATGAATCGAATTTCGAAAAATCGCAGAAATGTCGTAAAAATTCGATTTTTTAGGTTCCCTAATGTTAATCCGTGGGTACGTCGCGACCGCAAGCCGTCCAGTCGATCGTGGATTGGCATTTGCTGCCATTGCATTGGCTAATGTATTGTCGATGATTATTGGAGGATGTAAGTTTTTGATCGATTTAAAAGTGCTGGCAAAGTAGCAGAGTTTTTCGAGGAACACAACTGGCCAAAGTAAACTGAGCACCCTAGCAGAAAACATTAAGGACCGAAAGACCCTTGAAAAATAACGAAAAACTCTAGAAATTCCAATTTTTTAGCTTCCCTGCTCGGCTTCTCGATGATCGGCCACCCATCCCTGCCAGGGGGTGGTGGAGCAGAGATTCTTGGTGTCCGTCTTCATATGTTCAATGCTCCAATTCTTCTCGTTGTCGTGCTCAATCTGGCTGTCATTTGTTTGGCACATTTCGGATTGACGGAACATCGCCCAAGGGAGGAGAAGAGCACTCAACAACACAATAATGGTAGGTGGAGGGAGAGAGGGAGAGACAGAGAGAGACAGTGAGAGAGACAGTGAGAGAGAGAGGGAGAGAGAGAGATGAATTTTTAAGGGACGGGGTAAAAATTTGCAATGCTAACCTGTCGCGCTCCCTATAAACCCCAGAATTTTCAGGAACCGAGCACGGCTGGCGTATCTGGCGTGAACTCCCAATTTTCTTGATTCTTCTCTGCTTCTTCGAGAAGATTGTTGCCTCTACTTCTTTGACTACAGCCATTTCGTGAGTGTCACCACCCCGTTAAACGATTACGACATTAATTTCAGGACGACACCATTGATGGGTACTGAAGTATTTGCATGGACCGAGGGGCAAGTCATGCAGGTAACGGGGTGGTTTCTAGCGTAATCGGATAAACATTAAAAACCTGAAAACTTGCATTTTTAAATGATCTCTGCTAGCCTGCCTAATAAGAAATTTTCCCGAATGATCTCTGTTAGCTTGCTATGTCCAAAATCAGCTTTTTTGGTTTTTTAAAGAATTTCGGTTCGTCATTAAATTTCGTAGTATGCTTTGAAAAAGTTTTTTGGCCCTCAATGGCCCTTTGAAAGTCAAAATTATTTTTTTTCAGAGAATGGCCGCAGCCAACGCGACAATCGGAATCCTTGCCCTGATTACCGTAGCCCTATTCATGCTGTTGAAAGTGGCCACGTGGATTCCGTCTCGATACATTTTCCTGGCCGCCATCATCAATTTCTTCTTCTTCTTCTTCATCGCCTATCCACATCGGCTGATCTCGGCGCCGATCAGGATCAGGGAATACAGTAAGTCCCCTCGAAATTATCAACGTAAATTGAAATTTTGGTTTTTACAAGATTAATTAAAATTAATTTTTGAAACAGCGAAACCATACATTTTTTTGCCTTCCATGCCCCTTTAAAATTACGGTATTTTCAGTGGACGACGTGGGCTGTAATTCGGATAGATATCCGTGGTGCAAGGATACCCTATCCCCATCCCCGATGCTCTATTTCATCATGCTGATCGGAACGTTTGGCATCTTCTTCCCGCTCGCAAATATCTCCCTGGATACCGTATACTCCGGCATTTTGGGGCAAATCGATCAGGTGGGTTAAAAATTAAAAAATGTATATTAATTTTAGCACATTTTAGTTATAATTAAACCAAAAACAATAAAACATAATTGCAAATTTTATTGCTCCAAAATCATTAAATTCATCTAAAATTTGCCAACATTAATTTTATTAAATTATTTTCAGAGTTTCTTCCAGACGGCCATCATTGCCGTGGATGATATCTTCCAGATTCTGTGCCCGACGATAATTATGTGAGTTTTAATTCAAATAAATTTGCATAAAAAGAAGTGTTTTACAGCTAAAATAACATTTTTAAATTAAAATTAAGTATGTACGCTAAATGGCGTACGAATTAATTTTTAATACATTTAATTATAAAAAATCAGCTTAGGAAAGTTTGATAGCCAAATTAAAATTTCACGCAATAGTTCTATTTTTAGGCACTCGTTCAAGTTGGCCGGTCACCCGGTGGTGTTCACGCTGTGGGCGGGGCTATGCGCCCTGGGTGTGGTGGCATGGGTCCTGAATGGAACGCGGCTGAGAGCGGCTACCGTAACCCAGGGAGACACGTTGGAGGCTGAGGCGACGCCAGAGAAAAACGGAAATTATCTCCCGGTAGAGAATAAGCCCCTTGTTAGCCCTTGAATAACGAAATTTATCAATTTTCCTAATTTTCAAGTTTTCAAAAATTATTAGCATTTTTTGAGATTTTATTACGGTAGTTATAGCTGTTTTTAAAATTTTCAAGAGACCGAGAAGTAAATTTTTATATTCAAGAAACTCTCGAGATTTTTTAAAGCTAAATTTTTAATAGTTTTTTGACTTGCATGTCTCTTTAAAAACAATTTTTCCTGGTTTTCTTGCCCTAATTAGCATAATATACGGTATTCGATTAGTTTAAAGGAACCTGGAAGTCTAATGTTGGTTCTAGAAAAAATTAGCATTTTTCAAAAACTGAAAAATAGAAGTCCTCGAATTTTTCTGACTTTCCGGTCCCTTTAAAAAGCTTTATTAGTATTTTACTCAAATTACCATAATCTACAGTATACCAAGAGCTTTTTTGAAGAGTATGGTAGCTAAAAATACCATTTTTAATGCTTAAAAATTGCCGTTTTCAGGTTCTTTTTCAGTTTCTGGGTTCAAAAACCAAATTTTCGCCTCGATTCCAGCAAAACACATTTGATTCGCCTCCCACACAAAATTATGCAATTTATGCAAATTATGAGAGCAAAACTCGGACGGTCTGACCCCCCCGAAAACGGCAATTTCCCCACGTTTTTATCGATTTTTCGCGTCCTATTTCTATTTCTACCGTAATTTCCAGCTTTTTGTATTTTTTTATGTTTTATCCCAAAGTGCGGTGGCTTTACAAAATTTTTACAAAAAACTAATTGTACATAATAACCCCAGATTTTCCCGTTTTTACCGTATTTTCGTATTTTTGCCCTGATTTGCCTATTGTCGGGTGTGCCGATATTCTATGAATTCTTGCCTTCAACGTCCCTTTAAAGCGAATTTCCGGTTTTGTGATTTTTACAGTATTTTTTTGGCCCAGTGATGATGAAATGTGTGCGTGTGATGATCTTGATCCCAGCATTTGAATGCCCAAAAAAGTCGAATAAAAAATGTTATAAATTTTTCTAGGATCTTTAAAAATACACTAAACAAATTAAAACAACAAAAAACAAGAAAATTTAGCAAAACATTTTAAAAATATGTTTAAAACCTGAAAAAGTGAATTTAGGGTTTTTATGTTTTCTGTGCAATCAAATAGGCCAAATTTAAACTACGTATTTTTTATTAAAGTTTATTAAAATTTATTTACACGAAAAAAACTAAATTTTCGATTTGAGCGACTCCTCAAAAACGAGCATCTGTTTTCGGTGTTTCCCATCCATCGAATTCGCCAGGGCAACCCTGAAAAGTACAGAAATTACGGTAGAAACAACAAAATTAAATAAAATCTAATTCCTATGTAGAAAATGGCGTTAATTCAAACGTAAAAAGTACTGACTCGTAATCACTCATTGCATGCGCATCCATTTGAGGTGCATTAAGTTGGCCGGTGACGGCTAGCTCCTAAATGATTCATAATTTAGTAGCTGAATTCGGCAAGGATCTCTGCTAGCTTGCTCATACTTAGACGTTCTAAAGGATCTCCTCTAGCTAGCCTGATTTTCTAACCACCCTCAAGCGGATATGCGCTTCCGAAATGGTTTCTGCTAGCCTACCATGCCTCCTACCTGTCGACAAAGATCTCTTCTATAGCTTGCCAAACCCCGGCGGCCGTCCTAAATGATCTCTGCTAGCTTTCCCAACTGGAGCGGATTCCCCAAGGACCTCTGCCAGCTTGCCAGGCCCGTTTCCTAAATGACCTCTGCTAGACGGCCTCGAGTGTTAGCTCCAAATTTCCCGAATACTGTCTGCTAGCCTGCCATACCTCGGTGCTATTCTCCAAGGATCTTTGCTAGCTTGCCATGCTCCTGAAATAATTTCTTAAATGGTCTCGGCTGGCATGCCGGCGCTTTTTATAACGCTGCTACGTTCAATTCAATTTTACTAATACATACTCAACTAGAAATACTCTCTGCTAGCTTGCCATACGTTGGCCTATTCCCAAAAAATCCCTGCTAGCTTGCCTGTAATTCCTTCAACATTCTTTGCACCAAATCCTGGTCCAATTCCAGCAATGACATTCCAACGGCAATTCCTGTAAACAGGAAAGATATGGAAAAATTGATATCAAATGAATGTCTGGCTTTTTAAAAATTTAGATAACATTTTGCCTTGCTAACTCCTTTAAAAACCACCGTACCCCTGACCCTGATGTCATTGAAGACTAATTGTGCTGTCGAGAATTCGTGTGCCTGTTTCGACATCCCGCCTGAAATATCAATCAGAAAAATCAATTTTTTGAGCTACCGTATGTGACGAGAGTCCCGCCACGACACAGCGCCCCGGCGATTCGAAGACTGCTCCTTCCGCCCACGCCATTTAGTGCTAGTTTGACGGGCTTCTAAAATAGGTCTTATAGTCTTTAAAGGGCCATTGAAGGCCGGAATCTATAGGACTTGGCAGCGTACCAAAAACACCGGTTTTGGCGATCTTAAAGGGCCGTTGGCAGGAATCCATAAGAATTTTTGGGTGATCGAAAACAGACATTTTCATACTAAAAACTGTGAGCTTTTGGCAGCGTTAAAAGATCATTGAAGGCACGAATCTATGAGAATTCGCTACCGTCAAAAATCTGCTGCTTTTTTAGAAAACTACGACTAGAAAACTATGGGTTTTAACGATTTTAAAAGACCTTTGAGGGCCAGAAACTATAGGATTAATCTTCGGGAAAATACGGTTTTTATAGAAAATGCAGCGTTTTGAGCATTTTAAAGGGCCAGTGCAGTCAACTCTACCTCAAGATTTGCCAAGAATTTCTTGCCATCCTTTCCGAATTCCTCTTCTGAAAAGATGTGTGTGGCACCCATCGATCGAAGTTCTTGCTGAAAAAAAAACAGAGTTTTGGTTTTAAAGGACCAATGAAGGCGAAATCAATTGTTTTTCATTAATTCCTTTCCACCCACCGCCCGTTTCCGATGTTCTGGATGGTCTCTGATGATGCAGATTGTGTTGAGTCCCCAAGCTAAATCGAATACTTTGGACAAAACGACGAAACGACCGTACCCCATGCCAATTGAATAACCGCCTGGCCAACCCCGGAATTCGCCGAATTTTGAATGATCCAGTCTCCCTTTTCCAGATCCACGTAAGTTTTTAGCATCAGCCACGCGGTACAGGGATTTACGATCAGGGTGGCGGCTGTTTTCTGAAAAATAAAGCCTTTAAAGTCACCGGGAAGGCACAAATTCATGCACTGGCTAGAAAATCGTGGCGAAAAATGTTACGGAGCCGACAAAATCGAAATTTCGGTATTTTTCGATTTTCAACGCTTTTCGTGTCAAGAATGATCATCAAAATGAAAAATATTCCAACACGGGCTAAATTCTCCAAAAAAATTGATCAGGAAATTTTGATCCGAAAATAAAAATCCGAATTTTCAGGATTTTTCAGAGCTTCTCGGGTCAAATTAGACGATTTAATGTTTTCTACAGTACGAAAGATACCTTAGGATCTCCAAAATTGATCCAGAATTTTAAAGTTTGTTGAAACATGCGTCAATTGCTGACCCTAGTCATTTTTGGGCTCAAAAACATGGTGGTTTCTCGCGTTTTTCTTATTATAAGCTCGAATTTCGTTATGGATTTTGCCTTCCAAGCTCCTTTAGAAACGTATAAAACGGGAAACCTAATGAAAACGTACCGGTTCAATGCGGCTATCAACTTTCACAAGTCCGTCGGCTTCAACAACCGAATAATCAGCCCAACAATCCGGCCGAGGCATCATCAAAGGCGCCACCAGGTCTCCGGTATTCAAGTTTGAGCTGGGACCAGCCTAAATTTAACTTAAAAATGTAAAGAAACTCTTTTTCAAAAGATTTGATAGTTTTAACATCACCCAGAGCAACTTTTAGCATCTAAATTTTTGTTTGAAAATTAAAAAAAATGTAATACAAAAATACTTACCCTAACAACCCTGCCAACCGCTTCCCCACCGGGAATTGCCGGTAATTCCCTTTTTATCGCATAGACGCCCTGGATAATGTTGATGTCTAATGGATTTATTGGGGCGCACAGCCAACGGATCAGCACCTAAAATAGATAAAATAACAAAAATACTGAAAAATTATGTGAAAAGGTGATTTTTCGATTTTTCGGCAAGGATCTGTCATAAAATGCATTTTTCCAAAGCTATTGGACCGTGAAAATCCATTTAAAATTCGTTTCCGACGCAAAAAAAAACACTAAAGCTTCTAAAATTCTGAACAAATTTTCGGGATTCTATACCAAAAATGCCAAAAATCGCGAATTTTTGCATTTTTAGGGGATTTTCAAACGTAAAATGTTCAATACTGTTCAAAATTATACCGAAACCAGCGCCCAAAACCCGCTTCGCGGGCCTTGGGCGCTGGAATCCGTCCTTTGCATGATAAATTTGAATTTCCGATAGCTTGGGTCCTTCGGTCCCCTACCTTCCTCCGACCACACCCGCGCGTGCAACTTGCAAGAATGAGGAAGTTTGTATTTTTTGGAATTATGCAAAGTAGCCCTCCCTGGCGCTGGACACACACACACACAAAGATACGCGACCAAATTATATAAGGTAGGACAATGAAAAATATTACAAAAATTATATACAAAATTTTTTGATCAACCCACCTGCCCATCCGCGAGCTTAAACTGCATCTTTTCCCTCTCGAGCTTCACTACTTTTCTCGGGTCTCCATTTTCATGGAAACGAAGGAGACGACGGTCCACGAATTCGTACACTTTTGACATGCTTCAAATTTCGAAAAAAGTAACGAATTTCAAGTAGGAATTGCCGAAACCAGCCGTCAATTTCTTTGGTTGGCAAATCCGGGGGCTATAATTGGTATTGGGTGATTGATAAGGAGTAAGGGGGTCACATCAGACTACAGCCTACACCACACACCAAATGACGATCGGCGGAACATCGGAAAATCTGTGGAAATTAGCAAAAAAGGCACTTTCAAGTGTGACGATTCTCCTGGAAAACTCTAGGCTTAAAATTCCAGGGGGAAAATTATATTTATCACTGAAAACGCAATTCGCACGGTTTTCAAAGGACTAGAAAATCAAAATTCCTGAAATAAAATTGGGTTAAAATCCAATTTAGCGCACAATTTAGAAAACGAAAAAATAGAAAATGACAATTACAGGAAAATTACAGAATTACGAATTCAAAATTCCATCCAAATTAAAATTAAATGAAATTCCCACTGTAAAATTACATTCAAATACAAATTAAGCCGCAGAATAAAATGTTACTAATCTAAAAATGACAATTTTACATTACAATGACAATTTAACGGAAATACGAAGGAAGAACGTCACTTTTTCGGAACTATAAATACCGAAACTATAAATATTTACTAGAAATTCCGTCAAAATACAGACTGCGCAAAAATCGCAATTACAGGCTACGTTCCAGGGATTAAAAAAAAACTTTAAAAAAATCAGCATTTGTTTTCAGAGCAAATTTTTTAGGATTTTTTCGCCTTTTCCCTTGATCCGGTGTCCGTTTCGAGGAACATTTCGTACTAATACCCCCCTCAGCCCTGCTTCCCCGTTGTTCCAAATGTGGCAACACTTTTGGTTGATGGTTCCTCCCACTTTTCTCTAGGGACCATGAAGCTGTGCTTATTCTGATTGTCCCTGTCCGTCTCTCTATCACTCTCTCTCTCTCTCTCTCTCTCTCTCTCTCTCTCTCTCTCTCTCTCTCTCTCTTGGTATAGAGAGATGATGGTGTGAATAATGGAAGACAACGGGTCCCCGAGGGGGGTAGAGGGCATGCCAAAAGGCCAGCTTCTGCCCCCTGTCATAACTCTACTCATCCGTGTAGTTGTCGCCCCCCCCATTTCATGCATGTCTTTCTTCTCTTCTCCTTTTTCTCCCTTCAAATACCCATCATTTTTGGAGTAGTAGTATTAGGGAGTAGTGTCGCGTACTACTCTTCCAAAAACTCGATCACTTGGAAAGTTTTTCTTGTAGTCTTTCACCCGCTATTCCCCAATCCAAGCAAATTTTATGCGAACTTATAGGTCAGAAAATCGCGTTAAATAGGCTTATCATTTGTAGTTTATACCCTTCTAACACTGCCTTTTTTGCATAACATTTGTGCTGCTCATTTTCCAACAAGTCCAAGCTAAATTCCCCCATGTTCAAGCCGCCAAGAAGACAAATAGCCTGGGCTCATGTCATAGCCAAGGATAGGGGAAGGCGATTCGCATATTAATCTGCCGTTCAGTGGAGTGTAGTGGAAGGGGGAGTGAGGGAGAGAGAGAGAAGTCCAAATTATGCTTCTCCCTGAAGTGGGGGTCGATCTTGAAATATGCCACCCCCTCTAGGGTGTCGTTGGCATATTTCTCATCAGGGAGAGAGAGAGAGAGCGAGAGAGAGAGAGGGAGAGAGAGAGCGAGAACAAGATAGGCCGAAATGGCATGCAATTTGCATCTAGGGGTCTTGAGTTCCACATTACACCAAATTACGGGGGTTTCAGAAGTTAGAAAAGTTCGTAAAAATCTTTTTTTAAGACCTGTTCTCTATAATTCGCTATTCGCTCTTTCTCTCTCGCTCTCTCTTTCTCTCTCCCTCTCCCTCTCTCTCTCTCTCTCTCTCTCTCTCTCTCTTTCTCTCTCTCTCTTACTCTCTCTCTCTCCCTCTCTCTCTCTCCCCTAATCCGCAACTCAAAAAACACGTGAAAACCGAGCATAAGAAAAGAATCCCGGCTCGATCGACCGTATCCTCCTTCTTTCTCTTTCCTTTTCTCTATTCTAATCCGAGTATTTGTGCAATTTTTGGGGATAATCCTCCCTTGTCATCAGTCACCCATTTTCCCCCGGCATTTTCTACCTAACCGCCCAGGAAGATGTCCTTATTTAAAAAGAAATATTAATATTAATAAGCGATCTATGAAATTATGAATACCTAGGCTCTTAATCACAGTACTATGTTGGAAGTTAAATAATGTTAAAAAATTTTAATCCGATTTTTTTAGAAACGCTAATTGTTGTATATTTCTTTTTAATAAAATTTCGTATAGTGAAGTATATTATCTATTATCTGCCCTTTATCTCTCTATTTTCTAAATCCGGCGTCTCCAGCTACCTCCAGCCGCAGGGCAAATATTTTTATCGCCAGCCGCCAGGAGGACGGATTTTCTCGGAATCGCGGGGTTTCTCTGATTTTGCGACTGTTCCTTTAGATTCCTATTGACAGCTTCAGAAATTAATATTTCCGTATTAAAACATGTACCGTAACCCTTCTACCGTCGGCGTGGAGGGTTTTTTGAAGTGTACGGTAATTCCATTTTTTACGCGTATTCAGGCGTTCCACCATAGTATCATTTTTGCTCAATTTCAAAATGGCTATTCACAAATTATTGTACTTCCTAAATCTTTCAGGTTATATTTTTTAGGCTAACGTAGTCGAGAGGGCCGTATTTCAAGGTGTATTTTGTACTTTCGCGTAGTTTTCTGCCTCTATGGTAAATTTTTGAGTGTTTTTCACGGGATTCTGTATCTTTGGCTATTTACTAAATTGTACTTTGTAGTTTCGGCACCAAAGCACCACCCATTTTTTTGTGCATCTCACCTTTTTGGCCTCAATTTTTCGGGGTGTGTGAAGGGGCGAATACATAATGCGGGGCCCTTTGACGGGCTGGAGAGGAGTTGAGGCGGAAAATTGAGTAAGTGGAGGAGAGGGAAAGCGAGAGGAGAGAGAGAGAGAACCCAAGAGAATAGGGTGAGATTTGATTTGGACGGGAGGTAGGGACCGGCGAGAGCGTCTTGAGAGTAGAGAGACACAGAGAAGGGGAGAAGCTTTTTTGATAGACTCGATTCCCCGTCGACACCTCTTGGAGACACAACGAGGCTATCTACGAGCACAATGGATGGCTTTTTGATCTGTTCTGTTTATAATCTTTCTACGGTCGAGCTAGCAGAGATTATTGAGGACTTTAGCGGGAGGCTAGCAGGCATTCTTTGGGAAATTGAACCAGACGCGGGAAATTTTATTGCATGGGCAGTTAGCAGAGATTTTTTAGGCAATCTGAGTCGGCTAGCTAGCATGGATTTTTTGAAAACCGAGATCGTGCTTGGAAAAATTTTTCTGGCCAAGCTAGCGGGGCGGATTCAGACGGCGGGCCGAGCTTCCTTCGGAAGCTTCTAGGATTTTCAGATCTCGAGCCGTTTTGAGCAGTGAACAAAGGTTCTTTGAGGGGAGAATAGTAGGCTAGCAGAGGTCTTTTAGGAATTTTTACCCTTACTCCCATTTAGAGACATGCTAGCAGAGGGGTTTGAAGCGTTTAAGAATTTTTCTGATGGTCGGCTGGCAGGGATCTTCGAAGAATTTTACTCGTATCTCATCTTCCTTTGAAGTACCCAATAAACCCGTCAACGCCTCGATAAAGAACATTTTCTAGAGATCCATTTTCTTGTGCATGAAGAACGCCAAATGGGCAACCAATGCCATATTTCCATCATTTTGTGCATTGGCTGGAAGGTCTACTTGTCAGCTGCCTCATTCCGAACTCGAGTTTTTGGGTTTCCCCTGCGTTTTTGCTTTTTTTAGCTCATTTAACGCAACCTAAAAACCAGCGAAAATTTTTTAAAGCCCCAACGCCCTGGAATATCGGCTTTTAGCAGAAGTCCAACTTTTTTTCCATAGTTTTCCATTATTTAACTTTACTGTTTTGAAGCAAAGTAAGACTAATTTAAAGGGCTAAGTAATGATTAATGAATCAAAAAACTAGACATTTTGGGTTTTCCGCTTTTTTCATGTGTAAAACCTTGGCGCTTTTGCATGATCGGGGGGAGGGGGCGAATTTTTTGCATTTAAAATTCGAAGTTTGGGTAAAAAGCGGCCATTTTTGGTCGTAAAATTGATATTTTTGTATTTTTACATAAAAATTGTGAGGTTTGGCGTTTAGGAATAGTAAAAAAGCAACTGGGAAACATTTCCGGCGATTGATTTTAGAAAACTCGGACTCTCTGAAAAAGTCGGTCCCCTCGATAATGCGGAAACCCAGAGGTTTTTTGATTTAAAAAATTCAATTCATCTAAATGATAATTTATTTAGCAAATCCCCGCTTAAATCCCAAATCCCGGGATTTTGAATAGTTTTCTGAAGTGGTGGTGTCCCTGTCCCAAGCGAAAACACCTCCAATAATCGGGGGGCCTATGGCAAGGTGTGAGAAGAAAGAGAAGAAAGAAAAGAGAGAATGGGAAGGAAAGCAGAAAACATGAATTCTACCCACATCACGGCGAAAAGAGGCCAAAGGGCCAAAGGGCCCCGTTTTTCTTGGCCCTGGCGGCCTGGCCCCCGGGGCCTCTTCACCTAAAAAACGAGGTCCCGCTTCAAGGGAGGGCCCCCAATTCATCCCCTTCACACCTCGAGACGTGATGTACCTTCAATCTTGTTGAGACACGTGTGTGTTCGCTCGTTCTTAAGTGTTTTTGGGGGTTTTCTAAGGGTTCTGAGCTTTACTAAAATTTCTAAAGCTATTCGAGCTTTTTCTGGAAATTTGAATTCTTTAATGAAAAAAACCAAGAAAGCTTCGATTTTAAAATTTAGATAATACGATTTTATTTTGCGCCCTCTTATCTTTTATTTTGCGTGGACTTTAGCATTTTCTAAGATCCCTAAATCTACTAAAGCTCTTGATCAAATTCAGAATTTTGAGGCGATGGAGCTCAAAAGTTTCTTTTTTTCTATTGTTCCGCGTTTTCTAAGTGATTTGTTGTGTTTTTAGAGTTTTCTAAGGCTTCTAGGCTTGTAAAAATGCCTAAATTTACGAAAACCTGTTCTGAAATTCATATTCTTTGGGAAGTGGAGCTAGAAAAGTCTGAATTCTGACATTTTTGAGCTTAAATCTGGAAAACTTAGCTCTCACCCGCTCAGGTAGAGAGCCTCTTTTTGTATGGTTGCTTGGTTTCCTTATTTTGGGTGATTTTTGAACCGAGAATGAATTTTTGGGGAAACGCTAAATTTTTAAGTCACTGCCTTTTGAAAATCGTGACGTGCGAAGACGGGACTTTTGAACACCAAAAGTCAGAATAACGGAATTTTTTCTCGTTCGCTGCCTCTCTCTCTCTCTCTCTCTCTCTCTCGCTCTCTCCCTCCCTCCCTCGCGCTCCTCTTTTCTCCAACTGTCCCAATCCGTTTAAAACACTCATCTCTTGAATTATGTACATCTCCTGTACTCCTCGATTTTTCTTAAAATCAAGTTAATTTCCTAAAAAACATCCACCAGCCGGCTTGATCTTATTGTTATCCCCCGAACTCGACCAATCCAATTTCCCCTTCTCTAGCCACGAAATTCCGGGATTACCCCCTCCCTTCTCACCCCCAAAAAAGATGGTGATTACCCCCCGCCACGCCAATCCAAATTTCTTGGCTTGGGGCTTCGTCTCATCCATTTCTTCTTTTTTTAATTTTTTTCAAAAATATTCTCCGAATTTTGAGGTGTCTAAGATCAAAACGTCAGTGTCTGAAGTTCGAAATTTAGCAAAAAGTTCCGCTACATTCTGGTTGATTCGCTTCCCATATCAATTATATTAGGGTTGTAATTTTTGGTTTTGCTGATTCAGATTTCCTGCTTTTTGAGGGCAACCAGCAGAGAACTTTTAGGAAATAGGGTAGGCCAGAGGGCAAGCTAACGGAGATCCTTTGGGAATTCGGGGCGTTTAGCGAGGAAAGATAGCAGCGTTCCTTTAGGGGTTTGTAAATTTGGTAGGCGAGCTTCTTTAGGAAGGAATAACGAGCAGAGAAGATTTGGGAATTTTCGGTTTCAACTCGAATGGCAGGCTAGCAGAAGGAGTTCACGAGTTTGTGGCTTAGCTAGCTATTCGTCATTTAAGTTTTTACTAGCATTTTGCTATCGTAGGCGGTTAAAATTGACGAAAAAACCATTGTTTTTGAGGTTTAAACGCACCGGAAAGCCGCTTCTCCATGGATTTGATAAATTTTCTGCATTGGACTTTGTTTTCTGAATCTACCGTAATTTTAAAGGACACTGAAACCTTAATTTTCAGCGGATTCTGCCGATTTTTAACGTTTGAACGCCGGTTTTTAGAGTTATCATCTTTCTTAGCATCTTTTATTGTTTTTTCGATTTATCATAATTTTAAAGGAACTGGCAATGACTTGCAGAAAGTTTTCTATAAGGTACAACTCAAAAAATTAGACAAAAAATCCGAAAAATGTTGATTTATACGATTTAGCCCTATTTTTAGCCTAATTTCCCGTCAGTATTGGCACGAATCCCCCAGAGGAAAAGGAGGCATTCAAAAACGACGCCTACCCCCATAAATCCCCACAATCCTCATCAATAAATTACGGGGATTCCACTGGCAGTTGGGTTCAAAATGGAAAGAGTGGAGGTGTGGAATAGAAAATACTACGAAAGGCTCCAAAATGCTAAATTAACGTTTTACGATTTTTGGATCATTTTCGGCATTTTGCATCGATATAAACAGCTATAAACGTTTTTGGTGTCTTTTCCTCGCGTAATCGATTATATCGAATTACCGGAACATCGGAAACTAGAATTTATATTTTTTTGTGGGAATTTCATTGCGTAATCTAATAAATACAGGGATCAACGCTCCAAAGTTGCTATTTCATCTTTGCTCAATGCTCTAGGGTTCATTAGCCGGAAAAACTAGAAGCCGGCCATTTTTTTGTAGCTGCTCCAGGTCTCCTTTTGCAAATGTTTCTCCATTTCCCCACTTTTTTGGTCGATCTGCTACTGGTGCTCCTTGTGGCGAGGTTTCTTTCAAGGGATCAGCCCTGCTCCCATTCTTTTCTCAGGTTGGTGTGTGCGCAACCAATGGAAATTCGAGCCCCACGTCTCTCTCTCCCTCTCTCTCTTTATGTCTCTCTCTCTCTCTCTCGCTCTCTCGCACTCCCAGTATAGCCTCCGGGCATATAAGTATGCCAGCTGAGACCTTCTGATCCTTCCTATTCTCCGGAAAAAACGTTAAAAACTCGAAAACTAGCGATTTTTCGTTTTTTTTTATAAAAACCATTATAATAGGTAAATAAACAGCTTTTATATACGTTGAAAAATATTTATGAAATTTAGGAAAAATGCTCTTTTTGCCCATAATCGATTACGCCATTTAATCCACCGTAAATTTTAACGGCTTGAAAACCGTTTATAATTGCAATAATCAATCTTTGCTTTGCCTATTTTCCTGTCGTAATCGATTTCCATTCACTTTTTTGCACATTTTTGCTTCGATCTTGGTCTGACCACTGATTCAGCGCGTTTCAGCCATTTTTCTGGCCCGTCGGCGACCTGATATTACACTTTTTGTGTTGGTCCCTGGTTATAGAGCGGATCAAAATTTATAAATACACTGAAAAATCCAGAGAAAATGACCAATTTCCGAGCAAATCCGTCCCAACGGCGCTGAATAGCCGATTTCCCAATTTCCTGCGCCCTATTCGATTTTTATGGCTTTGTTTTTACAAGGATTGATGCTATACGTTTCTCTAAATATGGTTCCAGCTTAAAAACAAATTTTTTAGACCTGAAAAACCTGTAGAAAGGCCAAAAACAGCTGCCGACCGACTTGCCCCTTCTGTGCCCCCGAAACGCGCCCCGCCTGGCCCACCCATGTGATGGGGGTATATAAGGAGGGTCCCTTCCCCATCCTCCGTTCATTCCTATGAACATATACTAAAATTGGAACAATACAGAGAAGATTAGCATGGCCCCTGCGCAAGGATGACACGCAAATTCGTGAAGCGTTCCAAATTTTTTGCCTTTTTTAGGATAATCTTTGGTGGGTTTTAATAATGATATATATTTTTTAAATGCCTATCTTCTTATATTACAATGCGATATGGGGATCTTACAGCCTGTATTTGATTTTTATACTCAAAACGTGCCTTTTTCATGTTTTTTAATGCAAAAGCATTTTTTGTCACTTTCCTCTCATGTAAAAAGGTTTAAAAAGTTCTTCTTACATCATATACGTCAAAAGTTCGTTAAATTCTTCTTATTAAGCGTGATTTCCCATCTCATGTTCACTCGTGCCCCAATGTCGCTACCCAACCTTTTTTTGCAACCCGCGCCCACACGCGGTGGAAGCTCATTCAAAAAAAAGCGGAAAGAAAAGGAAAATGCTTGAAACGAATGGGAATGGATGGAGGCTGGGTAGTTGGTTTGGGGCGCAAGCTTGAGCAAATATCGGCCGCGGGTTGAATAGTTTTTCTTACCTCTGGCCATCAGGAAAAGCTGTGGGCAGCAGTTGAGGGCTTGCCAAGGTGTTTTGGTTGCTGCTAATCTTTGATATCGTTTTGAAAGACGGAGAAAACGTGTAAAATTCTTTTTTAATAAATTTTCTATATTTGTAGGCGTCGAAATCTCTATTTATAAGGCCTTTTAAATGCTCAGATTAATGTTTTTAATAAAAACTTGATGTTTTAAGGCTTATCTCTTCGTTTTTCTTGCGTGAAAACGCTGTAAATTCTCGTCTTTTTACAGTTTTAGCGCAACCGAAACTTGTGAAATTAATTTTAACGCGTTTTATGGCTTTAAAATCGGGTTTTTTTGCGTGAAAGAAGAATTCATGTTTTTAACGTGCAGGCATAATTTTCATATTTTGCCACGTAAAATCTCGTACTTCTCATATCTTTTAACTTTTTAACGCTAATTATAACATTTTCCATTCCAGAAAAATGACTAGCAACTTGTGGCGAACATTTTGGACGACAATCGTTGTAATGGCCCAGATAGCTGAGGCGCTCGTCGATTGCACGCATGGATTTGTCGGCAGAATGCAGGTAAATCGACAAAAATCGCTCATAAAACTAAAACGAATTGTTTAAGCCGTGAACGCTCGTAAATAAGTGGTAAAACTAGTGTTTGCGAGCGTTATTAAAAATGAAACTGGTTATAAAAACGTGCAAAGATGAAAAATTGAGGAGATACGTCCAAAATTTCAGGCTTCACTGACCGAAGATTTCATCCACATCAACGATACGAGGATGTGCGCAGCAGATTGGTGCATACAAGTCATTATTCACGGAGCGTTTGATGACGGTTGGTTGAAAATTTCGCCATAAAAATTACAAGAAAGTTCTTAGCGGCAATTTATACTTATAGGGTATGTAAAACGCCAATATTTTGGATCTAAAATTCAAAAATAATGTAAAAGAAGTGCATTGTCCATCGCTTTAGTCCAAAATAGAGCATATACGCTAAAATCCCAATCCAATTTCAGACAACACCTTCCAACAAGGCATCTCATCGCGATGCGCGTATACCGGTGGTGATCGATCGGTAGTTTTATACCGATTTCTGCAGATCGAAACTTTTTCAGATTTGTCAACAATCGCAGAGCTGCCTGTCGATCAGTTTTTACGATGGAATGAGGGGAAATGTAGGTTATGATCTAAAAAAGAAAAACTAAAAGCTAAACTACGTTTTTCTTTATCAAAATACCACGTTAAGGCTCAGTTTCCAGTTTAAAATATTCATAAAACTCAGAAAAAATAGATGTTTAACTTAAAATTATGGCATTGACATTATAATGTTTGTAGTGCACTCGGGGTTGCAAAAAACAACAGCTGGTTTGGAAGCGGATCTTACGATTTTAAAAAGTTTGGAAATCCGATTACAGTGCGGGTTAAATTTTAGCAGTCTAATATCAGTGTCAATACGTTCTTAAAACTATGTGAGCCTTACGCAAAAGCAAGACGTTTGAAAATAAATTATAGGATTTAAAACGTTTATAAGCTAAATTTAGTTTTAAAAATTTATTTAATCACTCAATAAGGTAAATTTTGTAGTTTTCGTTCTGCTGTTGCCGCGAAGCAGAATGCAATCGACCGACGGTCCAATTGATAGACCAAATCTACGGTGGATCGACGAAAAAGAGAGTTCGCTCTAATGGCCACGATTCGACAAGGATATCGACAATTCTATATTTCACCCTCTCACTCCTTGCTCTCCGGCATTACGGATAAATTATATTATTTTTTTATGTGTTTTAAAGACTACAAAATTTGAAAGTTTTATTGAGCGATACATAAATTCGAAAAATGGCTAGCAATCCGCTGAAACATTTTGCAATTTTTGCCGTAATTCGTTGATTTGGTCCATGATCGTTAGCGTTTCGCTTTTACACCTGAAAATAAGGCTTAATAATTTTAATTTCATAAGTTGAGACAGATAATAGATATTTTAAGTGAAATTTATTAAGTTTTTAATTAAGTAAGTTGTAATAAACCCAAATTTTGTAAAAATTGGTTATTGAAAATGCTTCATAACTTTAACTAGTTCCAACCGATCTTATTTAAATTTTTACAGGCCGTGTGAATTGTTATAAACTACACGCACACCAAACTTCAGTCGATAATTTTTCATTTCACAAATTTATAGCCGAAATCATGTAAATTTTGTCTTTTTATAGTTTTTACGAGGTTTTCTATGGTTTTATGAGCCTGGCAAGCTAGCAAACACCATTTGTCATCCAAAAAATTCAAAAAACTGGCACGAAATTTGATATATTTTCCAGCGTTGTCTACCCTGGTAAGCTAACAAACGCAATCTGCCATCCAAAAATCGAGAAATTTCGACTCACTCTGTAGTCTGTGGGCAACATTTAGCCAGGGCCGCGCACTGCTTGTGCCATTGTTTTGTCTCAATCCGGCAGTCCGTTGCCCGCGATTTCCGAGAGTTGTTGACCGCCTTTTTCTTCGAGGCTGATCTGAAATAACAATAGAAAATATATAATTTTACTTACTACTTACTTACCTGCTTAAATACTTTAAATTATTAAGAAAAACAATAAAAAATGCTCAAAACGCGAAAATTCAATTCGTACCTCTTTTTCCGTTCCTTCACAGCCGTGGCGGGCCCATTGACGCCAGGGGCGAAGAAGAATTTTCTGGATAAAGACTCGCACCGGGCAGTCTAAAAAATGAATCAGGATAAAAAACGTCATAAATACCGTCTCTTCATCGAGATCCTTTTCCCCAGCTTCCGCTTCATCGATGTTTTTCTGAACGCAATCGCGCGCTACCTAAATGCCATTTTAGGGTTTGGGCGTGATCTTTTGGAGATAAGCTTTCTTTCTTTCTTTCTCTCTCTCTCACTCTCTCTCACTCTCTCTCTCTCGCCTTCTCTCTCTCTCTCTCTCTCTCTCTCTCACCTCTGCCCTCCTCATATGCAACCCATTCAATTCTAGTTTAATTTCCCATCGCCGTCTCGCGCAAGTTGTCGATTGTCGCAATCTGGAAGCTACCCATATTTCAGCCGTTACGGCAAATGATCTTTGCTAACCTGCCCGAATCGAAACTGACCCCTAAATGACCTTTGCTAGCTTGCCAAGGGCTTTAAATTGGTTCAGAAGATCCGTCTTTCGTCAATAATCTATGCTAGCTAGCCGCCGCCGGGCGAAAAAGGCCCTGATTGCACAAATGGACTCTGCTAGCCTGCCTAAATTTGCCTGGCTCTAAACAATTTTCCTAAAGGTTTTTGCCAGCTTGCCAACCTCAAATTCTCCTCCAATGCTGTGCAGTGTCTTTGTTTCGACTCGAGAATCTCCATACATTTTATGTAGTCCAGGCAGAAACCCTGAAAAATTAGCATAATTTTGGATATTTTGTTTTCTTTAAAATATTTATATTTTCTTTTAAATAATTTCCATTTTTTTTCATTTCATGAGAACTTACACTATCCGCTAAAATATACGCACATATCGAACTGAGGAACACGATGAGGGCCCGCATTTTATGCTGGAAAAACTCGCAATTTAATTTTTAAAGATCATTTTAAAGGCACAGTGAAGTGAAGAACGAAAATATATAGTATTTTAGAATAATTTAAAACGTTTAATAACTAAATTCGTAGGGACCAGAAATGAGGTACAAAAAAGCCAGGCGGGGAAAATGAGACACAAAATCCATCCAACGAATCGAGACTCACACACGGATCGAGCAGTCTATTTATCCAAAGGCAAATAATGAGAGAGGAGAGAGAGAGAGAGAGAGAGGGAGGGAGAGGGAGAGAGAGAGTCGGTGGGTAGATATTGACTAATTCTTGTGGTCAGACCGAGTTAATTTTAGGGCATTTCGTAACTTCTGCAGCCTCTCGAGTGCTATTTCCTCAAGGAACTCTGCTAGCCTACCCCCACCGCCTGGTTGTCAAGAATAAATGGCTGAACAGCGAGCGGAGATCATTTAGAACGCGTGAAAATCATAGCAAGTTTGGGATTTTCGGAACCCTAAAAAACCAGAAAGGTCCGAAGTCAATCGAAAGTCTGGCAAGCTAGCAGTGAGAATTTGGGAAATTGAGTAGCGAAAAACGATTGCCCTTAATCTAGTGTAGTCGATTTTTTCAGTAAGTTTTAGGGCAAAAAATGCGTTTTTTTCACCTCCGAACCAAGCTGGGTTTTTCCGGCCGCCCCCAAAAATTCAGCCATCCAGAAAATGGGCAAACCACCCGGGGGGCCAGTCGCCAAAATGCTTCCGATACCCCTTTTTTCCTCCAAAAAATAGCGAGTGATACACAGAGAGAGAGAGAGAGAGAGAGAGAGAGCATGGGCGAGAGAGAGAGAGAAAGCGACAGCTAGAACGCAACCAAAAAAATGGGTTCACCACCTTTTTGCCACCCTCAAAAACCCTACCCAACTTGAGAAATTGGCCGAATTTTGCCCGGGGAAGGGAAAGGAAAGCCTGGGAATGGCCGACAATTGGGCTTATTTTCCGGCGCCCGTAAATAGGACGTAAACGGAATAAACAAACCACGGCAATTGACAGGGTTGTAAATAAACCCACACAAAAAAGCGAGGGTATTATTTGGATAGAGGGCGGTGATTGAGGGAAGTGGGTGGGGTAATCGGCTGAGAAAAGGGTCAATAAATAGCCGGGATCAAAATACTGGAAAACAAAGGATCACTGCTAGATTGCCTTGGGCCGGGCTAGTTCGCCGGTTTTCCTAAATTTTCTCTGCTAGCTTGCTCGCTTTTTCCGAAATGCTAAATTCTCTAGAAATTTTTGCTAGCTCGCCCGAATCCGAGCCTCTGAAATTTTTTGGAAAACGGTCTCTGCGAGTTTGCTGAAACCCCGAAAAAATGCTAATTTCTCTAGGAATCTTTGCTAGCTCGCCAAAATCCAATTTTTCACGATTTCCCGTAAATGACCCCTGCTAGCATGTTGCATGAAATCAGCTATAGCCAGCCAGATTTCTTAAAGGGGCTCCGAAATCTGGTCCACGGCCCCCTGCTGTGATTCCTGGCAAATAGCCAGATGCCGCCGCAACGCGACCGCGCCGCCTAGTCTTTTGCCCCTGTTTGGACGCGAAAACGCTTGAATTAAAAAATTCTGACGCTATTTTTGGAAACTTCACCGAATTTTGATCATTCCAGACTTTTAAATTATGAAAATTGACCAGGGAATCGCCGAGATCGAGAGATTGGGTGTCTTACAAGGCATTACGACAGGTAATCGCCGCGCACTCAAAATGCCGTTTTCGCCCCAGAAAGAATCCGGATTTTCTCAAATATTTTACGTTTTTTCGCAATTAAATCACTTTTCTGGCACTTCTCGGCAGTGACCCTTGCGTTCTTTGACCAGTAGGTTCAATCCCCGCACGCACTAATTTTGACTTCTGAGCCCCTTTAAAGAATCTCTGCTAGCCTGCTCTTATCCAAAAACCACTAGCAGGACAAGCTAGCAGAGTTTATTTGAGATTCCAACGTCGTAGAGCCAAAATCCCAAAAAATTGTATAGAATAGATTTTTTTCCCAAAGAATCGATGCTAGCTCGCCCCGATTGAAGAATTTTTCTTTTATGCCTCCCAAGAATCACTGCAGCATGCCCTTTGTAAAGAGCAGCACAGGACAAACTAGCAGTGATTATCAGGTTGGAACGAAAGTTCTGTCGCCGAGATTTTGGAAAGCTGGCTAAATTCGTAGATACCTCCATTCTGGACATGCGATATGTCATTTTGTAGCTCTCGGCCTGAATCGTTTCGGGAAGAGGGTCCCTGACCGCGAAAACCAAGGAGAGCCGAGATACAGGCTCTAGAAGTTTTTCACAAAATCACGCAAAAGTGTTTTTGCAAGTTATTTCTGCATATAGCGATTTGCATGCGATACCTTTGACGCCAATCGATAGCTCTCGAGGAGTAGATATCGATAGATCTTGAGATCATCAAAATTGGACACTGGATGGCCGGATATGGCCTCTTGAAATTTGGCCCATTTCTTAGAACTTTTCCCGATTTCCCATACATTTTGCCAAAATTCACCCTGCGCGTCCAAAAATAAAGCGGCGATTTTCGGTCTCTGCTAGTCAAATGTATCGGAATGTATGGGAAATCGGGAAAAGTTCTAAGAAATGGGCCAAATTTCAAGAGGCCATATCCGGCCATCCAGTGTCCAATTTTGATGATCTCAAGATCTATCGATATCTACTCCTCGAGAGCTATCGATTGGCGTCAAAGGTATCGCATGCAAATCGCTATATGCAGAAATAACTTGCAAAAACACTTTTGCGTGATTTTGTGAAAAACTTCTAGAGCCTGTATCTCGGCTCTCCTTGGTTTTCGCGGTCAGGGGCCCTCTTCCCGAAACGATTCAGGCCGAGAGCTACAAAATGACATATCGCATGTCCAGAATGGAGGTATCTACGAATTTAGCCAGCTTTCCAAAATCTCGGCGACAGAACTTTCGTTCCAACCTGATATTTGGAAATTCCAAGGGCAAAAATGCTAAGAAATAGGGGAAATAGATTAATTCCGAAAAAATGCCTGCTAGCTGGCCAGAAATGTCGAAAATTCGTTTTTTCTGTCTCCCAAAGGGCCTCTGCTAGCCTGCCACGCTATTTCCATGAAAATAGCAGCCGTAAATAGGTGTACAACGGATAATTCGGGGGCGAGCCGCGCGGCCAGGTGGTTATGGAGCGGGTAAACGCGTGTCGGGAGCCCCGCGATCCACATCGGCGGGCAAACAATACACAGACACTGTATTTTATAGATGAGAGAGAGAGAGAGAGAGCGAGCGAGCAGAGAGAGAGAGGGAGAGAGAGAGAGAAAGACAGAACCAGTCCACTTGAATACCCCTAACAAACACATGTACCCCCGAATTTCGTGGCGGGACCCCGTTTTTGGGGTTTTTGGGAGAGCGGAATTGGCGTGTAATTTAGTTTTGTCCTAGTTCGAGCTAGGACCAGGCGGGATGATGACCTGGCTAATTGGGTCAACCTGAAGGAACAAGCCGCATTTTTTATCCAAAATTCAAAATCAGCCAGTGAAAATTATGTAAAAAAAACTTAAAATTGGCTGAAAAGACAAAAATACGTTACATGGCTATATTAAAGCTGGAAAAATACGGTAAATAACTGCAGAAATTCTTCAGCTGTTAAAAACCACTTCAATGGCATTAAAAACTTAAATATTAACAGTTAAAACGTTTTTAAACGATTCAAAATGCGTCAAAATTGAAGAAAATCGATAAACTGCTCTAGTTATTACAAAAAATATGGGAAAACTACTAAAAATCGCGGCGACAACAATGGCAGTTCTAAAAACTCGAATATTACGTCATTAAAAACCCGTTAAATAAGCTAAAATCATACAAAACTTTTTTAAACGATGTAGACGCTCCAGAAATCGATAAAGATAAATAAAAATCTGCGAAAACTACTAAAAAAAATATCATTAAGAGCGACGTTATACTAAAAACAATAACTTAGAGGCTAAATACAATCTAGAACATTTTTAAACGTTTCAAAATCGCAAAAGCCATGCTAAAAATCGTAAAATCACTGAAAGCTATAGCAAAACCCGCGCCATTTTATGCAAAAGATCGTTGCGCGTCTAGTGGTTGTGAAAGTCATTTCCGTATGTAAATGAGTATGAGGGGAACCGTTGTGTGTTGTGTTGGGTTGAGGAGGAGGACCCTTGGAAAACCCATTTCTGGAATAGAGAGGGGGAGAAGCCCGGAAACCCTAGGGGGACAGCAGCCTGAAACCTGGAAATTAGCTCGTTGTCGACGTCGTAAAATTCCCAAGGGGAAATTACGGGCAGCGTATTTGGGGTTGCAAAGGGCTATATAAAGCGAATAGATAAAAAATCTAGTAAAGTAAGCTTGTAGACGTTAAAAGCTGATGAAACTGGCGAGTTTTCAGGGGGAAATACATGCGGAAATTGAAGCGCGTGCCTTAGTTCGTAGGTTAACTAATTTCCGGTGACGAGAGAGAGAGAGAGAGAGAGAGAGAGAGAGAGAGGGAGGGAGAGAGAATCTACCCAAAAACCACAAATAAGGTACAAAAACGGCACTTGACGTGAAATCCGCAACGCAACATTCCAAACCACACCGCTTTACATCCGGAAAAACTGGAGCTTGAGCTCAGGCTCCCCAAGATGCCCCCCCAAACCCCAACAAAGGAAAAGCCGCCGCGGCCGGTTTGTGGGTGTTGTCGGCCCACCCCCAAGCCGAGAGAGTTCATTAGGACCCGAAGCGAGGCCCCCCGGTTTCCGCAATCCCATCCCCCCCGGCGGCTTCTACTCTCCACATCTCTAATTCTCTAGCTCTGTTGCCCAGCCTGAAAAAGAACAAACTCGATTCGACAAACTGGGCCCCGGCGTCGAAATCGCGTTGCCACACAGGCAAGCCCACCATTTTTTCGGGGGAAATTCGCCCCGGGAGCTCGGGTGTTTGCGCATAAAGTGTGGTCAAAATGTCAAAAATGTGTTTTTTCGGTTTTAAAACGAAATAGCGTATTTTTAAGAAACCAGGAACTTTCGCATTAACGGGGGTCGACTTTTCTAGGTGCCTTTTTTCTGACTAAAATAACGAAAGCGTTTCTAACCTGTTTTTACCACTTCTCAACTAAAAACGTTACACAATTTCATCACAAATCCAAAAAATTTTTTCCAGGACAAGGGCCGATTTTTGACCAAAACTGAAGCGATAATTTTTTTCTGAGTTTTTTTTATCGTTTACCACTTGAAATATAGCTAAATTTTACTAAAAACCTCTGACGTCCCCCGATAATTCCACAGTACCAAAAATCTATAACCGCAGATGTAATTCTTCCAAAAACCAAAAAATTGGACGGCGATGCCCCTAACAGGACAGCGGGAGACCGGGTATTTCCTAAAAATGCCATGGATAAAATGTCGCATATTATGCTGAGACCAGTTTCTAAAGAAATAGCTTATTAAAAATCGATATCCGCAGCTTTAAAGCCCTAGACAAAACGATAAAGCTCTAAAAATCGGGTGCTGATATCCCCAAAAAAATTGGCCGAGTTGCGGCACGTCAGCCTCATCACATGCATACGAAATTCTGGCACCCATTTTGCAAGAGAAAGCGCATTTTCAACTCAGAATAAAAGATCTCTGAGATAAAAGAACCCATAAAATAGCAAAAACATGAAGAAACGGCCTAATTTTAATGCTAAAGTTACGTTTTTTCGACGGATCGACTGCCAGAATAGCAAAATAGCCAAAAAAATATCGAAAAACCTAGATAACTTTCAAGAACTGAAAAACCCCAGACTCCTCGGTATTGACGCGTAGTATCGGCCCTAAAAAAGAGTGGCGCTGGGTGGTAGAAGTGTGTATGCGTGGGGGAGGAGAACGAACTCCCTGGGGAGCCACTTTTCGGTCCGTGATGACAGCCAAATTTATGCCGAATTCGGGGGGGGAAGGAGAGAGAATAGAGAGAGCAGGGATAGAAAGGAAATAGCCGCTCAAGGATGGGCACAATGGACCCTGGAAAAAAAGGAGAATAGGAAGAAGGGGACTGGATATTGGTGAGTGCTGCCCGGAAATGGGGCTAAAAACTGGTAAGTGAGGCTAAACTTCAAAATAAAAAGAATGCGAGCAACAGTCTAAAACATTGAATTTTTGAAAAGGCCAGCTTTGGCGCTCTGTTTCAGGACTTTACGGAACCGCGGGTAGCATTTTTCCTCGGTTCCCGCTGCGTCACAATCCCAAAGCCGTGTTCTTATTTTTTACGCCTCCGACTAGACCTTAAAAATTCAAAAAAAAGTAGAAAACTGGGGCCAAACGAAAAAAATTACAAAAATTTTGTTAATTTTTTTCGTATTTGTTCTTGTAATTTTGTAATTTTTGATTTTGTAATTTTTAAAAAGTAGAATGTTATCTCAAAAAGTACGAAACCGTCCTGACAAGCCGGCAATAGGAATGTACGTACTCACAAGGGAACCTCACGCGGACAGGGTGGAATTTCGAAAAACGCTCGCGGCTACCCCCAGGTAATCGGTCATTGCGATCACGATGCGCTTGTCAGATTTTTCTGAACACACCTGTGGACAGAGATACAGCACTTCCGGAAAATACTGATTTACATGCAAAAAATTAGCATAGCTGAATGGTTTATGAGGCTCTCCCATCACTATGGAATCACCAGTTGAATGGCCGAGTGGTAAGCGACTCGCTTGATAGGATTATGACCAGGGTACGGACCCGCTCACGGCTTTTTCGTTTTGCTTTTTGGCCAGCGATTTTTGGCAGAAGTCCAGAATCATATGTATTTAAGTGCTTACCACGTTTACAGGAGTTGTGCATCCGCCGAAGTCAAAAGGTTGTGCATTCAAAATTTTAGCTTTTTGGCAGAAATATGTGGGAACCACCAGCCGGAACATCCAATTTTCGTTTTTCGAATTCTTTATCTTTATGGCCAGTCATGAAATACAGCGCAAAGTTCGGTTTTTACTAATGGTAGTAACATTCTGGACTTGTGCAAAAATCGCTAGCCAAAAAGCAAAACGAAAAAGCGTGAGCGGGTCCGTACCCTGGTCATAATCCTATCAAGCGAGTCGCTTACCACTCGGCCATTCAACTGGTGATTCCATAGTGATGGGAGAGCCTCATAAACCATTCAGCTATGCTAATTTTTTGCATGTAAATCAGTATTTTCCGGAAGTGCTGTATCTCTGTCCACAGGTGTGTTCAGAAAAATCTGACAAGCGCATCGTGATCGCAATGACCGATTACCTGGGGGTAGCCGCGAGCGTTTTTCGAAATTCCACCCTGTCCGCGTGAGGTTCCCTTGTCAGTAATCTCGTTCGTCGCTTTTCCGATTTTTTTTTCGTAGAAGCGGCATAAAACATATGAATAATAAAAAACTGTAAACTAATAAACAACTTCCAAAATAATAAGAAATTTTGTATTTTTATAACATCGAGTCGCTGATTTTTAACTTTTCTTCGTGATGCCCTGCTCAAATACGCATAGATTTTTCGCCATATGGAAATCATCGATGACTTTTGCGACAAATAACGACTTGCTTCGATCGAAAGATCCATAAAAAATGGAAAGCAAAAAATTCCACCGTTCGTCAGCCATGACCCGTAAACGTTGATCAATTCCTCTATTTCTAAAATCTCCTCGGTATTAGTTATGAGCTATATACTATTTATTTATGCGTCTGCGTTTCTTGTACTATCTCTTTCCGTTTGCCTCAATTTCAACCCCTCTTTTCAGGTGACCGACGATGTTCACGGATCTCTTCAACTGCCCCTTCTGCAAGAAGCCCTACGATTTCCAGCTAGGAGAGCCCGGAACGCCCGCCTTTTATACAACCCATAACATATTCGGGTGCAGAAAATGCGTCCCAGCCTCCTTTCACCTGCGAGGATTGATGGAGTTTCTCGATCAGCCTGCATTCAAGAAGACCGAGAATGGATACGAATACAACGCTCCTTTCAACGATCCCATTTGCTATGGATGTCTTGGGACCGTCAAAGTCAAGGAGGGAATCAGCGCCGTTCCCGTCTGGTGCGGGCATTACTTATGTGAGGGCTGCATTGTCAAGCGGCGGGCTGGCACGGTCTTCACCTGCAACAAGTGCAACGTCAAGACTGACGCCACCGCTTCTCACTTCCCGGCGGACATCACACTAGCCACTTTCTCGCAGCAGGCTCAACAATTCGAGCTCCAGGCATTCAAGGCGCGGATCGACGAGATCGAGGCAAAGAAGGAGGTAGATCGAAAGAACGGAGCTCTGAAGGCGTGCGGAGACTGTTGCGCTGAAAAATCTGTTGATCGCCTTCTCAAATGTGACGACTGTACGACGACCATTTGCGGCGTCTGCTCCTTCGATTCTCATCGCGAACATTCCGTGGAAAAACTTCTCGGCACCGAGCTTGCCCAGCTCGAAAAGGAAAACAATAAGAAGTGCACGGATATCCTTGGAGGTCTGCATGGAAACCTGAAATATATCCATACTACCATTGATGACGCCGTGGGCAAGGTGATGAGTGCCGGAAAGGATCGTCTCTCCAAGGTCCCTAAATGCGGAAAGCACGAGGATGCTCAAAAAATCGTCACGAAGGTGGACAAGGCGACCGTGGAATTTGAGAAGCACTGTGAAGAATACATTCCCGTCGCTCGCAACTTGGCCACTCGACTGACCGAGCTCGGCGAGGAATTGGCCAAGGATGAGGAATAGATATTTAGATGAACTTTATTGCGATATTGATATGCTGCTTGTGATTTAAACTGTGCCATGCTGGATAAAATTTTATTGAGCTTCATATGAGTTTATTTCAGTAAACTGGTTATAATGCCACAATGAATTTTTCTTATTGCTTTGCGGTCAAGCATTGTTGATCGTGATTACAGGTACCCTATTTAGACGTTGATCATAACGGAAGCCGGTTTTTCATTTAAAGCTATCTAAAATGGGCTAATGAATACTTGCGAAACTTGGCTCTGTTGTAGGTTTTCTATTTCTGCGGCTTCAGCAATTGAAAATTTCGGCAAAACCTCGGGCTTCTTGTCCATGGCGCGTTCTAGGTTTCCGATATCTTTCGCCCTGACTTTTATTCTCCCCCTCGAGTTTTAGCGCATTCATGAGTTTTTGGCGAGCTATTCTATTTCCCTTTCCTTTGATTTCATTTCGATGCAATGAGCTCTATATTTCAGGCGGTTGACGATGCTGACGCAACACTTCAACTGCCCGAATTGCAAGCTTCCCTTCGACTGCGAGACGAACGGAGCGAGAAGGCCAGTCTACTATCCGAGTGTCCCGCCCTCTTGCTTGTGCCGGATGTGCTACGAAGGAAATACGGTGCGGCTTGGATTGATGGAGTTTCTTGCCCAGCCCGCGTTCAAGAAGGTCAACAATGGATACGAATACAGCGCTCCTATCAATGAGCCAATATGCTTCGGATGCCAAGGGAACATCAAGATTTTCCAGGGATGCTCCGCTGTTGTGGGTGCATGCGGGCATTATCTGTGTCAGGATTGCGATGTGAAGCGCAAGGCTAATACCGTCTTCATTTGTGCAAAATGCAAAACTCAGAGTTACGCATCGACTCAATGCTTTGCCGACAATTTGCTGGCCCCGTTCGCAGCCAAATTCAACATGGACCAAATCCAAGGCTTGACCCAGCGATTCAGCACGATGGAGAAAGAGTTTGCTGACTCCAAGGCACGGCACGCTGCGATTGAGGCAAAGAAGGAGGCAAAAAAGGCGGAAGATCGGAAGAACGGAGCCCTGCAGGAATGCGGAGATTGTGGAATCGAGCAACCCGTCGAACGTCTCTTGAAATGTCAAGATTGTAAGATGGTTCTCTGCGGGATCTGCTCGTTCGCTTCTCATCGCGAACATTCCGTGGAGAAGCTTCTCGGCATCGCACTCGTCGCAATGGAGATGCAGAACGGAAAGAAGTACAGGGAAACATTGAAGGGACTTCATGGAAATCTAAGATACATCCAATCGACGATCGACGAGGCCGTGGAGAAGGTGCTGATCGCTGGAAATGATTGCCTGGCCGACGTCTCCAAGTCTACTAAATATGACGAGGCGGTTGACATCGTTGCGAAGGTGGACACGGCGGCCGTCAAGTTCGAGCAGCACTGTGAAGTCTATATTCCGGTTGCCCGTCAATTGGCTACGCGATTGACGGAGCTCAGCGAGGAAATCGCGCAGAAAAAGGAATAGACTACTATTTATGCAAGCGAATTTTTATTTTGGTGCACCATTACCGCGATGCATGTGAATTCCGCGGCTTTTTTTTGCTGAATAAAGTGTATGCAGCCTCAAAACGACTTCAGTTTTTGCAATTTGGCTTGATGCCATGTGGATTTTTGGTCGACTGAAACGCGGAGATTAAAGAAATCTATATTTTTAGGTTAGGTCTAGATTTTTTTGATGAATTGGCGCGCTCGGGTCATATTAGTCATATTTTTTTACAGTTCAGGAAATTCTGTCGTATCCAAGTAGCGTTTCGCAGTTTCGCTAATCCTTTTTTCACGCGCGCTTCATTATTTTGGGTTGCATGGGGGTCGCCATGGCCAATCGTGGGCGGGACTGGGGGCTAAACGACGCGCCTCGCTTCGCTTATGCGATGTAAAAAATGGGTGAAGCTTTGAGATAGATGGCGTAATCGAATCGGCGTTCGTTGTTTTCCATTCTTTCAAGTTATTCTGGAGGTTTCTTGTCGAATCAAGCCAATTTTTTTTTGTTTAGAAGATGGATAGCCACGGGTTCATATCGAGGAGACAGCCGCCGCCACCACAAGTGTGTTTTTATTTATTAGAAGCGTCTTTTTGGGCTTTCTTTATTTATATATGTGTTTTTTAGATCCCTGCACACGAGAAGCGGAAATGGGCCGTGCTGAAGATGGGCCACGTGACGCCACTCCTTCGCGATAGTGACCAATTAATGTAATTTTCCTTATTTGAGGCCGAAACTTGCGTAAATTCAGGATCTTCGTCCGGAAACTCCATCAACTTCTCCAAGAGCAACAAATGAGCCTGGAGGACACGTTAGCGTGGACCCTCTTCGATCCGCCCGATCTGCGCGTCGTCAAGCGGCAAATAGAGGAGATGATCGGCGACGCGAGGGCCCTCAACCAATCCAAATTGCCCATTCTCGTCTACATTGATGATAGCTGTTCGTTTTTTTAAACTAGCTATTTTAACGCGCTAATCTTACTGTTTTCAGTGGCTTCCGTGATCTACGAAGACATTGAAGGCGAGTTCAGCGAGTTCCTCTACATTGTCCGCCTCGAGCCCGAAGAGGTCCGCCATCCCATAGCAACCAGCGATTACGCGGAGATCAAGTACAAAATTTTGGGACTTGCTCAATTTTTTCTTTCAGGAATATCTGCGTCGAGTTTCGGGCCTGTATTGCGCCACTCGAAGTGAATCGGCCGGCCGCCGCCGCGCCGCCGTTGAGGTGATAAACGAGAATTCTTTGGAAAAAATGGCTTAGAAATCTTCCTCCCGTCGTGCAACCCGCCCCTCCGCCTCCCCAACGAGTCGCCGAAGCGCCAAGGTATCGTTAAAATTTTTAGTTTTAAGTTAAATTAAAACGAATTTTTGCTCTCACCGAAAAGGTAACAGGGGAAACGGCTTAGTTTTTCGGTGAGACAAAAATTCGGTTAGGTGTAATTCGGTGAAATGGCATCCGGCCAGGCCAAACCATGTTTTAGAAATTACACTCCCGTTGTTCAACCCGCCCCGCCGCCTTCCCAGCGAGTTGTCGAAGCGCCAAGGTATCGTTTTGAAAGGCTAATACGAGCTTAGCACCAAAAAAAACGTTCTTTGTCAATGTAAACCGGAGCAATTTTACATTTTTAGAAATTTGCCGGCTCGACCTCTCGGTCCCCCGCCAGGCATCCGGATGGCTCCACCAATGGAAAGGTGAGAGCCAGAATAATTTCCTTATGATGGGATTTTTAGAACTATTCCTCAACCCATGCGTCCCACTCCTCTACCATCGGCTCCCCGACCTGACCCATACGCCAGGCCGATGATGCCAAGGTTGGATTTCCCTTTTTAAATCCCATTTTCCTGTTTCCAGCTCGTCCGCCTACGCCCCGGAAACGCGCAACATTCTTGGAGAGGCCATCAGCCGAATCACATTGCCAAAGCCCGAACCCCCACGCCCGCAACATCGCCCATATTCACCTCCCAGGAGAGCCGCCGGTAATTTTTCCGTGATTTTTTAGTTTCGTTTTTTTTTTAGACCGTGACGATACCGGCCCGCAACTGGTGGATACGCCCCCGAATGAGGAAGAGCCAATACCGTACCCCAGCAGAAGCCGCCCACACCAGCCGCCACCTCCCAGAAATCTCCCCAAATATGAATATGGCTTTGATGACGCGCCGAGGCCGCACAATAACGGTAGGAATTGCGACTTGACGTTGGAGCTGGAAATTCCAGGGTACTATCGCCAAGAAGCGGAACCGATGCGCTATCCGTCGAATGGCCACAGACTCGTCGACAGCCCGCCTCGGCCGAGCCATGTTCCACAGAACAATTATCAGCCTTCCACGAATGGTAAACCTTTGAAATGAGTATTTGATGGGAACCAGGAGGCGTTTTGTGGTGCGCACAGAGTTTCGAAACCGAAGGAAGGCTATCTTGTGCAGATTTTTTTGCGGATTAAAACGTACTCTGTAGAATCTGCGAAACGGCTACAATGAAAAAACCGAAAGCTTTAGAAAGTTTAAGACTTTGGAGCTCTATCAAAATCGGAAAAGACGTGGTTGGCTGTGTAAAATCACTTCTTAGTTCTGCGGATTTTTCAGGGGTCCAAAATAGCCCACCCATTTTTGGGGTTTTTCGCACTTGGCCTCACAACTATTTTATTTTAGCGGTTTTGCAGATTCTACAAAGTCCGTTTTAATAGGCAAAAGATTCTGCACAAGCTAGGGTTGGTCCGGTCTCGAAACTCCGTTCCCGCCAAAAAACGTCTTGTAAGGTGTTTTAATCTTTTTTTTTCCTCATTACTGATTCCAGTTTTAGACGCAAAAGTGAACCCAGTGCTTATTCAAACGAATGACGACAGCAGCGAGTCGGCTTATGGTAATAATTTCCTTCTTTACAATTCATGAGCGCATTTGTTTTCAGCCACTCCACCATCAATGCCCCCTCCCGGATTGTCGATTGAAGCCGAGCCCAGCTATCCCCCAATTCCCGTGGATGATGTTGAGGCGGCGCTCGACAACTTTAAAACTGGCGACCTGGATGCGGAATATTTTGTGAGGATTTTTAGCTTCTCTGTGAAACCCCCGTCCCCATTTCAGGTGGACGAGCTGTACCAGCACATCGGCGTCTACAACCGACTCCACGAACCGTTCGACAACCTGCGCGACAACATCCTATTCATCAAGCTCATCCGGTTGTCCTGCCAAAAAGCCGCTGTTGACGTGCGAAAAGAGGGCACCGCCATCCTGGAAGCGGCCGTCGGCTCGGGATTCGTCGAATCGGTGCTCGTCGCCCATTTCGAGCCCGTCGTCGAGAGTGGCGAGCTTCAGGTATGCATCGGCTTGCTTTTATTTTCAATTTTGAAAATAGCCCCCGAATCATGCAACGTGCCTGGAGGTGCTGCTCGACTTCTTCGACACGCTCTCCGATTACGAGATCGACAACGAGACATGGGTTCGATTTTTCAGCTTTCTGCGAATTTTCGTGATTCCAGCACGAACTCTTCACTCGGCTCCACCAATTCTCCTGCGAAATCTCCACGGAGGTGAAGCGCTGCATGCGCGTCGACCCGGATGTAGTTTTCGCCAGAATCTATGTGGGTTTAGCGTTTTTATAAGAAAAACGAGTAGATTTTTTCAATAATACCGATATGTTTTGTAACCTAATATCAAGTATTTTATGAGCCTCTTTTGGCAAGATTTAGCTATATTTCAGTGGAAAACTATTTTCAAACAAACGAATATTTAAAAATGTGCAATTCTGGTCAGGAATCCTTATTTTTGGCCATTTTTTGGCCGAAATCTTTGTAAGACTGAGTTTTGTAATAGCAACAAAAAACCGCTTCTAAATTCGATAAAAATTGGCAGAAGGCAGCTTGTTTCCCCGAAACACACTAGAAACCAAAATTCTGATTTAGGAACGTTCCTACCGCGACTTCGAGGGCGACCAGGGCCACCATTTCCTACTCGACGGCCATTTCCGTCAGTTTTAAATTGTTTTGTTTCTATCTTGTTATGTTTGTAATAATAAAGTGTTTATTTCTATTTTCTCTGTGTTTTTCTAGTCCTAAAATCCTGGCTTTAGGTTCTGGGCCGAGCCGTTCGCTGCGAAGCGGCTTCGTCCTGCCGACGTGCAAGGAGGGCCCGCCGCCTACTCTGGACGCGGTAAGTATTAGAAATGTCAACAAAACTCTTCCGCTTCCAGGATCCGAATTCGAATACGGCTGCCCTCTACCTGGAGTGTGAGCGCACCGAGCCGCCCAACGATTTCCGGACGTTGGCCAGTGAGATTGCCATCGAAGATGTCCAAAATCCTGGTAAGAAGATAAATTGTAGCGCAAAACGAACGTTTTTCAGTGAAACCGTACGTTCGGCGGATGAAGGTGAAGCAGCCGTTCGCCGACTCCGAAGAATATCTGGATACGGTGTTCCGGCTGTTGCGCGAGGATCTCGTGTCGGCGCTCCGGGATGGCATAGCTATCTGGAAAGGGCATAGTGGGTTCAGAAATAAGAAAATTTCAAAAAAAAACGTTTTTATTTTTCGCGGCGTCAATTTTTCTTTTTGCCTACTCGGGAATTGGTTTTGGAAAAGGTTTTTAAAATGAGTAAAAAGAATCTTGTGTAAATGAACTGAAACAGAGGAAACCAGCAAAAGAAGGCTTTTTACACAAAAATAAAATAAAGTAACGAAGAATAAATTAGCCCGATTTTTTAGATTATCAAATGGGCAAAGACGCGCACGGGCTGACTGCGGATCTTTTCTTGGTGCAGGATGTTCGGGTGAGGGGCGTACAGGTGAAGAGCGGCGTCGGTGTCCCGATGCGAATGTTGGAGATCCCGGTAATAGACCTTTTTAGCGCGTTAAGCCATGTGTTTTAGCAAACGCTGGTCCAGCAAGTAATCGACAGCCGTCGTCTCTCCTTCGGCCAGATGGTGGCGCTGTCAATGGACGGCTTCCAGGAGGACTGTCTTCTCGGTGTTATTGTTGAACGGGACGACGATTTATTGGTGTGTTTGAAAAGTGGTTATCGGGAATTAGCAAAAAAATTGATTCTGAGGTTTCGAGGTATAGAAACGTTATTGGAAAATTTTAAAATAGGAAAAAATCGTTATTTTTTTGCAAAATGGTAAGAGTTACGGGAAATTTCTCAGGACAAACTTTATAAACTTCTAATTTACAATTTTTCAAACTTGTATTTGTCGGAAAATGCTAAAAACGCGGTGAAAATACACTGATCTTTGTTGCTGGGCGTTTAAAATTAGTTACAAATTTATTTTGGCCCGAAATGATTTTTGAAAAGCGGGTGTCTCGCTTTCAAAAAATTTTAACGACAGAAAAGTCGAATAAAATTTGATAAGGCCCTATTTTAGATTGCGCGGCGATGCATCGGTGTGGCGCTGGTGGCTGAACGTGACGGTGGTGTGGGCAGCGTGCGCGTCAAAATGGACACGGCCTATCATATGGTGGAGAGCAGCGCCTTCCTCGAGATGTACTCCCCAGTGTTGGCCACGATTAAGGTATCATTTTGCAGTCAATCACGGAAATACCCCATTTTTCAGGGCCTCAACCGATTCCTGCCTATCCCATTCGAGCGCTATATTGTCCACGGAAAGACGAACGTGCTGCCCCCGTATTATATGCGCTCAACCACCCCATCCGAAGTTACGGAGGAAATCGCGAAATTGGAGGTGAAAATTTCGATGTTTTGTTTCTATTTTTTAGATGACCTACATGCGGAAGCGGCTGCAGAAAAAGGCTGAATATCTGAAGTGGCACCAAGATCTGGCGGCAGAACGGGACGCCCAGGCGGCGACGGAAGCACCATCACCGCCTGAAGACGGATTTCAGGATAAGAAGACGAAAAAGAAGCAGAAGAAGAAGGTTCGTTTTTTTTTTGCTATCTGTAATATTGGCGGAAATATAGGAGGTGTTTTTATATAGTTTTTACTATTTAGGACGGAATTTGAACCAGAAAAAACTGTTAGAAAAGCTAGAAAAAGCTGTTGAAAGAACCATTTGTCGTTTTCAGACACCTTCTCCAGCGCCGGAAGACGAAGAAGCCGGTCAGGGGTACAAGGGCGACAGCCCGGAGATGGCCCAGCTGATTCGCGAAATCACCGACGCTGAGAATTACGCCCCGCGACCTCTTGGCGCCACCTCCGAAGCGCAGAGGGGCAAGATCAAGCTCCACGGCCGAGAATATGAGATGTCCGAGGTTGAGCGGCTGTTTGATCGTGGGTTTTTTTTTGCTTTCCCTTGGTTTTAAAAGTTTACCGCTGATCAAATTAATCCTTTTTCAGCCGGCAACGAGATCATGGATCATTCGCAGAAAGAATCACTCCTGAAAGCCCTCCGCAACGAGTTCGCGCTGATACAAGGCCCACCCGGCACCGGAAAAACGTTCCTCGGCGTGGAGGTGGTGGCGGCGATGCTGGAGAATCGACAGCGATGGTGTATCATAGAGCCGATCCTCATCGTCTGCTACACGAATCAAGCCCTCGACCAATTCCTTGAGAAGATCCACGATCGCATTATGGTCCGTTCTGCGCGTTCTGCTTTATTTTTTGTTTAGAAGGAGATTGCGCAAAATCGGATCAAACACGATCTGCCAACGGTCGTTCGGTTGGGATCTCGGTGCGATAGTGTCTACATCAAGGAGTACGTGCTTTGAGAGCTTTTGCATTATCGGGGGGCCCAAGTTTTCTCCCCAATAATGTAATCGTAAATCCCAATAATGTAAAGGTGTTTTTAGTAAAATTTTAGTATATTTCGAGCTGAAAAATTGTTTTTAAAGTTTAAATAATTTTAAAGTATGAATAACTGGCCATTTTTTCGAAAAGTCATGATTTTTTTTGTTCATTGTAATCAAAATTTCTTAATTTTTTTACGTCTTGGTACAGTAACAAGCAATTTAAAAACACTGCTGTAAACCCCGGCTTTTTACCGTCACCTTTCCGCTACCATAACCGAAATTGCAGATCCCACAAGCTGACGAAACGCGACGTCTGCGAGGCGTTCCGGGACCATGTCCCGCCCACCAAGATCAACAGGGGCTCGATTTACTACGACTTTCAACTGGCCGAACGGACACTCGGAAGCGCCGTCGCCATCCTCAGATTCGGCAAGACGAAGCTGATTGGCGGAAAGCATACTCGCTCGGTATGAAGATGGTTCCATTCACATTCAGCTCATTTTCTAGGTGATGTCCCTGCTGCATTGCACTCAATTCGACCGCGAATACGGTCTCTATCTTGACTCGAAAAATCGGCCAATGTCGATCGATGAGAAGCTGGTGGCGTGGCTGCTGAATCGACAATTCGCCAGGGATCCGCTGAAGCTGCCCGGAAGTGGCTCGAATTCGGAGGAGGAGGGCGAGAGCGTTGCGCAAGCAGGACGCAAGAAAAAGAAGAATAATGGGACTGAAGAGAAGCTGGCTGATGCGCTACAGCAGTTGGACATTGAGAAAGAGGTAGAGCTCGAAGAAGGCGTTTTTAAAAAAGTATTAAAACGCTCTTAATTGGGCTTTAAAAAGTGTTTCTTTGTTTGTCTGCGTGCTTTTCGACGCTTCAAATTTTATTTTAATTTGTTATTTATTTTAAAACATGTTTTTAATTATTAAATTACCATTTAAATCAAAATTCATTAAATTGTGAAATTAATAGCTGTGTTTTTAGGGAAAAGAAGAGGACGCCGTGAAGCAACTGGCCCTCGAAGGAGAAGAAACGTATGAAGTGCTCGAGGATTGGTATATGGGCCGCGACCCGGTGGCTGAAGCTGACAGTCACCTCAAATCGGTAGATTCCTCTGAATTTTCGATTGCCAATATCTTTTAGGTGCTGCTCTTCGGAAGGCCGAACGAGGGCAAAAGCGGCCAGTTGCAAGGCGCACGCTCGAAATCGCTGCTGAAAAACACGCAGGTAGTTATTGAGCTTCGAAAATTGAAAATATTTGACGAAATTAGTGTTTTATAAATTAAAAAACATTGTGTTTTCTAAAATAAAAATTGCTACTTTTAGGATCCGGTTGTGATAGCGGCGATGGAAGAAGTAGAGGAGCTCGTGCTCGGGGTGGAACCTTTGAAGGCGGAAGAAGCCGATGCCATTATGGTAAATTTGCCTGTTTTTCATTTGTGATAAATTATAATTTTAACATTTTGAATTTTTTCAGAACATTGTTACCCTGCCGAAGAAGCGCCGTTGGCAACTGTACGCCTACTGGCGCCACAAGCTCGTCGAGGAGACCAGGGCCCAGATGCCGAGGCTGATGGCCACCTACCGCGCCGCGTGCAACGCCAAAAAGGAGTTGATGATCAAGGAGGACGCCAATATTCTCAAGCACTCATTGGTGAGCTTTTCGCCTTGCTTTTTTGAATTTTTTTGAGTTGTAGATTATTGGGGCGACGACTACGGGTGCGGCGAAGAATCGGGATCTGTTGACCCGGTTGAACTGTCGACAGCTTGTCGTTGAAGAGGCGGCCGAAGTTCTTGAAGCCCACGTCCTCACCTCATTTCTGCCTTCCCTTGAGCATGTCGTGCTCATTGGTGATCATCAACAGCTGAAGCCCAGCTCGTGTGAGTCGGCTTTTAATGCAGTGGATTTTTCCGTTTTTTTTTTGCAAAATAGAAATCTGAAAAAAAAGAAATAGAAAAAATCGCGGCTTGAAAAAATTTCTTTCGATCTAATTTTGCTATTAGGAATAGGATAACGCTTTTCTACACTGTTTTTGCTATTTTAAAAGTTTTATTAGAAAAACTACATAGATTTTATGCCCAAAATCCGGTTTTTTATGAAAATTTCAACCTTTTTTACGTTTATCCTTTTTCTTTGAATTTTTTGTGAATTTTTGAAATCTAGACAACTTGATTTCATTTTTGCATTTGGAGTTTAGCTGAACTAGAGGAAATTCCTAGTTTTTTTTGATGCATAAATACTTCTAGCCGTCCACCAGCTCGGCCGCGACTACTTCCTCGATGTGTCAATGTTTGAGCGCCTCTACAACATTGGATTCCCGCATTCATCACTTTTGGTATTGTTTTCATTTATATTTCGAAAAATTGGCCTTTTAGAAACAACATCGTATGCGTCCCGAATTCACCGAACACATTGTCCGCCCACATTTCTACCCCAGGTACTGGAAAGCTAATTTTTTTAAAGGTTTTTCTAGGCTTGAAGACCACGAAACTGTGCTCAAATACCCGTCCGTCGCCGGTATGGGCAAAGATGTAGGCACTCCTTTAATTCTAATTTGATTTCCATATTTTTAGTTGTTCTTCTGGACGCATCAAGTTGCCGAAGAGACCCTCGGCTACGAGAGCACGTCAAAGCTGAACACCTACGAAATCGAGCAGGCCGTCGCCCTGGCTCGATATCTCATCCTGCAGGCCGTCTACCAGCCTTCGGATGTGGGTCTTCCTCACCATATAGAGTTTTTGGTGCTTTTGCAATAACGGGGGGGGGGACAAATTTCTAATTTTTAAAAATTGGGGAATCTGGTTTCTCTAATGGAGATAGTGGAAGTTTCCGCGTTTTTTTCAGGATTCCAGGGGGCGTCAAAATTTTACCAATTTTTTGAAAATACCAAAATAAGGCTAAGGATTTCGATGAAAATTGCCTTCCTTATATTTTGGTACTTTCGCAATAACGGGGGGAGGGGGTAACATAACAAATTTGGATGCATTTAGGTTTTATAATATAAACAGGGCAGTATCTCTACGTTGTTTTTCACCATTCCTAAGCGTAAAAACTTTACAATTTTTTAAGACATTTTTCTAATGTTACTAAATAGCTTTTTTCCAACTTAATTTTGGATTGTTTGAATAGAGCTAAATTTCAAGTAGAATCCATATTAAGATACTTGTTGATTACTTGATTACTAGGCATATCTGGCCTTCTAAAGAAATACACCCCCCCCCCGATATTGCCAAAGAACCCTTTTTCTAGATCACCATCCTGTGCACCTACACCGCCCAGACGCAATTCATGCGCAAGGAGGTGGGCCAAACCCTGGGAATGACGCCAGATGGGAAGACTGAAGTGCAAGTGGAGACACTCGATGGATATCAGGGAAAGGTATCTGCTTTTTGTGGTTGACATCTTCATCTTCATTTTTCAGGAAAACAAGATCATCATCCTGTCGCTGGTCCGGTCGAACAATTCGGAGGGCACGATCGGCTTCCTCGGCGTCAAGAATCGAATCTGTGTCGCGTGGACACGTGCCCAGCACGGTCTCTACGTCCTTGGCAATATGACGTTTTTGGCTGGCAGGTAGGCGGTTTTCAAGGGCGCGTGTCGGCAATTTCGTGAACAATCTCTTTTTCTGAGAATTCGATTTTCTGATATAAATGGAGGCTTTTTTATTTTTTACCAGCCCTAAAATGAAAAATTAAAAACTGCGAATTTTTATTTAAACAATGCAGAAAACACGGTTTTTCGACTAAAATTTCCACTTTTTTTCACCACGGTTTTCTGAATTTTTCCAAGCTGTTTTATCACTCGAAGTATAGTTAAATTTAATCGAAAACCCCTGAAAATTGATTATGAAATTATGCCTGATTTTGAAGCAAAAAAATTGCCCCCCTCCCCCCGATGTTGCCGAAGCGCTACCGTTGATTTTTGGCTACTCTGCAAATGCAGAGCACGTGCATGCACGAAAGTCCACGTGGACCTCTGCACGAAAGCCCACGTGCAGGACATGTCCGCGCACGTGGCCCTTCGTGTTCTGCACGTGAACTTTCGTGTCCTGCACGTGGACTTTCGTCTCCTGCACGTGAACTTTCGTGTCCTGCACGTGGACCTTCGTGTTCTGCACGTGGGCTTTCGTGGGCTGCACTGTCCCGCCGTAGCGAACCGTACAGGTTCCCCGCTGTATTAATGCATTAATAGTAAAGCTTTCTGTCGTGCTTATTCGATTCCAATGGTATACTAAAGCATACGTTTATCAACACAATCAAGAAACATCATAGAAACACTGACAGTTGAAATATTCATAATACGCACTCCGTCGTAGCCCGAGGTAGAAGAAGCATCTAAACTTTTCTTGTCAAAGCCTTTACCGTACTTGTACAATGCAACTTACCAAATTGTACAATACCCTGTAAATAAAGCTCAAGCATATAGGTGCATACCTTATAACTAGAGATGTTACGAATCAAGTAATATAATGACCAAGTAAATTTGCTTGAACAACTTTATTTGCATCTGAAATCTTCAAGTAAATATAAAATTATTTTATGCCGTTTGCTTAAATAAGCATCAAGTAAAATAAAATTACTTGATTTACTTGATCTTGATTGATTTGGGAGAATTACTTGATTTTCAGCGGAATTACTTGATTGTGTGCAAATTCGCAATGCAAATCAGGAAATCGTGCCGCGAACTCAGTAAATTATCATGCGATCATGTCATAAAGTTCATTACCATCCGAAAAATGCCAGAATTCCAGAAAGCTATTGTTTGATCAAGTAAATCAAGTAAATCAAGTAATCTTGCTTGGTTCTTTCTCGAGCGGAGTCAAATAATATTATTTTACTTGGTCATGCGCTCAGCCCCATCCAAATCAAATAATATTGTGCCAATGTATGCAAATAATCTTGATTGTTAATTGATTCTTAACATCTCTACTTATAACCAATCCCCATAATAAATGAAATCATATTAACAATCGTCAAATTGAACATTTGGGGGCGCGACTAAACTATGTTTGATCAATAGAAATAACAATTCTTACCACGGATTGCAGCCTATGCTGACGCTTTTTGCGACATTCACATCTTAAACCTACCATTGACAGTGGGCATTACTAGATAATGTTTCAATATAATTATTTATGGAGTAGATCCACAAAATTTTTCACGCAGAGCCATTTTAAAACGTTCAAAAAGACCTGCCACATCTGCAAGTTGTTAAATAAACTCGGACTTCATTGTAGACACATTGCTGCTTGGATCGGCGATCGATTATGTAGTTGTCTTCACAATCTATGATCCTTTTATCTTAGTCAACATTCATACCTGTAAAAAATCGTCCTCGCCACTTCTCGCATTGTCATGTAACTTCCGGTTGGAAACCGAGTTGATGAGGGAATCATTGATAAAAGCAGTTGAACTTTCAAAAAGAATGCAAAAAAACTTTGAACGGTGTTTGAAATATTTGATTTCCCGTTGACTACGAAGTTGACTTGTTTACGGGGTCCACGTGCAGGACACGGTGGTCCACGTGCAGGACGCCGGGGCCCACGGTTGTGCATGTCCGGACATGCACAACGGTGCAGAAACTACCTGGCCCACGTGCAGAACACCCAGGCCCACGGTTGTGCATGTCCGCGCATGTACAACCGTGGTCTTTCGTGTCCTGCACGTGGGCTTTCGCGTCCTGCACTTGGTTTGCATTTGCAGAGTAGGGCTATTTTCGCGAATTATCTCCTTTTTTCCAGATCTCAACTGTTCAACCAAATCTGCGGCCGGCTCGTCATCGCCCAGTCGATTGGCGAATGTCTTCCGGTGTGCTGCACAAATCATGGCAAGAGTCAGGTATCGTCTTTTTACAAATAAGAATACAATTTTCTTAGAACATTCAATTCCCGGAGCAGCTGAAGGAGAAGTGCCCGGAGGGTGGCTGCGATCTGGAGTGTCTGAAGAAGCTCGCCTGCGAACACAAATGCCCCAGAAAGTGAGGATTTTGAAAAATATATTGGGATGCTTTCGCAGTATTGAGTGGGCTCAAATTTTTCCCTATAAGTCCAGGAATGCCTAGTGAGTGACGCAATATGGATTTAATAGTGTTTTAGTGAAATTTAGCTATATTTCAAGTGTAAAAACGGAAAAATAAGAACCTCGAAACATTTTTTAGTCAGAATTTTAGTTGAAAAATCGTTATTTGTTTTTGTATTTTGTAAGAAAATTACGTTTTAGGAATTGAAATAGAGAAATTATTCTTCGAAAAAAGTTGGTCCTCCCGATATTGCGAAAGAACCAAAAATACCTTGATTTTCCTAAAAAATATTTGCTGGTTTACCTTTATATATTTTTTAGATGCCATCCGATCGATGACCACTACGCCTATCGCTGTCTGGTGATCGTTGAGAAGGGCTGTAAACGGGGCAAGCACGTCGATTCGAAGCCATGCTATGAGGTGATTTTTATTTATAGCCTGTAATTTTTGATATCTTTTCTGTATTTTTATTAAATCAATTTGAAACTTCCGTTTCAAATTGAAAGCTTGCTTGAAAAGTTTGAATCAATTTTCCGAAATTTTGATTTCATTTTTAGTTTTATAATTAATTTTCTTTATTTTCCAGGAATTCGGGCCGTGCTACCGATCGTTCGAGTTCAAGCTGGCATGCGGGCACACGGCCAAATACCCCTGCTTCACGGATGATGCCGATCTCAAGTGCAACGCACCGTTCGTTTTTCTGCCATTTTCACCAAAACAATTTGAGGTGCGCGCTGAAGCTGCCGTGTGGCCATGGTTGCAAGGCGAAATGTGGCCAGCCGTGCACAAAGATTTGCCAGGAGGTATGATCTAAAGAAATTTATATTATTTGCCAAAATTCCGACAGTGAAAATGCTGGCACCCGTAAAAATCTAATTGAAAACCGAATATTCAATGCATACAAAACACTATTAATTTGTGTATTGTCGGCATTTTGCCGTGTCGGTGTTTTGGCAGTGGACATTTTCTCGTCTTGGGATTTTGGCGGTCAGGATTTTGGCGTGTCGGTATTTTTTGGTCGGGATTTTGGAATTTCGGTGGTTCGTCGGTAGGGATTTTCACATGTCGGCATTTCGGTCGTCAAAATTTTGTGATGTCGGCATTTTGGCTGTCGGGATTTCTGATTTTGACATAAATCACTTCCAGGAAATCGAGGTGATGCACCCGACGTGCCTCTTCAAGCATCGAACGAAAGTGCGTTGCGGGCTTGCTGTCGAGTTTTACGAGGTTTGTATGCCGAATTTTACATTCTTTTTTTTTAAGAGCAAATCACCGTGTGCGCATCCGTGTCAAGAAGTGCTCGCCTGTGACCACATTTGCGCGAACACGTGCGGCGAGGATTGCGTTTTCGAGTGTCTTGAGGTGTGTATTGAAGTTTGTTTGTATTGAAGCTCTAAACGTAAGCGGGACTTGTTTTCATAAAAACTAGCTATTTTCAGGTAGAAACACCATGTGGAAAACGTAAAAAAATGTGCAAAAACGAATAATTTTGGCCGAAAAAAATATTTTAACAAACTCTGGCCAAATTTTTTTACGTTTAGAAAGATTAGCAAATCTTGCAGAAAAAGTACCCCTATTTATATTCAGAAATTTAATCTTTTATCCCCCCGATCTTGCAACAGAACCGATTATCCTATTCTTTTTTAGGTGGTCCACCGTGAGCTGCCCGGCTGTGGCCACCTCGAGGAGATGCTCTGCTTCCAAAGCGTTGATGCCGTCAACTGCATGACGTGTCTCAAGACGAAAAAAGAGGAAGCCGAAGGATAAGAAGAAGACGACCATTAATCAAATAAATCCATGACCAAATTTGTAGCAATATTTATGGTTTTAACTGCTTTTCGCTCCCTCGATTGTCGCTTACAATTAACACGGGTTTTATGCACGGCATTACTCAATGTTTTGTGATCAGTTTTAATTTCGGTGATTGCCTGGCGCTTTGGATAATAAAGCAGGGATTATTTTAATGGCATTGATTTGTGTACCGGAAATCGTCTCAGACGAAACACAGAGTATTGACATGGAAAGGAGGGAAAGAAGAGGAGAGAGAGAGAGAGAGAGAGGGGGAAAAGGAGCGCGAGAGAGAGAGAGAGAGTGAGGGAGGGAGGGCGAGAGCGAGACAGACAAATCCAATGTGTTCACTACAAATTTCAACCCTTCTTCCAGGTGCGACGATGCTGACACGCGCCTTCAACTGTTCAGATTGCGAGAAGCCGTTTGGCTGCACGGTTGGAGAGCTGGCCATGCCCATTCTGCAGGCATCTAGATGCCGTGCATGTACGCCCCGCCTCCCAACGTTCACTGACCCGTTGCCACCACAAAGCGGCTTGATGAATTTCCTAAATCAGCCGGCGTTCAAAAGGACTGACGAGGGATACGACTACACACTACCGATCAACGAGCCAATGTGCCTTGGCTGTAATCAGGCGATCAGAATCTTCGATGGAGAGCTTGCTTTCGTCGCCAATTGTGCTCATTATATCTGTCAGGGCTGTGACCGTAGGCGGCTAAATCCAGGAGGGTTCGTTCTCGGAGTACCCCCCTTGACTTGCACGATTTGCCGCACGGCACCAAACGGACCGAAGCCTTTTCCGGCAGACACATTATTGGCCGCTTTTTCGTCCAGCATCAAGGATTGCCATATCAAGGAATTGAGCGAAGCTTTGCAAACCGAAAAAGCTCGTCTCGAGGCGATTGTAGCGAAACAGAAACTGGATCGCGACCGTGGAGCTGTTCAACGATGCAGGGACTGTGGTATTGAGCAACCCGTTGCGCGCCTCTTTCTATGCAATGATTGCACGAAAGTCGTTTGCGGCTTCTGCTCGTTCAATTCGCACCGAGAACATTCCGTCGATCAGCTTCTCGGCCTGGAGCTCGGTGAATTGCAAAACAGAAACGATCAGATCTACACCGAAACCCTTGAGGGTCTACATGGAAACCTCCGATATATCCATACCAATATCGACGAGGCCGTTGAGAAGGTGGTGAGCGCCGGCAGGGAATGTCTGGCTAAAATCTCAACCAGTGCGCAGTACGAAGATGCTCAAAACATCGCCACGACGATCGACAAGGCGGCCAACAAGTTCGAGCAACACTGCGAAGAATATATTCCTGTTGCCCGCCGATTCGCCACGAAACTGACAGAGCTGGGCGAAGAATTGACGGAATATCGGAAATGAAATCGCCAGAATTGTTATCTATTTGTTGTTTCGAAGTTTTGCATGCTGGATAAATTTCTTTGACTATTTGAAAACTTGCTTTTGAGGATTCCGGGTTGTTGGCCCTAGCTGTTTGTCTGTTATGGAAGTAATGGTTCCGATTATTAGCCGTTTAGCTGTACAAAAACCCTCGATATTTGCCTCTCCATTCCGCTTAACAAATTTACCAAAATCGCGATTAATTTTATGATTTCAGGTAGTCGAAGATGCTGACCCGCGCCTTCAACTGTTCCAAATGCAAGAAGCCGTTCGGTTGCGCGGAGGGCGAGTCAAAAAAGCCGAGCTTCTCGGGAGCGAAACAAGGATTGTGCACCTCCTGCTTCTCTACCTACCATCTCCAACTGTCACATCGCGGTCTGATGGACTTCTTGGACCAGTCGGCGTTCCAGAAAACTGATGCGGGCTATGAATACACTCTACCTATCAATGAGCCCGTGTGCTGCCGCTGTTACCACCCGATCGACATCTTCGATGGAGAGCTTGCTTTCATCGCCGGATGTGGCCATTATATCTGCAAAGGCTGCGACAGACAGCGGGGACCTCCTACCGGATTGTTCTCGCTTCCGCCCTCTTGGAAGTGCACGGTTTGTGGTGTCGTGTCGGATGGATCCACGCTTTACCCGGACACCCTATTGGCCGCTTTTTCGTCAGAGGTCAAGGATATGCATATCCAACGAATGAACGAGCGCTTCAAGCAGGAGAACGAAGCTTTGCTAGCGGAAAAGGCTCGGCTGGAGTCTATTGTAGCGAAACAGGGAGAGGAACGCGACACTAGAGCCGTGCAAAAATGCGATGACTGTGAGGTGGAACAGCCGGTGGAGCGTTTATTCCTATGCAAGGATTGCACGAAGGCCATTTGCGGCTACTGCTCGTTCAATTCGCACCGAGAACATTCCGTCGATAAGCTTCTTGGTCTCGAGCTTGTTGAACTGGGAAAGAGAAACGATGAGAAGTTCATGGACCAAATTGGCGGAGTCCACGACAACCTCAAATATATCCATACTACTATCGATATAGCTGTTCGGAAAGTTGTGGCCGCTGGCAAGGAATGTCTGGCCAAGATCTCAACGAGCGCGCAGTACAAAGATGCCCACATCATCGCCACGACGATCGACAAGGCGACCGACAAGTTCGAGCAACACTGCGAGGAATATTTTCCCGTTGCCCGCCGATTCGCCACGAAACTGACCGAGCTGGGCGAAGAATTGACGGAATATCAGAAATGAAAATCGCGATAATTGTTATCTATTTGTTATTTCGACGTTTGGCATGCTGGATAAATTTCTTTGACTATTTGCAAGTTGTGCCTTTGTGGATTCCGGATTGCTGACCCTGATTATTTTAATTTTTGGAAGTAATAGTTATGATTATAAGCGGTGTAGTTGTGTAAAAATATCGATATTTGCCTCTCCATTCCGCGTTACGAATTACCAAAGCCCCGATTAATTTTCTGGTTTCAGGTGGTCGACTATGCTGACGAAAGCCTTCAACTGCTTCGAATGCAAGAAGCCGTTTGACCGCGCGGAGGGAGAGCCGACCAGGCCCGTTCTGTCCGAACCTGAGATGTGGGAGGCATCTCTACCAGACCCTATCTGCTCTTCCTGCCTCACAACATACACTCGGCCATCGTCACAGCGCGGCTTGATGGATTTCCTAAATCAGCGTGCCTTCAACAAGACTGACGAGGGATACGTCTACACGCTGCCAATCAACGGGCCAGTGTGCTTTGGATGTCACCATCCGATCGACATCTTCGAGGGAGAGCTTGCTTTCGTCGCCCGATGTGGCCATTATCTTTGCCAAGCCTGTGACATAAATCGGCTCGCCGGGGCTAGGCAATACAATTACACATTGACCGTTGTGGGCAACCTGATGTGCACGGTATGCGAAGCGATTTCCGATGTATACGAGCCCTATCCGGCAGACGCCCGATTGGCCGCTTTTTCGTCAGAAATGAAGAATCGCCGTATTCAAGAATTGGACGAACGATTCAACGAAAAAGAGAAGCAGATGAAAGCGCTGGCGGCAGAAAAGGCTCGACTCGCAGCTATGGCAGAAAAGGCTCGGCTCGATGCTACGGCGGACAAGGCTCGACTCGAGGCTATGATAGCGAGAAAGGAAGAGGAACGCCGCAATGGAGCTGTGAAACACTGCGGAGACTGCCGCATCGAGCGGCCGGTGGAACGTCTCTTGAAATGCAATGACTGTAACACGATCGTTTGCGGAAATTGCTTCTTCGATTCTCACCGTGAACATTCCGTGGAGAAACTTCTCGGTATTGAGCTTGATCAACTGCAGAAGCAGAACGACAAGAGGTACACGGAAATTCTTGGAGGTTTGCATGGAAACCTGAAACATATCCAGACGACTATCGATTCGGCGGTGGATGAGGTGATGGAGGCTGGAAAAGATCTTCTGACAAACATCGCCAAGTGCACAAAATATGCCGAAGCTGAGGTGATTGTCGCCAAAGTGGAAAAAGCGGCCTACAAGTTTGAGGGACACTGTGAGGTCTACATTCCGGTTGCTCGCGAATTGACCACTCGACTGACTGAGCTTGGCGAAGAGCTGAAGAACGTGGAAAAGAAATGATTGTTATCTTGATGTCCATAATTGTTATTACGTTGTTATTGCTTTTCACATGTTGTTTGTTGAAAAAAGGGATACGATCAAACTGCGTACGGTTTTGAAAAAGGTTTGGCGCCTATTAAATTCCTGTATACCGGCATCTATCGATTGAACGCTATTGGGGTTGACGTGGCATTTTTTTCGTAACTGGGGGTGAAGTCGCATGGCCATATGGCGATATTCGCAAGTTATGCTCATTACTTTACTCGAAAGCTTCAAAAAGTACAAAGCACTTCCTTCTTTCTGATTTTCAGGCAATTTGAGTTTCTCCAGTTGCTTTACTAGCATTTACTAACTACTTTATTTAGATTTACTAGATTTTTAGCTTTCCGATCCCTTTAAAATTTTGGTGGGCGCCCCTTTCCCATGCGCTATTTGGCGGATGGGGCACCGTACCCCCTCCGAATCGCCAGAGTTGGCTCACTGCCACGGCTCAGTTGGCTGGCTGGAAGGGAAATGAAGTCAAGCTGACGAAGCCCAATCCCGAAAATGCTTTTCGTATGTTATTGAAATGCTGCTATTTGGCTATTCTTTTCCTTTTTTCCATTCGGTGCTCTCCTGTGTCCTTGCTATTAATATTTCCGTCATTTCAGGTAGCCGCCGGATCTCGCCTACACTTTCGGCCTCACTGGGAATGTTTGATTCGGTGAGTTTTTTAATGAATTCGGCTAGAAATCATCAATAGGCAGTGAATAGCGTAGTAATTACATAATATTATTCCCTAGTTTTTTAGTTTAAAACCACCGCTCATAGCTTTATTTTTCAGGACCCCACATCGTTGTACAGCGTGAAGGCCATCGTCATTCTCGACCAGGACGGGAATCGCGTCGTCAACAAGGTAAAAAACTTTTCTTTTTGGGTATAAATCTATCTTTTTTTTGCAGTACTACGACAAAGAGGCCTTCCCGACGACAAAGGAACAACGCGCTTTCGAGACGAGCCTCTTCAAGAAGTCCCAGCGCAACACTGGATGTTGGTTTCTTTCAAGGAAAACTATTAAAGCTATTCGTTCTTTTTAATGCTCACAGTAACCTATATTTTTAGCCGAGATCATCCTGCTCGACGGCATCACATGCCTGTACCGCTTCAACGTCGACCTCTACTTCTACGTGCTCGGCGCGGCTCGAGAGAATGAACTGGTGAGGAAGCCGTTATCCTTTTAAATGCCTTTTTTCTAGATCCTAGAAAGCGTACTGAACGGCCTGTATGACTCGGTGTCGACGGTGCTGCGGAAGAACATTGAGAAGAAGGTGGGATAGTCTATTTTCTTTGTGTAATTGATTGCAATTTAGGCCCTCCTCGACGTGATGGACACCACGATTCTCATCATCGACGAGATTTGCGATGAGGGGTACGTTTTATTACGAGTAAATTTGGAAAAAATAGGGTGTAACGAAAAGATCCTCTATGGAATTCCGAATAAATCCGAATAAATGGCCGATTTTTGTGATATAAGCATCATTAGAAAGCTCTCGAAAAAGTTAACATAATTTCGGTGGGGGTTTTTTCGAAAATTCTGATTGTTTCGAAGATTTACGAAGTGTTTTTGGGAAATTCCGATGCTTTTTCTGTTTGCGGGTTTTGAAAAGCCCAAATTTACGAATTTTCAGGTTTTTTGGCACTTTTATGCCTCTGTTTTTTTTGATTCGATTTAGGCAAAATTTGGATCGCGTTTTCAACGTTCTTTGAAAACTTTTGCTTTCGTTGTTGAAACTCAGAAATTGAGCATGAATTTGCCCCGATTTTGGGAAATACAAAATAGTCGAGAGCTCTCGAACGATACCTAAATCATCAAATTGGACATTTATCCGAAACGCTAGCTATTTTCCGACACCCGGTGCACATGATCGCCCGTCGATTTATGCCTATTTTCCATTTTTCAGAATCATCATGGAGACGGACCCGCAGGCGATCGTATCGCGATGCTCGCTGCGAGGGGATGAAGTTTCGTTTGGCTCCGATCAATCCTTCTCCCAGGTATCGCTTTAAAGAATTGATCGGAATTTGCTAGAAAGCCCGTGTTCTCAATACCTTCTTTATCCCATTTTCCAGATTGGCGGCAGTGCCATCAGCGCCCTCAAGGATCAATTCAAGTGGTCGCTGTACAAATAAGCCCCTCATCATCGTCGGTAATAAACAGCATCTTTTTTGTTTCTCCATTGCCCGTTACCACGCTCTCCTGTGATATTAACTTATTTTTCTGCGTCTCGTCATAATCTCTACAATTTCGGCCACTTTTTCTCGTGGATTTGATGGAATAAATGCGTCTAAATGGTCGTTTTCGAACAAGAAAAAGCTTAAAATTGCACCGGATGACTCAAAGGGGGGACTTTGTAGGAGTGGCAAGTGTAAGATGGAGGCGGCTTCCGCTTTATCCCGTCCCTCGATCTCTTGGTATCGGCATGCCGACGGGAATTGTAGTTTGTAGGCGCCCCACATTTCCCGCCTGTAATCGTTTGCATAAAAATATAGGGTTCGCGTCTGATAACTGGCTTACTTTTACGATAAAAGGCGGCTATTATAATTTTAAAAATCCGATAACATTTTCATAACGAAGCTGAGCACATTCTGGGCCTTATAAACTGAAAGTCAAGCCTCTAATAGCAATGTGACAATCGTGAAACACATATTTTAAAATTCCCGCTCAAAATTTTCAATATTAACTATCAAGGTATTCTTTTTCCAGTGCAGCAATGTCACCACCGACAATAACAGGACTCGGTGTCATCGCATTCGCCAACAACATCTACTGGGCCGTCAAGATGAAGCCGGAGGGCGCCAAGATGGTCTACTCGATATATGTGCCCACCGAACTCGTCCAGCAGGTATGGTTCACTTTTTCAGGAGCCTTATTAGCTATTTGTTTAGGTATACGGCGTGTCGAATGGCGATTTTGTAAAAGTGACGGCGACAAAATGGGAGGCGCCTTCCGGCCTTTCTTTTACCGGCATAACCTATAAAGCGACGGCGGTTAGTCGATATTCGAAATGTTATAAACTAGCGCTGCCTCGGGTCGTTTTGAGCGAAACTATTGCCAAAAATGTAATCGGGGAAAACGATGGCTAATTTCGGGCGTCGTGTATGGGAATTTTGCCACTGGGATATCGATTTCACGTACGAAAAAAAATCGCGGAAAAGAATTCTCCTTCTTTTTCTTATCCATCACAAATCTTGTTATTTCCCGGAAACAGTACAAAAATTAATAGTCCAAATTTTAGGCCCGCTGGCACGGCCACCCGAAAATGATCGAGGGCCAGGCGCGCGTCCACAACACCGACCCCAACGGCGAATTCTGCTTTTTGGAGTATGTCGAGACCGGCAAACTGATAAAGGTGATTCCTCTGGATTTAGACCAAACAGCTAGATTTAGATATTCGCCGTCCGTACGAATTGGCGGCCCGAAGTGCCGTCGCTGGCCGGAATTTTAAAAGCCGGCGATTCGGTCACCTTTCGAGCCCAAGAGCAGCCATTTGCGGGCGGCAATCAGGCGGATGTGCGGTTTAAGACCGTCTACTTCACCCATGCCAATAATTCGATCGATGCGGATGGGACTGTTACGCCGAAGGTATAATTTTGAGGGGTAAAAATGTTGTGCTTCAGGTAGAGAAAGATCAGCTGAATTACCTAATTTGAAAAGTTAACTCTGGTGTTGAAAATGGTATAAAAAGTGACGAAACGCCCAAAAATTGCCGATTTTTTTGTTTTATTGACATATTTCAATCAAGTTTCGGGGGGTTTAGATGCTATAAAAAACGCTTAAAATGACACAATTTTTTATGACTGATCTCCATGCTTTCATTCCAGGTGCGCGCCGTCCCCGGAACAACCCCAAAAGCCCGTGGAACTACGGCCACCGTCGAAAAGCAGAAAATCGTCTCCACCTCGCCAGCCCCCACCACAACTCGTCTACCCATCACTACAACAGCAACCCCTTCAACGCCATCAAAACCCGAACCCAAACCCAAAGCAAAAGCCGAGCTCCCCGAGCCCCGGCCCGACGCGTGGAATATGGAGCGACGGAGATCCGACGCCTCCACCCCAGTCGACAATATTGTAAAGGAGATGGTAAAACTGGAGGTGAAAGCCGAGCCGAAAACACGGGAAGAACGCTGGCAGGCCGATATGCAGGTATAAAAATGTTTGGTTCTTTGGCGTTATAGGGGGGGGGGGTTTCCCCTATAAATCCAGAAATGTTTAGTACCGGGTTACTAAGTGTTTTAGTAGTGTTTTTGAGTAAAATTTAGCTATATTACAAATGGAAAAACAATAAAAAAGCTTAGAAAAAATTTTCAGATAAAATTTGTGGTCGAAAAATCTATATTTTTATTATTTGATCAAAGTTTTTCAACTTTTCACGTTTAGAAATAGTAAAAACAGTTTAAAATCTTTTCCTAGATTGATAAAAGAAAATTGGACCCTTAAAAAAATTGGTTCCCTCCTGATAATGCTAAAGAACCAAATATTCTATTGCAAAAACTCCACTTTTTAGGCCATTTCCTATCTAACGCAACTGCTCGCCGATGGCCATTGTTCGGGATGTGTCGCCCAAGCCGTCGCCAAATCACAAAATCAAACCCTTAATAATAACAATAATAAGTGACGCTGCCCGGCTGAATTTTCTAAAATTTGTTTGTTACTTTTCTGTTGTTATGTTTTGGGCTAGTCGAATCTATTCGTCGAGCCGCCCCGCCTTGGCATCTCTACTCGGATACCTTTTCGCAGAAATGTTGAGATTTTTCTATTAACGAAACGATAAGAATTCTATTCTATGCGCCCAATTATTATATTTGGTAATTTACGTTTGGCGTTCGAAGCGCGGGTTTTTGTCTTTGCTAGTCTCCCCCCAAATGATTACTCCTTCTTTTCCAATCCTCAAAAACGAACCCAATCCGCCGATTTCTATTGTAATAAAACGATGGCAGCTATTTTGTCGAAAGAATCGTGCTCGATTGTGATTCGTGCTCATCTTTGCACCATTTCCGTCGCACATTCTGGCTCGTCTACTCCTTGTTTTCCGGATTTGATGTTCTGAAATGAGCGCAAAGTGGAGATTTAATAAAAATGCATTTAGACGATGACGCGCACACCGACGCGCGAGGCGGCCAAGCGCTCGGCGCAGAAGACGAACGCCATGCTGGAGGGGGGAACGCCGCCCAAGACGCCCAAACGAGACGAGTCGCGCACGCCTAGGGTAAAACTTTGTTTTATAAACCTAAATTACTGATTTAGAAATCCCTCACTCGATCGGCTCAAAAACAACAACAGGCGCCGGCGGAGAAGACCTCGAAAAAGCCGGCAGCTCGACGCCTCGATTTTGGTGACGCCGACTCGCCGCAGGAGGATGAGGTCTAGATGATCTTATGAAAACAATAAATATGTCCATTTCAGCGATCAGCCCGACTCTCTGCCAGAAAACAACCTGCATCGTCCACAGCACGACCCGTTGGGAGGCCAAGGAAAGAAACTGGAACCCCGGCCCGGAAGCGCCTCGAATTTGACGATGAAAATCTGGAGCAATCTGACGACGACGATGACGAGAACTTTGACCCGCAGGTAATTAGATCCTTTGCTGAATTAAAAAAGTATATGTTTTTTAGTTAAAAGCAACGGCGTTGAAACCAAGAGGTCGTCCACGGAAGGTGATGAATACAGTGGGAGCTCATGACGGCCAGGCAACGCCCAGCAAGATCCTCGCCGACCAGATCAACCGCATTAGCATCGGGAACATCGACAAGTAATTCCGTTTCTCTAGGCGAATACGATATTTTTTAGGTCTCCAGAGCTTGATGATCAATTTCTCGACGAGTTCGATCAGATTCAGTTGAGTCGCGCGGATCGGTATTTCCAGCGGGGTGCGTTTTAGAATTTCAGCTTACTTTTATGTTATTTATCCACAAAAATTTTTCTTTGTAATAAATTGTAAGCAAAAGGAGCAAAAAAATATTCAAAGTGTAGGTTTATCCACATTTTTAGGGCGCGGAACCGGTGCCCGTGGTCGTGGCCGACGAGGACGGGGCGGCAAAACGAATCGACGCGAGGGCGGTCGGATTGCGTAAGTTTACATTTTATGTTTGTTTATTTTTATTCTCAAACAACCTCAAATATTTATTTAGTAAAACTTCTGATGCCATGGAGGAAGACGAAGAGCCGCTGGACGATCTGGCCTCCCTCGAGGTTCTGGACCTGGCCTCCATCAAGGATTATATGGCGGTACTGAATTATCTATTTTTTTGAAAACTTGCTTTTTCTAGAGCTTCTCCTACGAGAATCCTCCACTCCCGAAAAGCCGGCTGGAGAAGAATCGAAAGGACGCCGAGGCGCTCTTCACCCAGTGGCAGCTATATTCGAACTTTGGCTTCAATTTCTTGGTATAAATGGCTTTGATTTCTGGAAATAATAGAACATTTTCAGGTCCATGGTGTCGGCTCGAAAAAGTGTCTGTTGGAAGAGTTCCAGGAACGCTTTCTGCAGGGCGAGGATACTTTTATGGTACGTTTTTTTCTGGTTCTTTCGCTTATCGGGGGGGCTTTTTTCTATGACCAGAAATGTCTTGTAACGTAGTAGTAAGCATTTGAATACTGTTTTTTAGTAAAATTAACTATATTTTAACTGGGAAAACAAGCCAAAAAAAGTTTTTTAAGTTTTTGGGCGAAATTTCTCGAATATCGAGATTTTTGGCCGAAAAATCTATACTTTCTGTATTTTTTAAATCAAAATTTGTAAAGTTTTTACTTTGAGGAATAGTTGAACGGTTCAGAAACAGCAGAAAAACTGGACTCGTAGAAAAAAGCCCCCGATAATGCGAAAGAACCGGCTTTCAGTACTTGTAACTAGTTTTGTTTGAGATTGACGGCTACCTGCCGACCGTGACGATGAAGGGGATTCTGGGCGCGATCAACGAGTCGTTAAAGCTGAAAATTGCGGTCAGTTTTTGGTTTTAATACAGCGAAAAAAACTTGATTCTAGCCAAAACGCAAGATGAACACCTCGGATTGGGCGAGGTCCGTCGGCAGGGCCATCCGAAAAAGGAAGGAGCATGTCTATCTGCTGCTCAACAGTTTGGATGGGCCGCATATACGGTGGGTTTTATAAGCTCTGATTTAGATCCATTTTTTCTTCCAGAAATGACATCGCGATCCTGGCGAATCTCATCTCGGCCGCCCCAGAACATCTACACCTCATCGCCACCGTCGATCACCTCAATTCGATGCTTCTTTTTGATACGGTATCAAACCTTTTATTGCCGTAATTTGTTTTCTAGTGTACCCTCGGGGCATTCCGATTCCTCTTCTGCGCCCACTCGAATATGCGATTGCCTGCTGAAGAGATTCTCGCGTCCGAGATTCGCATATTAGGTACCCAGTTTTTAAAAGAATAAACATTTGCTTTTAGGAATGAGCGCGAAGAACGCGAAAATCCAGCACACCGTCGCCTCACTCGACGTCATCTGGACTTCATGCCCGGAGAATTCTCGCAAGATATTCCGGCTCTTCTTCGCGCTCTACTTTGCCCAAAACGCGTCCGTCTCATTCTGGGATCTCTTTGATCAAGCACGGTATGGATTTTTCGGTTTTTAGAGAATCTGGGGAACTTTCGCAGTATCGGGGGGCAACGTTTTCACTAGAATTAGATTTTTCTGGCATAAATAGAACTATTTCTAAAATATTTTTTGCCATGCTTACACGCAAAAAAAAAATTGAAACTGAAATGTTTTCAAAGTTTCATAATTTTTTGTTTCAAGTTAGATTGACTAGCAACGCTTTTAAAAGACTTAGCATTTACCTGGATAAATAGGACAAACTAAATTACCACTCCCGATAATGCCAAAGCACCGAATCTTCATTTAGCGATCGTTTCTACGTGTCGACTGACGTGGCCCTACGACAGCAGATTGTCGAATTTGAGGACCACAATATTGTGCGCATTCGCAGGTCCGTTCTCACCAAATTTTCAATATCCTTTTTAGATCTGAGGATGGTAACGAGAAACTGACGGCCGCCGTCGATCGCGAGCTGATCGAACGCTTCTTACAAGAGAAGGGCCTCACACTGAATGCTGACGATGATGACGACGATTGAGCCATTGAAATTTAGACATTATTTACCACTTTGCTATATTCTCACTACCTCGGTTGTATTTTTCCCCACATTACGGGCTTTATATTCCCTCAATTCATGCCGGTTTTGTAATCATCGATTGTCAAGAATATCTGTAATTTGCTGAACAATAAAGTATATCCTTTTGAATCCGATGAAAGTTCGTGAAAAATTTTTTGTTTAGCTAGGGTAGTTTACGAATTGTCCTGTGTGACCTATAGAAATGATAACTGTATTCACGAACGCAGGCAAAAATTATAATACAAACGAAGAGAACAGTCGATAGATAGCTACCAGGGGTCGTCACCATCGGCGCAGAAAAAGCAGCCCATGTAGGACAGCTGTGGGTAGATCAACAATTCCAGCAACATCTCGTCGCCTCTGGACAAAACATCGCGTTGGCCGTATGGGTGGCAGTAGCCGTCGATCTCGTATGGGTCAATCGCCGCGTCAGTGTAGATATAAACCATAAATTTGTCACGCTGGCCCGATTTCCATTGTTCGAACAGCTTCTGCAACACAGTTTTAACCTTTTCGGTGACGTTTATGCCGCCCGTGACGATGGTGATTCTGCATTCTTTCAGTTTCCATTCTGGAATGTAGCTCAACCATTCAACCGCTGCTTTTCGGAAAAAGATTCCACCGACATCTTTCAGCGCATTACGCAGCTCCAAACCCGCAGCCGATTCTTCAGGCGTCCACCAGCCCATACAGAGGACTTCCGAGGGACCCCAAAGCTTGATCAATTCAGCGCACTTGTGGGCATCGCGTACCTTGCCGGAGAATTCGACGGTTCGAACGGTCATAGCGGGGGCGATTTTCGTCGTCAAATCGCACTCCACGATCGTCACAGAGGCGTTTTTCAGCAGAACATCGTCATCGTGGAAGAAGAAATGGAAATTGTCGATAACGGCGTGGCGGTAGGATAGATGAACGACTTCCCATTTCTTGCCGGTCCAATCGCCGACACGCTCATGCAGCAATTTGTGCGATTTGGCCACCTCTAGTAAAGATCGAGCGTCGAGTGGACCCATCACTTCATGCATCAGATCGAGCGGCAGATCGAGAAGACCCCGATTAGAACGGGATTGGCCATTGCCCTGGAGATCCATCGCTTCAAGCTTGTCCAGCAACAGCGGATCCATTTCCTGGGCGCCCAACTGTAAAAATGGAGTTAATGAGAGGAAAAGCATAGATAAGAAAATGGAATTTATGAGAAACCAGTCGATATCAGCCGCTTCGCGGCTGCTATCGACTGGCCCTCCCGGGGGGCAAGGCAATACAGGGTGCTTCCCATTCTCTTTAGTATATTTCCCGCTTGGCGCGAATACCTTCCGTAATCTACCTATGGCCGTCCTCCAAAACCAAAGAACCTTCCACTCCTGCTCTTCTCCCTGAAAGACCCCCCCCCCAAGATCCGTAGTAGAAGGGAAGTTAAACAAAAGTAAATCTTAAACAAAAGTAGAAGGGAAGTGTAATGGTCAGCACACCCCCGAGAAGCACAGCTCTAACCCTCTTTAAGACCAAAAAAACACATCTAAAAAACGTGTAATGGCTAGAATACCCTTTGAAACGATATTTTTATACCCTGGCCCTTTCGGGGAAAAAGGCGAAACGCTGCGGCTCCGGTGAAAATTTTCAGCCCCCGACTACGGTAGATAGGGGGGTCGCGGCGGGATTGAATTCCCGGTCGCGGTCGGACGGACGGACATTAGAAATTTATATATAGTAGATGGTCTGCCGCCGTACAATTCTTTCCTAGCTACACAAGATTTTCAAAATTTCTTGGTGCCAAAACAAGCGCTACTTTCTTGCTCGATAAATTTGTAAGCCGAGCAAGCCTATCGACAAAAAAAAACGATGATTTTTCGTTTTGCAACAGTTTTATTCAACAAATAACATTTGGAAAACAATAACAAATTGAAAGCAATTCTGGCGATTCATTTCTTTTCCTCCTTCATCAGCCTTTCGCCAAGTTCGGTGAGTCGAGTAGCGAATACGCGAGCAACAGGAATGTACTCTTCGCAGTGCTGCTCGAATTCGTTAGCCGCCGTGTCGACCGTGGCGACGATGTTCTTGGCGTTTTCGTATTGTGTGCACTCCTTGACATGGGTTAGCCGATCCTTTCCAGCGATTAGCACCTTTTCTACGGCATGATCGATAGCCGTAGCGAGAAATTTCAGGTTTCCCTGAAGACCTTCGAGGTTTTCCGTGTACCTCTTGTCATTCTGCTTTTGCAGTTGATCAAGCTCAATGCCGAGAAGTTTCTCCACGGAATGTTCACGATGAGAATCGAAGCAGCAATTTCCGCAATTGATCGTGTCACAGTCTTTGCATTTGTAAAGACGTTCCACCGGCAACTCGATGCCGCAGTCTCCGCATTTTTGCACATTTTTGCGGTCGTCAGCTTTTTCCTGTTTAGCTACGATGGCCGTAAGCCGGAGCTTCTCCGCTTCCAAGGCCCGATTCTCCTTCTCACGAGCAGCTAATTGGTCGTTCAGTGCCTTGTTTTGAGCAAGCTTGACCATTGTTGAAAACCTCGCCAATAAGTTGTCAGCCGGATAAAAAACTACTTCCGACTGGATTCCACAATTTTTGCAGGAATTATTTATGCCATGGTCATCGCATTCCTGACAGAGGTAATGTCCGCAGACCAACGGGTAAGCGCTGCTCCCTTCGAAAATGCCGGTATCGCTGTCACATCCAAAACAGATCGGATTTTTGAGCGGCAGCGTGTATTTGTATCCGTTGTCCGTCTTTTTGAATGCCGGCTGGTTGAGGAAGTCCATCAGGCCCCGTCGTGGCTGGGTTTCCTTTTCAACGGCGTAACTTGTTGCGCAATCCCCGCACCGGAAAACGTGGTGGGAATCATGGTAGAAGGGTAGCCGCGGTTCTCCTTCCTTGCAATCGAAAGGCACTTCACAATCATGGCAGTTGAAGAGATTCGTGAACATCATCGTTTACCTGAAATTAGAGCATGATCTTCAAATTAAAAATGTAATTCACCGAAAGTCCTTTAAAATCCCGTTCTAGTCAAAGAAAAACCCTCAAAAGCCCGTTCTAGTCAAAGAAAAACCTCTCAAAAGCCCGTTTTAGTCAAAGAAAACACCTCAAAAGCCCGTTTCAGTCAAAGAAAACCTGGCGAAAGCCGATCGATCAAATTTTATTTAGTTCTGTTTACATACAAATTCTGGAACATCGCGTTTTTCGAAATGTATTTCGAATCCGCTAGTTGCTTTTTAAGTATTTATACTTATACTTATTTATAAATTTTTAAGGCTACCAAGCCTATCAGCAAAAATGGGGGTTTTTGGTTTGGCAACAGTTTTATTCAACAAATAACATTTGGCAAAAAATAGCAAATTGAAAGCAATTCTGGCGATTCATTTCTTTTCCAGCTCTTTCAGCTCTTCGCCAAGCTCCGTCAGTCGAGTGGCCAATTGGCGAGCAACCGGAATGTACACTTCGCAATGTTCCTCAAACTTGTCGGCCGCCTTTTCCACTTTCGCGGCGATCACCTCAGCCTCGTCATATTTTGTACACTTGGCGATGTTTGTCAGAAGATCTTTTCCAGCCTCCATCACCTCATCCACCGCCGAATCGATGGTCGTTTGGATATATTTCAGGTTTCCATGCAAACCTCCAAGAGTTTCAGTGTATCTCTTATCGTTCTGCTTTTGCAGTTGATCAAGCTCAATACTGAGAAGCTTCTCCACGGAATGTTCACGGTGAGAGTCGAAGCAACAATTTCCGCAATTGATCGAGTCGCAGTCCTTACATTTATAGAGACGCTCGACCGGCCCCTCCCTGCCACATTCTCCGCATCCCTTCAAAGCGCCGCCGCGTCGCTCCTCCTCCTTCTTATCAATGGCTTCCAACTTCTGCATCAATTCCTTGATCTCCTCTTCCTTCGCAGCCAGTTCCTCCTTGAATTTGTCGAGATGCTTCGCGCGAACGAAGCGGGGCTGACTGTTAAACGTCGCCAGAAATGTGTCTTTAAAAGGAGGTAGCGAACGATCAGGCCTGATCTGGCAAACTCGACAGAATGTCTCCGGTCGTTCGATACATCCTTTGCAGAAATAATCGCCACATTCGACGCGGTAAATCGCGTTGCCATGCCCGTGCGGAATAGCTTGATAGCATGAGCTGCACGTGGGGCCGATGAGGGGCAGATTGTATTCATATCCATAGGGTTGCTTCGTGAAGCAGTCCGGCTTGGCGAGGTATGACATCAGACACTTCAGTGCGAGACTCCTCGGATCCTTGTCGCAAACGCGGCATCGAATCATCTTGGAACGTGGCGCGGCGACCGGAAATCGACGATCCCAATCGAATGGCAGCTTGCAATCCGGGCAGTTGAAGTAGGTGGTGAAGAGCATTGAACGCCTGGAATTCAGGGATTAAGTAGGAAGGAATTTGAAGTCAGAAAGCGAAGAAAAAAACGTATTTCTTTAGCATTTTCGGTGAGGGGGTCCGAATCTATAGCGAGGCTCCGACTTTTCTAATGGAATATGGCAAACGCGTTTCCAAGGTTCTTCGCGAGAGCTAAATCTTAAAAACGCAAAAATCTCCCGCCAAATACAACAAATCTCAGTTTTCCAGAAAATTCAGATTTTGAAACGGTTTTCAATGTTGTCCGAACGATTTTTCGCACTTCAAAGATTGGGATATTTGCTATGACGCGGCTAAGGATACCTGGATTTATAGAAAAAAAGTCGCCGCGGAAATACTAAAAAGCGAGATGAAAATGCGGTGTAAAGGCTGTAAAATGCTAAAGGAATGTTGGTCTAGTCGCTGGGGTTTCCTGAACCAGCCAAAATTTTCGCGCCATCTTCTCTCGTAGCCTTCGCGATGGGTAGGCTCTAAAACGGCTATGAACACATCGATGAGGATTTTAATAGGATTAAAAAGCCGTTAAATTGTAGTCTACCACAAACTACACTCGTAGATTTCTAGTAATCTTTTTGATAGTTGTGACAAGTCCTTTCCATCTCCATAAACGTATTTAGGCGCCTAATGTACTATCGGAGTTCTTCAACAAAATTCTTTCCTTTTTGTTTAGATTCTAAAGTTCGCTAAATTTCACTTTACGGTATGGTCCCAAAATGTCGATTTTTCGACTGGAATCGATCCAGCTCGATGAGTTTGTGCGTTTCCAGTTGAAAAAACGATTGGGAAACGCTTCTGGACAAAGTTATTAGCTTTTGAAAATCGCTAGTTCACTTTACGGTATGTGAACAAAACCTAAATTTTTGAACAGGAAACGATAAAGCTCGATGAGATAAAGCGTTTTCAGTTGAAAAAACAATTGGGAAATTTAAAATAAGAAAGTTATGACGTTTCAAAGATATTTTTGCTAAGGACTGTAGGCTACGCAACACTCCTATCCACGCCTTCTAGCGCGTGCGCTCTCAGCCAGCGGTTACGTACTTATCTAAAAGCATTTAGAATTTTTAAAACGAGTATTTTAAGCATAACATAGATAAATAACAGTTAGTTGTGGCCTCCAACATTGTCAGGCAAGGTGGACCGTCGCTTCGGATGGGCTGCCGCTCCACTCTTCCGAAATCGGGGCGCCTGGGCGCTGCGCGCTCCTCGGGCGCCCCGATTTCGAAACCCTGTACGAGCTCGCACCCATCCGAAGCGACTAGGCCCCGGGTGGCACGAAGCCTTATTTTTAGGCTTAAATTGGGTATTCAGCTAGCAATCCCCTTTAAAAAGTCCAATACTTTGGTCAATTTTCAAAAGCTAATAACTTTGTCCAGAAGCGTTTCCCAATCGTTTTTTCAACTGGAAACGCACAAACTCATCGAGCTGGATCGATTCCAGTCGAAAAATCGACATTTTGGGACCACACCGTAAAGTGAAATTTTCCCCTAAAGTTTTCTAGACGTATTTAATTCCGCACTGCTTTCTTGCTCGAAATTGAAATTTGTAAGGCGATCAAGCCTATCGGTAAAAACGAGGGTTTTTCTTTTGGCAACAGTTTTATTCAACAAATAACAGGTGAAAAGCAATAACAACGTGATAACAATTATGGCCATTCATTCAGGTTCCTTTTTTATCAGGTTTTCGCTGAGTTCGGTGAGTCGAGTAGCCAATTGGCGAGCAACAGGAATGTACACTTCGCAACGCTTCTCAAACTCGTCAGCCGCCTTGTCGATCGTGGTAACGATGTCCTTGGCATCACCGTATTTTGTGCAGCCCTTCACCTGGGTCAGCCGTTCCTTTCCAGCGATTACCACTTTTTCTACGGCCTCGTCGATGGCCTTATGGAGATATTTCAGATTTCCGTGAAGGCCTTCGAGGTTTTCCGTATATCTCTTTTCGCCTTTCGCCTCCATTTCGATCAGCTCGATGCCAAGAAGTTTGACGACGGAATGTTCACGGTGAGAATCGAAGAAGCAATTTCCGCAAACGATCGTCGTACAGTCATCGCATTTGAAGAGACGCTCCACGAAATAATCGACGCCACAATCGACGCAACCTTTCAAAGCGCCGCTGCCTCGGTCCTTCTCCTTCGTATCGCTTATGGCTTCCAACTTCTTCGTCATTTCCTTGATCTCCTCTTCTTTCGCAGCCAATCCCTCCTTCAATTTGTCGAAATGCTTCGCGCGAACGAGATGTGGCTGGTTGTAAAACTTCGCCAGAAACGTGTCTTTAAAAGGAGGCGCTGATCGATTAGGTTTGATCCCGCAATCCAAACAGGATGCCTCCGGTCTTTCGATACATCCTTTGCAGAAATAATGACCACATTCGACGCGGTAAATCGCGTCGCCACTCGAGAGCGGGATGGTACGATCGCATGCGCTGCAATTGGGGCTGTTCTGGGGCAGTCGTTCGTATTCGTGTCCATCCTGTTGCTCCGTGAAGCAGTACGCCCAGGCGAGGTATGAGATGAGACCCTTCTGTGCGATACTTTTCGGATTCTTATCGCAAACCCGGCATCGAATCTTCTTCGACCGTGGCGCGGCGACCGGAAATCGCTCATACTCATCAGATTGTTTATCCACATCGAATGGCCGCTTGCAATCCGGGCAGTTGAAGTACGTTGTGAACAGCATCGAACACCTGCAATTCAGGGATTAATTAGGAAGGAATTTGAAGTCAGAGAACGAAGAAAAAAACAACGTATTTCTTTAGCGGGCTAAACCTTGAAAACGTGCAAAAATCTACCAGCAAATACAACAAATCTCGATTTTCCATGAAATTTTAGATTTTTAAACGATTTTCAAAGATTTCCGAGCGGTTTTTCGCACTTCAAAGATTGGGGAAAAGGTTATTAAAATATTGCTATCTCGCGGCTAAAGATACCTGGATTTATAGAAAAAGTCGCCGCGCGGAAATACTAAAAAGCGAGATAAAAATTCGGTGCAAAGTCTGTAAAATTCTAAATGAATTTCCTTCCAGTGGCTGGGCATCAAAGTTTCCTGAAAATTTTCCAGCCAAAATTTTCGCGCCATCTTCTCTTTTAGCCTTCGCGATGCGGAGGCCCTAAAAAGGCCGTGAACACATCGATTAGGGTTTAAATGATTAAAAGATCCGTTTAACTGTGGTTTACCACCAAATACACTCGTACATTTGTGGTAGTCTCTTGGATAATAATAACAAGAAGTTTTTCATCGTTGCCCGGCCGATTTTTCGTGCCCAAAATAGTTGTTCAGCGCGAACAAAAGAAGGTTTAGGTCGAGGAGCTTCATCATCACCGTGCCCTTTTCAAAAGCCCCGATTTTTGTTGGTGTTTTCGCGTTTGGTGGTTTATTTTTCGTGGGGCTTCTCCTGCTGTGGCCATTACCTGATCCTCCTCCTCCTTCCCCTCCTCTCAATCTCCAATAGCAGTTGTTCATTTCGGAAAGAGGCGGGCAAAGTGGGCAGAGATCTGCAGCCATTCCATTCCATTCCTACTTCCAACATGCAACCATCCTTTATATTAATTTTTGGGTTATTATTCGCCCGGTGAGTTTCGAGGCTTTATTTAAAAATCGCTTTAAAAGCTATAAACGGTTAATGTATTGATTTTATGGGTTCATTTTTGGAAATTTTCATAGAATTTTTACTTAATAACGGTACTTTTAACAGTATCAAAGACTCATTTTTGGTAAAAGTGAACGATTTTTCGATCATTTCTCGAGGTAAAAATTCGCTAATTTATTGATCCCTTCATGTCCTAGGTTAATTTTTGTGAATTTTACGGGAATTCTGACTCTACGCGGCTTTTGAGACTTTCTAAAGTATCAAAAACTCTTTTTCATCAAGAATTAACTATTTTGCTATCATTTTCGAGGCAAAAAGTGATAATAAATGTATCCATCGATTTTTTAGGGCAATTTAGTGAATTTTACTAGAATTCTGACTATACAGGGTGTCCCAAAAAAATCCCCCCCCCCCTGCCGACCGCAGACTTGTTCAATTTTTGCGCTTTAGGTATCTATCGAAAGCTCGCGGAAAGGCGAGTCCAGCACGTCTCTTAGATTCTCAATTTTTTTAAATTTTTCTAGCATTTACTAACATTTTTGCGAAATGGATAGATTTTCTTAGGATTTTGAGACCAAGGGGTTTTTTAGAAAAATCACAATTTAAGGATTTTTACGTCCTTCCTGGGAGTCCAACGACAGCTTTTAGAAAGCCGTTTGCGAAAACACAGCTTGGATGGCGCTTAAGCCGGCTAAATTAAGTTTTTGACAAAAAGCTTGCTCTTTTTGCCTAAAGAATGGTCAAAATCGAGCAAAAAATTCAGGAATTTCGAAAATCCGAGAGACGTGCTGGACTCGCCTTTCCGAGAGCTTTCGATAGATACCTAAATCGCAAAAATTGAACAAGTCTGCGGCCGGCTAGGGGGGGGGGGGATTTTTTTTGGGACACCCTGTAGAGCGGGCCTTGATACTCTTAAAAGTATTAAAAATCATCTTTTTGACGGAATTGTATGATTTTCCAGCCCAAAATTGAGGTAAAAACCTGCAGCAAACCTAACTATAGCAAGGATTTTTACAATTTTGACGATTTTATATTTTTAGGGCTTGCGCCCAGCAAAACGGAGCCCACACCCGCCGCGAAGGCGTCGTCCGCCAAGCCGTCGAGCGCATTTTGAGCAACAGCCATTATGATGCCTCACAGCGACCTCCGATCAAGAATGGCCCATCATCTGCCGTCCCGGTCATCGTCTCCGTCTTTTTGAACCGAATTGTTTGGCACGATGAGTACGCGGTAAGCATTTTGTATAGATTCACATTTTGTGGCGTTTCCCTAGCTTTTAGACCGCAAAAAACGTTGGTGCAAGTCTCTAGCGGTGAAATATCGACTTTCCAGCTCGTTTTAAGCCTTCGAAATCCATTCTTCATAAAGAAAACGCACAAAAAGGGTACAAAGTTTAGAAAGTACTTTTTGTAAAGTTTTACAAAGCATTTAGGCAGCAAGTAACGTTAGGAGGCAGTTTTAGCGGTGGTAATAGCGACTTCTAGACGATTTCAAGCATTAGAAATCCTTTCTTATCTAGAAGAACTGGAGAAAAGAAACCGAAAACGTTTAGGAAGTCGACCTGCGGCTCCGCGAGCAATGGGAGGACAGCCGGCTGGCTTATGAGGTTGACCCGAGGGAGGCGATTGATGAGGTAGAAAGTGTAGAAAGTTAACGTTTGTTAAAAACTAGATTTTAAAGGGATAATGGCTGCAAAACAAGCCAATTTCTTGAACTGCAACTAGCGCGTTAGGTAAAGGTGTGCAGCGTAGCGTTTCGTACTCAATTTTCGAAATTAAGACTAAGCTAATTTAACGCATTTCCCCCCGCTAATTCTGTCGTAAAGAGTTTTAAACTGATTATCCCCTATTTATCAACCGTTTCCGTTCGCCTCCGCTGTTTCTTCCATGGGGGCATGGAAAAGGAAGGCGATCCCCCCTGGCCAGGGACCCAACAGGCTAGTTGTGTAAAGCCGAGGGGGAGAAGCTGTGTAGAAAAGAGACAAAAAAGAGCGGCAAACCACTGGCTCTCCCTCTTTCTGCTAAACACTAAAGGGATAGGCAAAAGGGATGGAATAGCCAATGCTAAACAGGCGACACCCCCGGCCAGCGGCTCATAAATGCCCTCTTGGCTAGGAGATGGGGTGTCGAAAATGATTTTATGGCCTGGGCAGGCTAGCAGGGATGCTTTAGGAATTAAAAATTCGACAAAGTTGCCAGAAAAATCGTGGAAATCTTTATTTTCAGATTACCCTCCCCGGCAGCAAGCAAATCTGGACGCCCGGCACCTATTTCAGCAATGCCAAGGAGAAGGTGAAAGCTTTAAAGTATTTTTAATATTTTTTATAGGCAAACGATGCTGTGGCGAGAGGCCGTACCCTGGTGGAACCTTCCGGATTCGTTCGCGCGTCTACTGGGTAATTTTTAGAGCAGAAATCAGCTTTTTTGACGTTTTCTAGACTTAATTTTGTCAAAATAGGTTTCAAACCTTAAAAACAATCAGTGCAAGTTGTTTTTGAACTTAAAGGGAACGTTAAGCGCAATCTCACAAGCTAAAATACGTTTAAAGTCCGATAAAAAACGTGGGAGCGCTAAATTAAACTAAAACTAGGCCTTTCGGCTGTTGTACAAAGTGATTTTGTAAACCGCTAAAAAACGCTCTGAAAAATGACTTCTCGATTTACAGGATGCTTGATACGATTTTGAAAGTTTTTAGTAACTAAATTGTTGTAAAAATAGCCATGTTTAGCTTTTCTACATATAATTTTGTAAAAATTAAGCGCTAAAAGGCTTAGAAACAAGGCTTTACACGTTTTCCACGGTTTTTAGCTAAAATCAAACATTTTAAAGCATAATTTAGTGTAAAATAGCGATTTTATACCTTAAAACTAATAAAATGCCTTTTCAGACGTACAATCTACGTGCCCGTCTCCCACGGCGCCTCATTCCCATTCCTCAACCGTCGCACTTTCAAGCTCAGGCTGTCTAGCTGTAAAAAAATTGTATTTCTCGATCTAATTTTTGTATTTTATAGTCAATTACCCGATCGAGGACGTGATCTACGTGTGGGCAAACTCGCCGCCGCTTGTTGTCCCGGTTGAGGTGGATTAAAAATGATGCAAAATCTAGATTTTCCATTTTTTAGGTTGCCGACGATTTGATGGAGGGCACCGTCAAGTTCGAGGAGGTTGCCGCCGGGGATTGCATCGGAAATTATACTTTTGGTGGGTTAAAATAAGTAATATAGCTATAGAAAAGCATAGAAAACCAAATATAAATATCTAAAATCGATATTTTCAGGCTCGTACCCTTGCATTGACGTGGACATCACTTTTTCCTCCTCCACGTTCAGCAGTTTTGCGCGCGTCTTTTTGCCCAGTATTTTGCTGGTGGGGTTTATTAACTTGTTTCCGGGTTTTAAATGTTTAATTTTAAATAGAAAATCGATATTTAGAAGCTACAATAATTTATCATGAGTTTTCAAAGTTTTTTAGCAAATTTCATCTTTTTTCACAATTTTTTAGCATAGAAAACCAGAAAAAAGCCGTTAAAACCGTAATGAATCGAATAAATAAAATCTATAACCATATTTCAAAGATTGAAAAACAAGTTTTAGGTAATCGCCTCGTGGCTTCATTTCTGGATCCACGGCTCGTGGTCGGTGCCAAGGACCGTTTCCGCCGCCGCTCCTTTCCTTATTTTTGCAGCCCTTTTCGTAAGTGTTTAGAGGCGTAGTTTAAAAGATATAAAGTGATAGTTTAATAAATTTTTCGGTCAAAATCACTAGAACCCTCAATCTTTCAGCTTTTCGGTGGGTCCGCCCTGCCTTCGAGTGTGCCATCCCTGTGGTGTTGGCTATCGTTCTGCCTGCTGCTCTCGTTCCTCTCGCTGCTTGAGTATTTCCTCGTCATTTTGTGCGGAATTAGGAGGTGGGTTCTATTAAATTTTATAAGATAGTAAAAAGCAAGCAAAAACAGTTTTTAAAACTCTTATTTTGGTAAAAAAATAGAATTTTTCATCTCCAAATCCATCAATTTAAAACCAGTTACGGCCTTCATAGTTGCTTTAATACGTTTCAAAATATTAAAAGGATTAAAAATAACCTATTTAGTATGCTTAAAGTTTCAAAAACTTATGAAAGGCTGATTTTTATGACAAAAACCTATCGTTTTAAGGCCAGTTATGCCATGGAATTCTCTCTTGGCTTCAGTGTTCCTTTAATAAACGGTGAAGAAATATTAAACTAATATAAATAATGTAAATTTATCGATTTTCAGAAACATCCGGTACGCTTCCGGCCGTGCCGGCTCGGCGGCCGACGATAGCCCGCTCACCCCGCATGGAAATCAGGTAATTTAAGGCTCGAAGCTGCCCAGTAAATCTAAAATAAAAATCTACGATAAGTTTCTGGCTTTTCAAAAGTACAAAAAAATGACAATTACAGACGTTGGAAGTGGTCTACGACGGAAAATGCGCCTCGTTCCGCGAGAACAACGGCCTCGACGTCATCTCGCGCATTCTGTTCCCAGTTCTGTTCCTCGTTTGGTGCCTTTTGTACTTTTTCGTCTTGTAAATAATCGATTGGAGCATCGGAAAGAAGAATTTGTAGTCTTTAGTCCGCTTCGGTGGCAGAATTTATGGAAATAAATATTTTGATTTTTTTTCTTGATCGATTTTGAGCGATAGAAGCCCTGAAACTGGGCAGGCTGGCGGCGGTTCCTTGCGGAAAAAGTTACGTTGAGCTTTCATTTAAGCCAATTTTGTACAAGGGGCAAGCTAGCAGTGATCATCTGTGGAAAGTCAGCCGCTGGGCCCGATTTTAAGCAGTTTTTGCGGTCTAGGGGCAAGCTAGCGGTGATTTTTGGGCGGAATAAACGGACAGTGACTATTTCTCACCGCTGGGCAAGCTAGCAGAGATTTTTAGAATTTTTTAGCCGTTTTGGAATTTTTTTTTTAGGAATTTTTTTGGCAGTTTTTTGCTTGCCTGCCCCTTTAAAAAGCTAAAAACCTCCTCACCTCGATTTTTTCGATCTTATCTTCCAAATTGGCATCCCACCCGGAGATTCCTCACCCATTCGCGCTAGCTAGCTGCTGACCCCGTGGGGCCATTTTACGACCCGATGTTACGCAACAAATGCCATCCCGTGTGGCCCACAACGGCATTCCACACAGATAGAAACGTTGTATTCTTGTTTTTGGTATTATCAGTGTCGTGGAAGGGTTCTTCAAGGCTCTTTGCTAGCATGCCTGGGCCCCTCAATTTTTCCGCAAATGATCCCTGCTAGCTTGCCTTTCAACATTTTCTTGGTGTTTTCAAATTTCCCAAAGGACCACCGCCAGACTGCCTTGACTCAACAAATATTCCTACATGGTTTTTGCCGATATTCCCTAAGAATCACTGCTAGCGTGCCAGCACTTCCTAAATATTCTCTGCTAACGTTCCGTCGATTCCGCAAACAACCTTTGCTCGATTGCCCGCATTCAGCTGTTCAGGACGGCATTATTCTCGTAATTTCCGCCAAGGATCCTTGCTTGACTGCCCCTAAATGGACTTAAATTCGCAGCTTTCTCCAGAATCACTGCTAGCTTACCGTAATTCCTAAACGGCCTCTGCTAGCTTGCCCCCCACAAGGCAATTTCATCGTTCCCAAGCCCCAAAAAGTACGTGTGACTACGTGGATCGCAGCCCGGGGAGAAAGACATTAGAAAACGAGGTCGCTGAATATTTGCATATATGTGGGCCCTCTCTCTCTCTCTCTCTCTCTCTCTCTCTCTCTCTCTGTCTCTCTCGCCATATCCAACGGTTTCCACCGCAATGCCTTATACGAACCCATGTACAGAGTATTCCCTCGGAATTCGTCTCAAGTACCCCTTCCAGCCACTTGACATCAATAAAAAGGGGTGTGGACGAGACGATACTCTGGCAAAAAACACGCCCGGGATTTGACGATCCGTTTCTCAGGGTAGTCAAATTAACGGGAGAGGAATTACTGGGGGTTTCGGACTGTCAATTTATCGACAAATTTGGTTGGCCTGATTTTTCTATCGATTTTTCAGTCGTTTAAAAAGCTAAAAATGACAATTATGACGCTTTTAACGCATTTTCAGCAATAAAAATTGACAAAAACTCAATTACGCTATGTGTTTCCGTGGTCTAAACAATCCGGTCGACCTTGGCATATAGCTTCCAACCATATTTTCGATCCAATTTTGTGCCCCCGCTTCGATTGGATCCACTCGGGTGATGATCAGTTTTGGCTTCGCAATGGATCGTCTCATTCCATCCCCCACCCTCCGCTGTCCATATTTTAGGGAAAGTGCCGTGAGAATCGGGCGGAGAGATTGTTTGACCCCATTTATTCCATTCCACTCCGTTTGTGTGCCCCGGCTGTCTAACTGTATCTCTCTCTCTCTCTCCCCCTCTCTCTCCCCCGCATATTGCCCCCTTTTCGGGATTCGCAAATAAGCTTCAGCCCCGCCAGCTTTCTCATCTCTGGTTTTCTAGACATTATTTGTTGTCCATTTCTGGTCGATTGTACCTGGGAGCACGCCGCTAAAGACTTTAACTGGGCGCGCAAGGCATTTCTGTGTTTTTTTGGCTGTGGAATGATTAATTTTTGCCAATTCTTCTTTCCATTGCGTAATGGATTACGACCGCGACCTGGCCAATTTTTAGAGATTCCAGAGCCAAAGATGCTGCCTTTCGCGTTCCTTTAATATTGATTTTCCGAGTTTTCTGCCTTTTCATGCATTTTTTGTATGTTTTTAATTCACGTTTTAGCTTATGCTGCTTCGGATATCATTATTCCTGCTTCTATCCACTTTCTTAAACGAGGTATCTGCGCGGGTGGTACGGCGACAGGTACGTATTTCCAGGCTATTTTTGTAGAAAAAATTAAAGTTAGGTACGGCGTAAAACCTTTTAGCCCACAAAATCACAGCCAATTTTTTAGGCAAGCCCCGACGAGGGGGAACTCCATTCTGACCACGTATTCCGCGCCGAGGAAATAATCGATTTGCCGGTGGGACGATTTCCGGATCCGGAATGTCAGTATACCGTACGGCACAGGGCTCCTGATGGACCGCCGGCGCATGGGTAGGCGTTAAACATTCTTTAAAACTACTTCTTTTATTCTTGAAATCCGCACTTTAATTTTTACTTATCCCTAAATTAATATTCGATGACCCAATTAAAAATATTTATTAGAAAACGGTACCGTAACTAAAGTTCTAAATTTAATAGCGTAATCCATTTTTGTATTTTTATCAATTTTCTTAGAGGAAATTTTGTAAATTGGGAAATAAATAATCACGTATTTTCAGCCAAATTCAATTACGTCGTGAAATTCACCGTAATTTATTTTGAGTAAAAATATTTTTTAGTGGATTTTATTAGCTTAATCGCTTGATTTAAGAATCATTGGTTTACTCTTTTTGTAGCACATTTTAATATCGTAATTAAAAGCACACATTCAATTTAATTCGATTACGCCATGAAAGGCCGTAATCTGGAATCGTTAAAAACGAATTATTAAGTTATTTTTCGCCGTAAAACCCCCGTATTTTTCCATTTTTTTAGTGACGTCCGTATTGGGGACCCGTTATGGCATGAATGGAGTTGTAGCTATGGGCCTCTAGCCTCCTCAATGTACTGTATGATTGTCAACAATTGTACTGTCGCGGAAAATCGACGAGCATCCTATAAGGTATCGTAATCTGTTAGATACCGTACTTTAATGTACCTTTAGGTGCCAATCCTCGACGAATTTGGATGTTCCTTATTTCCAACAATTCTGCCCCACGTACAGTACACCAACGATCTCGCCGCAAATTTACCAGTTCATGCATTTAGCTTGGATATTGATAAGGTGGGCAAGGTGGTGGAGATTCATGAGAAAATCGGGTTTTTAATGACTTTTTGGGGCTAGGTAAGTTAGCAGCAATCAATAAAAAAGGATCATCAAACTTGCCAAAAATTCAGGTTGAAAAGTTTTTTAAAAGTTGCCTGCTGGGCGAGCTAGCAGAAAACACTTAGGAATCAAAAGTGGTCTCCCCAGCTTAAAACACAAATTTATTTTTCCGATCTGGCAAACTAGCAGAGATCATTCAGGAATTGAAAATCAGCGCAAAAAGATGTAAAAAAAATCAGGATTGATTGATTTTCCTGTGATTTTTCTTGCTGGGCAAGCTTGCCGAGAGAATTGAGGAATTAAGAAGCGGATCGAGAAACTTTAATAAAAAGCAGATTAACCGTTTTTGGTAATTGTCCGGGCCGGCAAGCTAGCAGATCACTAAAAAAGCGAGGTACTTCGGCGAAAAATCTATATATTTTGTCGTTTTTATGGGTTTCAGAGAAATTTAATGTCAAGGCAAGTTAACGGAGATTATTTGAGAACACGATCTGGCAGAGTAAAACCAAAAAATCTTTGATTTTCCAGGCAGCCGTGTTCTTCGAGTGCAACATCAAGTTGCTGCTGAAGTTGAACGGCGTTTGCCGGCGGCCAAGCTGCGTTCCCATTGAGAGATTTCGAGAGGGAGATGGGACGCTTTAAAGGGCCACTGAAGGCTGGAATCCATTAGAAGTCTCTTAAAAATTTATGACCGTTTTAATCCGTATCTGCACTCTGTTACCGTGATATTTACCTTCAATGGTCCTTTAAAAGGGTCGAAAAGCTGTTTAAATATAAGCTGCGATGGACCAAAGTTTGCCCCATCTTTCCCAAATACAACAAAGACGGATTCAACCCCCCCAAAGCTGCCCAAACTTTGCCTTCAATGGCCCTTTAGCCCCGCCCATTATTCAGATTTTGCCGTTTTAAATGGAATCACTATTTTTGTATTGAATTTTCATGCTTACGGGTTTCCATTATGCTCATTTCTCCCTCCAAAAAAATCATGCACAGAATTGTTTTGTGGATTATGGAATTGCGTGTAAAATTGCAATAAAATTGTAAAAATACAAAACACACGACAGCTCTCTCTCGCTCTCACTCTCTCGCTCTTTCTATCTCTCTCTCTCTGTCTCTTTCTCTCTCTCTCTTTCTCTCTCTCTCTTTCTCTCTCTCCCTCGCCCTCCCTCTCTCTCTCTCTCTCTCTCTCTCTCTCTCTCTCTCTCTCTCTCTCTCTCCCTTTCCCTCTCTCATGCTCGACTTCTCTCTCTCTCGCTAACTCTTTCGCTCGCTCATGCCCTCTTTTTCTCTCATCAGAAGCTCCAAAAGCGCTGAATACAGGATTACACCAAAAATCCAGTTGATCGTCAATCGGCAGCGAGGCGGAATGTGTTTTCAGTGCTTCCCCTTCCATTCGCTCTCTTGCCGGGATGCCCTCGGGCTATTCGTCGTATTTGCAAATGGACACCCATCCCCCTCTCTTCTCTCTTTTGACGGGTATTTTGACTGGAGGGCCCTCGATACGGTCCTCCCTCTTGTCGTAGCGGGACTCTCGCCGTGTTTCCCTGTTTCACTCTTCAAATTTCGCATATTCCCAGGCCAAAAATTTGAGCTGCCGACACCTTTAAATGGATTCTAAGGTTTTTCTTGGTTTCACGGAGCCGTTAAAAATTTTGCGAAG